CGGATTCATTAAAATGCATAATTGCCAATTAGTGTTAAAAAAAAGTTAAATTTAATGTAGCAGTTTTTTTTTAAGTATTTTAAATTAACATTTTGACGAAAACCGTAAAAATTACGGTTTCGCTCAGAATCGAGCTTCATCTGCAATCATCGTTTATCATCATTTATTGTTTATTACAAATGTTAATTTAATAGACGTATCCTGCCTTTCAAAACATTCTATATTCAACAGTGGCATATCATCAGCAGTATCAGCTGTGTTTATTATTGCGTTTTATAAAATTTAATATGAATACGTAAAAAATAAATACTTAATAATAGATTTTAATTATTTATACGTTTTGATTTGTGTGTAAAAAAATAACGAAAACCTTTATTAATGACAATAATAGTACATATTAAAATATTATCATTTTATGTAATCCCACTGTTCATATCTTATCAATGTACCAAAGTTCTATTACCAAGAAAAAAAAAAAATCAAACACTGTCAGATATTATACGGTCTACACGAACTACACGGGCTACGGTGGTGTCAGTGTAATAGTGCATTTAATACAGGGTCGTCGGTTCTAAAATGTCGAAAACACTATGATGGCTAAAAGTAGTTATTTATGTTTTATAATAGAGGATATAGCACTACGGTAAAGTTGTTGACTGGGGATTATTTTGTTATTACATCATATAGTTTATTATACATTCTATAACAGTGTTGGGGGAAAATGCTGGAAAATATTTTGTGTAAGGCCGTTATACTTATATAACCACCCTATTGATACGTTATAGAGACCACTGCATAACAGCTGCAATATCAGTTATAGGAAATGTATATTTCACGTTACATTGCAGTTTAATACCTGTATTTTAGAACACGATAATTAGGTATACCATTACAGCCAGTAAAACTGCAGTGCTACCTAGTGCCTATAAATGCACAGTGTATTATATACCTGCAGGGCGTATCGGTGTTTAATAATAATTTATAATGTAATTGAAGTGTAAACATATCTTTGGGCCAAGGTTTTTCAATTCAATACTTCCAATCGTTATTGTTATTGAAATAAATACAAATTGAATGCATTTCATGGAACATTTTCGGGTTCAACTATAATCTACAATCCAACCTGACTTACCTAACCTAACCTAACGTTCTTACCGTACCTATTCGTTTCAAAACATTTGTTTTATACTTTTTTTTTTTTAAATCTGGAGATTGGTTTTTAAATAAAATGTTCCTCAGCTCTTTTCTATCCATATCAACTTCCTTTAGTTTATTGTAGAATCCTACACCTAAGTCGCTTAGGTATAGGATCCTACGCCATTGGTTAGACTTAATTGATCAACTATCAAAATTAATGAAATTAAACAAAACCTGTGTTGTGTCGTCATTTTTTTTCGCAATTTTAATTTTCAAACAAGATAATATATTAGCATTTTTAAATCGTGATATTTCACACAGTCATACATCGCTTAAAAATTAAAATAACGAAAAAAAACCAATGATAAAACACAGATAATATTCTTATCTTTAATATTGATAATAGGTCAATTAATTTTCATACTAAAACTATTAACTAACAGTACGGAGTTATACCTGCTGAACGGAAATTTGCTGTCACACGATTGTGTGTGTGTTGTCTTCTTAATATTTCTATTATTGTTTATCTATATTGTATAAAAAGAAAAAAAACACTCACTACAATTATAATGTCCTATATAACTTTTTTTTTATTATTATTAATTTAAGAGATTTTTATTATAGTCATTAAATATTTCAGATTAGTCATTGGCATTGAAACAAATAATAATATTATATGCGTTTTTTTAAATAATTGTATTTAATATAGTTTTAGTGATTATTATATTATTATTAGTTTAAATTGCAAAATATACATATATAAATATTATAGAATATTATAAATATATATCGGTGAGATAAGATCAAGGACGAAGGCCGAGAGTAGGCACGTTATAGTGTCTATAAAAGTATATGAAATCATAATTAATTTTGTACCTATCCGGAGTGGCATTGAGTAATAATAGCAGGTACCTAGGCCAGTTGTGGTCGTGATAATAGGATAATACAACAATCGAACAATGTCGAAAGTCTTATCAAAACCGTACAAACTTTAACGACCAATTCGGTTTAGATAGCCGGTAAACATATATTTTATAATAACGTCATAATATTGTTGTATTAACGACGAATCGTACTTTTACAATAATATATTGTCTTTCGAGAGACGTTATTTTAAGAACGAAAAAACATCTCCCAATGTATATTATTTTTATACGAGAGAAAGACGGTACGTGACCACTAGAGTCCGCCGGAGAAAAAAAAGAAATAAAACAAATAAGGCGGGAGGTCTAATTTTAGTATTTATTGCGACTGGCCTCCGTCCTCCCTCCTGTCGATATTTTTTACGCTATTATTCGCATTGTCTCTGGATCCGTACGCCTTGTACCTGCTATTGCCTATAATAATTGTGCGGTATTCTGGCTGCGAAATGGTTAAATTCAGAATTCAAAGGAGACCATATTTAAAGGGTTTTATTGGGGAGTTCGACACCCCTCCCATCATGAAATATTTTTTATTATTTTCAAGATAAATGCTTATTAAGTTTGTAACAAATATAATAGATTATTTATCTTAAAAATCCTTCTCGAAAATTAAGTCCATTTGCGACTATAGGTATAGGTACTTTTACAAAGATATACCTAATTATCCGGAATTTTCAGTCAGAAGTAATTTTTTTTCAAATATATTTATTGAAATTTTAAACAGTTAACCCAAGCCTGGCTATAACCCACGGGCTACGAGACTTCAAGGACCAGAGTTTGTTATTTATTTATAGACTTAATCATTATCTTTGTATTTGTTGATATATTTTTATTGCTTTTTATATTAGGTAATATTTGTAGCTTTTGAATTGGGATCAATTATCTCTATATGTTATTTGCTTGCTGTCCCACCTGATGTTATTCATGCCAAAAAACAATATTTTTAATAATCTTTTGATTCTGAGTGAGGAAAGTATTGGTTAGGTTGATGATATTTAATTTTTTCTTTGTACTGTGTACAAAATGTCTCCTATCTTGCACCAATCAAAACATGACAAAAGACTTTTTGTTGCATTTTGGCTTTATTTGGTACTTTAAAAAGGTCATTTTTTGGAATTTTCATTAATATTCAAGATACTGAGGGAAATTTGGATCTTTAAGTTAAAATCGATTAGAAGATTAAAAACAAGGTCGTTAACGTTTTTATTATTTTAGTTTCTTTTAAACAATCATAGTTGTTATGAAAATGTATATTGTTAGAAAAGTATCTCTATTGATCAAGTTCTGCTCAGAATCAGTTTTCGTTAGGGATGATTAATAGTTGAGTATAGATATAAATTAAATTCCCCTCTATATCTTAACTTCTCATTTTCTCACCTATGACAGTGACTGCTAGGTGTCATGTATGTCAGTACGATTTTTGTTTGTTTTTTTTTTTTAATTCCATTTGTAACACCAAGATAATCCATTAATCAACAAATTATATTTTCGTGCCAAAAAAACCACAAACCATGAGTCAGGGGCTTCCTTTAGGGCTTGCATTTGGAGGATAAAAGTAGCCTATATATTATTACTGGACTATAGGAATACGTCTATGTAAACTTTCAGCTCAGTTCGTGCGGCAGTTTTGGTGTGAGTAGGTCACAAGTTATTGCATTTATACGCAATATTAATTGGACAGGATTGTTTTTCTTTTAAATATATTTAACAATTTGTTTTTTATAAATATTTTTTTAGGACTTTCTAGTTGTGTCTTAACTCAAAATACGGACTTGATTTTACCTTTAGGTATTTTTTGTTGATATTTTCATTTTTGTTGATTTTTGGGTTACCTTGACTACATAAGAGCAAAAACACGACCGATAGTTGTGTTCTGCTTGGAATTCTTATTGCGTTTGCAACGATTCATTGTTAATTCATCGTAGATATGATTTATTAACAAAACATTACTTTACACATCCTACATTCCTGTCTTTCCAACTTCCTCCCTACAATAAAGGCCTACCCACGATACGAAGTGTGTTCGGCTTTTTTTAAAAATAGCTTGGTAATAATATTATAGTTGTACGTAATTTTCTATTGATAAATCCGATCATTTTGGGCGTTACCTATATACCTACGTTTCAAGTGTACCTCAATAATAGTTGTTATAATTATTTATTATCGCTCGTCGTCGTCGGCCAGACGAACGGAGATGGTAGAACATGACGCGCGGGGCGGCAGTATAATTATCGTTCCTGTCTTAAAAAAAAAAAAAGTACTTGCGTGTGTACCGACAACGATTTAAGGTCACGGAGAGCGGTTTGCACTTGCATTAGTCGCATCTCGCACGGTGTGTAGACAAAAAATTAATAATAATACGGGAAAACATGAAAAAAAAAACGGTAGGTCAGTTGTTGTCGACGTATCCCCCCCTACCCCCTTACTGGACTCGGGCGCGAGAGTATTTACGATGCCCGGGAGCTTGCAGTATACTTTTTTTTTTTTATTACCGAACGTCTGGCAAACCGGCGAGCGGTTTTTAGGAACGCGGCGCCCGGAGACGTCGTCGTGTGCCGAGAAATCGCAATCGGGCAGCAGCGACACAGTGCGTCCGGGCTGGCCGGTCGGAAACTATCTACCGACCGCCGGGCAAAATATTGCCCGGCACGGTGTAATCATAACGATAATATTATCAACGCGATAATAATAATTATCATAAAAATAGTTTGTAATCGACGTGTGCAGCAGCAAGTCAGCGCGACTCGACTGTGAGGTCGTCGTCGACAATGATAACCGCCACGATCACATTCCGCACCGGCGGCGGCACGATGGCAGTTTTTTTTTAGGCGGGAAATCAGCGCTCTGTCGGGGAATATTTGGCGTTGTGCCGACCGGTCGCACTGCGGCGGTCTGCGAAACAGACGGTCACCCACGCAGATAAAGAGAAAAACGGAGTTACGAAAAAACAACAAACGAGAGATAACACGTCCGACGTAAGTACGTCGTTATTACACGCGCAACAAGAACTCGACTATGATATTATTATTATTGTAACGATGGTGTAGTTTATAGTAATTAGTTAAAAAAAAAAAAAAATAATACTAGATAGTAATAATAATAATAATAAAAAAAAAACAATAACAATAATTACAATACTAATGATAATTGATAATAAAGTAGGTACAAAAATCGTAAAATAAAAAATAAATAATTATGCGCGAAACCGAAACGTCCGTCGTCTACGTCCTGTTTAAATTTAAGTGTTGAAATCCGATCCGGGTACCTGTATTCGTTTATTTTTTTACTTTTTTTTTTTCTGTGCCTGTGTATTTACAAATGACACAACATGTACTGCCAGCCAAACTGCAACAATTCTACGTCCAAATTGAAAGATGGTGAGTCCAATCGTTTATTACAGTCAGGTCCTATGTGTCGCTATAATATAATATTAGTTAGGTATTAACAATTCAAATATAATAATATGTGTATGAGATAGGTATGTAGGTTAAATCTTGGTTTCTATGTAAACTGCAATAATTTGTTTGTCAACATTCCAATTTCTCTTCAATTATTATTTTTTATTTTTACAGGGAATCAACACAGAAATTGCAACCCTTTTTAATATTGTTTTTTTTTTCTGATCCAATATGGAATGTTTGAAATAGATACCTTCTTATTATGTAAATTAAGCAACTTTTATGTAGGACGTTTGTTCAATTTTTAATATTCAATTCAATAAGCTATATTATATTTTAATTGAGCATTTACTTATTAAAATCTATGTAGGTAGCCTATTTTTTTTTCCAATAGTTTCTACTGTACCGGGATAGTTAGCATTGGTTTCCCCAAAGTTACCTCTCTCTCTATATAAATTATTAATTAAATTTAAATTTTGAAAGCAAACATGGATTTATCTGAGTTCACTTAACTTATGCCTAGGTATCTATTGAGGTAGATAGTTACTTGCCTAATGAATATATTAGACATTTTCATTTTATTTGTTTATTATAGATGGCTTATACCTAACCTAACTTAATCTACTGCACAATTTACCCAAAGTATTTCAACATTATTACCCTGATTAATACTAAATTTAGGTAGTGTCTATATATTTATTTTATTTACATACATAATTTTTTAATTACTCTATTCAATATTATAAAAATTGTATCTTATCGTCCACCTAATTTAGTTAGTTGATTCATATACTTGCACATATTTTTCATATTAAACTTAACTTAACTTAATCTTATATGTAAATATTTTCTATTTTATATTATTTATATCGGTATACAACTATTTCTATTCAAATTTTAGGCGATAAAAGAACTAGGTATTTGTGAAATATTTTGTGTGGTGATTAATTTCTAATTGGCAGATATCATACTATTTGTAAATAAGTAATAACTAAGTTTATTATTCTGTAAATAATACTTAGTACCTACCTAAGATATTTGGTATAATTTTATCGCTGATATATTATTGCAATTTATTTAGAAATCAAGTGATATAGGTAGGTATAAAATATATTATGTTTGTTAAATTGATTAATTCAGTAGGTATAAATAATATTAGTTTCATGTTTTTATGATAGGTAAGTACCGTAAATAAGTAGGGAGTTACCTACCAAGTATCTACCTAATATTAAGAACTGTTATTATATAATAGTTTAATACATTTCAAGTTAATCAAATCTTATAAATTTTCATCAATAAGTTTACTTATGATGTATGCTTTAAATTTTTAATTTACCAGATCACTTTTTTTTTCAAATTCAGTTTATTTGTCAAATAATTAATTTTAAAAAGTTATCATAGTTTGTAAATGTGTTGAGATTTATAATATAGGTATTTTTTTTAGGTATTCCTAAGTAAAATCCTTGATATTTATTAAATATTATTAATGCATCCCATATAATATAGATAAATACATCTGTAATTACATTAGACTTTTATCTATGTTACACTTTTATTATTTAACTAGCAAAAGACATGCTTGGTGGTTTTATTATTTAACCAGGTTACCGCGTATAATTTTATTCAATTATGATTTTAAAAATTCAGTGTATATGTAGGTTCATGTACTTGTAGATTTTTAAAATGGTTTTTCTTAGTACCTACCTATACACATAGGCATAATGATTAGGTACTTTTTTTTTTTTATTTGACATGCAACGTTTTTTAGAAGGGAAGTTCAATAGCCATGAAATTCTTCCGAATAAAATACATTTTTAACACCTAATAGGTATTAAATTAATATAAATTTTAAAACTTTCGATTTTTGATCAAATTTTTAAGTATGTAGCTATAGTTATTAATTTAAATTTGAAGTTTTCAAAAGATTTTCATGAATTATTTATATCAGGTAAATAAACATTTCTAAATTCTTAATCCTTTTAATTTTAACAAAATTTGTTTTACTTTTTTTAGATTCTAAAAAAAAAAATAAAACAAATCCTTTTAAAATTTAAAAGATAATAATTTTTGAAATGCATTATGTGAAATTGACAATGTACCTATTGTTTTATTTCAAGTTTAATTTTATAAAACTAATTGTTTACATTGGACATTTTAAATTATAGAACAAGCTTAATTATTTTTACCATCTACCCAATACATATAATTTGAAATTTAGAAATGATGTGTATAATTTTTTTATTTTTTTAGGTACCTAACCGCTTAAGATATTGTAATAACCCTGAAAATGATTAGTTGCAATGTTTATAATGTAGTATTATTATTTTTTAAATGTTTAGTACTTTTGTATGCTATACATACTTTTTTCTCGCTTTTTTCCTTTATAATACAATAATAATAGACATGTATTTTTAAATAGACAATATTCGTGTAGGTATTTCAACTAAATACATTAAATTAGTATCCACTAAACATCATTATTTTAAAATATAAAAAACACATTTTTAGTTTCATTTGTGTTAAGCTTCCTATTATTATAATTTATTGTCTTTGCATTTTAAACATGAATGTCAAAATACAATTATTTGAAAAAAAATGTGTTTCATTAATTTTAAAAATGTAGGTACCTAACTTTAAATTACGATAAAATCACTTGTTCAAAAAAAAGCTGTTTATATTATGACTTAACTTTTATTTATAGGTACTAATACTATAGCACTATATCCTTTTTTATTTGTATTGACCGGGTCAATAAACCATTTTTAAAATTTGGATTAATCCGATTATTATTATATTGTCTCGTATAAAACGTTGAAAGGCTTTACATATAAAGTCATTATCGAAACCTTTTAAGTTTAAAATCGTAACATTGAGTACAGTCGTGTACTGTATTCATAATACTTTTTACGTCTTTGGATTTGTTTGAATATTTTCTGATTGAAATGAACACTTGAGTTTTCAAACGGAGACCTTCACCGTTCTCCTCTAGCAGACCCCAGATGATAATTTACGTTCAAAAATAATTATTACACGTCTGAGAGAGGGTCTCCCGCTGAGCTTCTGGATAAACGCATACATTATGGTCGATTGCCTCTCAAGGGTGTGAACAGTAATTTATTGCGCCCTCTTTATATTTCTGGAGTTTCTCCCCCTTAACCAAGGTTTTGTGGAGACTGAATATATTGTTTCTTCGCACTGCGCTGTTATATTGCAAACATCATATGAAATATCCACCTCCCGTCGTATAGTATAACAATGACCTTCGGTCCGGTAATATTGGATTTTATTGCCTAGGGCCACTGGAATTTTTTTCTATTTATTAAATAAGTTTTGGCGAATAAAAAAAGTCTAGATGGTTTAAAAAAAAAATAATGCAATTTTCGAACAAAACAAAGCGAAAACATAACGCGTGTTTCACATAAAATATAATGTACGTACAATGTCTGAAAAAACATTCATTCAGGGTGTTCCGTTTAACTTGAAACTTACGTTAATTTTCTCTTAGAATAATATTTGGAATTAATTAGTCTGTTCTTAAAAACGAGTATACTAACTATCAAAAAAACCTAAAATTAATTGTACATTTTGTACTAATGATTTTACGTCTTATGTTTTTTAGCTCTCGACTAAAATTGACTTTGTATCTTAAGATCTGTTTATAAAATTGATTTTGATTTTTTCAATTTGATATAAAATTAAACATTTTTGCTCCATATTAATTGTATTATCTTCTTCAATCTTATTTAGAGCTATTTAAGTCCATCGATGTTATATACAGATTCTTCTATAATCTTCATTGTCTGCCTATTTTCCAGAGTTATTCTGAACAAATTTACTTGCTTGAGATACTAAATGAGCTCCGTTCTTCAAAGCATCGAACCATTTTATTTTTTTTACCAAATTTTTTTTTTTTGGTCTCCTCGGAGGTCTTTTACCTACTGGTTTTCACTCTAATGTATCCTTGGATGTTATACTGTGATATGGAAATATTTAGTACATAATCTAATCAGAACTTTATTCGTTTAGCGTATCGTTATCTAACAAGTTATTTCAATTCAGCATTTGACCTTCTTTTATATTGTCTTAGTTGCTGTTTGTTCATTTGTTTAAGATTCATGTTTTGTAACTTATATATAATGCCAGTTAAATTTTTAATACACTAAGTGTTTAGCAGCTGAATTGAATAGTTATCTAATAATATTATAATACTTTTATCGTAATATTATAATAGGTATATTTATTGTTATGTATAACTTATCTCAAACACGCCCACTACTACGTCGGTTTCATACACGGTGAAACAGTGAATTTCCTACGTACCCACGAGAAAATATGGGTCCCCTTGTTTGTTTACACCGATGTTTACACTTATAGCATGTTATCTTCCTTTTTTTCATTAGGTATCATATTATAATGTTATATTATTATTGCAGATTTTAGGCTTCTCAACATAAGTTTAGAACACCTTATAATCCCGTTGTGTCCGCGGTGTTATTGCTATACGCTTACTGTTGTTGATTTGGTCGATAATGCGCTGTGTTATATTATTTGCAATATTATTATTATTTTCATTCATTTAAGTATACATTTCTAACATTATTGTTATAACTATCAATTAAAATATTATGACTTTTAAATAAATTCATATTAGCCATTATTTAAAAAAAAAAATTGGTACCGAAGTATAATTACTTTAATAATTTTAATAATGTCCCGTAAACATTTTATAAATTAAGATATTTAATTTATATAGGTTTTTGTACGTAAGCATACTATACTAGGATTCCAAGTACTTTTAAAATTGTAAACATAATTATAGTTTATTGTTTAAAATAATTCCGTTTAGAAACCGTGAACTTTGCACGATCATAGAATGGGCTTTCCTATTTGTTTTTTTTTTTTTATGTAAGTCTGTTTTAATATTTCTACGTTTGAAGTAATGTTGATAGCGTTCTTTTTAAAAATGAATTCGTTCCCGTTCCTCCTCCTACTACAAAAAAATAACTCGTTCCTGTTCCTCGTTTCTTATTTAAAAAAGAACTTGTGCTTGTTTCTTGTTCCTTATCAAAAAAAAAGAACGTTTAAAGGAAATATTTTCATTTTTAAAGAATAAGTTCTTTTTTTTATTTTTTTTATTTATATATACCTACTGCAGTCTAAAGTAATTTGTTTTATATTCTTATTTTGAAAATATCACTAATTAATTTGCTTTGGATATCTACATATTTGACATTAAAGATTTTCATGTGTTATTCATTAGTCATTTTTTACTTGTTTTTACTTAATTTCCATGAAAAATAAGTGAGTTAATCAAGTCAACTAAAATCGGAAACTATTCTCACTTCTTGGAATTGACATATTTAAAATTCTAATAAATAAAATAATTTATTTCCTACTTTCCTACCTTAAAGAAATGAAAATTATAAAAAACATATTACTTGAAAAATCCCTGGATCCCGGTAGGACGGCGTGGCGACATCATTTTAAACAATATTATCACCTGAAACATCGTTTATACTACGGTTATCTAAATATACAACCGCGTGGTTTATATTATTATATTATGTATCTTGTATGTTAATAAAAAAATTGGAGAAACAATGCATTGTGCCATTGTGGTAATTTATTGGTGACTGACGAAGTGATACCAACACTAAATAATTTCTAGACAATATTATCACTAAAATAACATTCCGTTTTTTTTTTCGTAATAGAAGGAACGAACATTTGTGTTCACGTTCCTCGTTCATGTATTTAAAAAAAAAATTGCTGTCAAGCTTCGTTCCTAGGAAAGAAACGCGTTCCTATAGGAATGCGTTTTACACGAGATTGATGGATGTTTTTTTTTTTTATTATTAATTTTACGAAATGTACAAACATATTATTATTCAGTATTAATTAAACCAAGTTACCTATAAGTACTTAAGTATTGTGATTACGGTGTAATCGTAATCATTTATTTATATGAAAAAAATAAGATCGCGTTCGACGTAAATGTACAACTAACATAGTAGGTACACGTAGAAATAAATATAAATATTTTCGAGAGTTGATAATACTATTTCTCTGATTATTTTGTGGAGAATATTGAAATCGTGATTATTAAAAATATTTATAGAATATTATGTTAAGAATTTGTTTGTTTTCTTATTTTATACTTGATCAATTTATGACAATAATAATAATAATAATAATAATAATAATAATAATAATAATAGTAATCATGATTAATCAAAGAGTAAAACTATGTATATGAATTAAATAAAAAAAAAAAAAATAATATACATTATAAATTTAACAAAAGAACTTTAACCTCATCTCGGTTTCGTAATCATGAAAGAAATCAAATTCTTTTATCGTATTGCTAGAGGATAGATAAATCTATTGAGTGGTGAATTTAGCCCATAATTACAGAGGGGGGTCGGTGATGTATAGAACAAGGTAGCAGAGCGAAGAGAACACTGTGGCACATTAATTGCTATCAACCCTAAAGCTTCAGGGCAATCTATTTTATTATTTAGGTGGTTATAAATCCATAGTGCATGAATGCATTTTCTTCTCTACTCTAAATTTTTCAATTTGAATTCATTAGTAATGTCCTCTAATCGCTCATCTTGTCTGTCCAGTTTCCATTGTAGGACACGTACAAAGGGTCTTTGAATAAGTTCAAGTTTTAACTGTGTAATATAATATTATATATAGTAACAATATTGTTTTAATTGATTGAATGTGTTATTGTCGCATTATCATTCCACGGATGTTTGACAGCTATTTCGTAATATTTTTTTGTGTTTTCACAATTCGTGGTATTAGTTTCATCAGTCACTGAAATAATCTCAAATGCCGCGACGCATCTTCTTAGTTTTGTAATTCACTAGCGTTTCCGCGTAAGCAGTATTTATTTTTCGATTTGTCTTTACTTTTTGCTTGAAGTCGAAGTTCAATTTTACCGTCGCGATAATCGTTCGTTTGTCAAGAGTTCATCTAAACGTCGTGTCGTCGGTGAGTATCTGCAATGACATTTTAACGAGATCAAAACGTCGTTTTTCGACATTCTGTACTTGGTCAAAAAAATAATCCCTCTAAATTCTCTAGATCCGTCGGTGCGGCAGAGTTTGCTACTTAGTTGGTATTATTTTTTTTACGGAATAAACGAGGAATTTTACCACCGGTAACATCAAAACTGTGTGTTAATCTTTAATAATTAAATGAAAAAATAAGGTAAATATTTCGGGTATTTATCCATCCGAAATTTGTGTAAATTTTTTAAAATTTTCATTTAAAATTCAAAACTTTTATACTTTACTATATTATTCTTTCCGACCCTGATTAAAATTAATACTATTTACTATTCTATTTAGTAATACTATTTAAGTACTATATTTTGTTACACCCGGATATCTAATATTGATTCGCGTGTAAAATGTAAATATTGTTAGAGAGAGTTGTACAAAATAATTCATAGTCGTAAGATATTTTCAGTTGTCTAAAAATTGGGAAAACTATTAAAAAAAAAAGAAGACATTATTTTAGTAAAAAAATACCCGTATTATATTAAAATTACTCGTTCGTTGTTTCAAACTAGTATAATCTTGTAAAGAACTGCTTTTTTTTTATATTGTGAGTATACATATTTATATTATACAAGGCAAACTATTATTATTAAATATGTAAGTATAAATTAACAATATTTTATGAAATACCTTAATTAAAATATAAACAGAATAAGGAACTATTGTTATGAAAACTACTTTAACGTAAAAAGGCGTTGGAGAAAATTAAAAACGAATTACCCGGAATTAGATTATAAATTCAAAATTTGTTGAAGAACAAAAAAGTAAAAAACATAATTGATAAAATATCAGCTTTTGTTTTACATTAAAATATTTTAATATTATTATAAGCTTTAATTATATTATAATAGACGCTTCGATTTTTAAACGTCAATTTGATTTTAAATTTTATTCAAGGTTTGTATGTTAAGTTTTTTTTTTAATAATATTGAATACGAATTATGTAGTAATTTTTCTTATGTACTTTTTGGTCCTTATATTGACAAAAGACGATTAATAAAATAATATTTAATCTTTTCATAAAATAAATTATCTTAATCTACTATTAAAATGTATCGACAATTGCAAAATAGTATTCTTATAGTGTGTTCTAAATCCTAATACTTTTTAGAAAAAACTTACTATATTTCTAAACTGGGGAATAAAAACAAAATTCGACCCATTTCTAATGGAGGGATTGTTTGGATAATATTACAGGTCAGGTACCGAATAACACGGTTTAAGTAAATGCATTTTTTCATGAATCTTATTTGAAGAGGTACTAAAAAAAAATTAAATCGCTATTGGTCAATTTTTCTACCCGAAAAGATAATAAAAATTAACCCTTGAGAACATGGAAACGCAAAATTTGCAAACATCGATCTAACCTATCTAAAAAATTGATTGATTGTACATTGTTGGAAACTTTTAAAATTGATTGGACTTCATTTTGAATAGAAGACCAATTTGAATATAGGTATTTATTGATTATGAAGTAGGCTTTCGACATTTTATACCTATCGAGTTCCATCCCATTCAGTCATTTAGTTATTAAAATGCTAGAAACCAGCTATATGTTGTAGACTGGATTTAAACTTGAGTACATTTTTTTATTAAAATAATTAATTTTGAACATGTCTCCTAATGTTATGTTTATTCGAGTATAATATTATGGATTTATTTGGGTACTATGTTATTTATTCAATTTACTTAAAGCCTGATTTACAAGATATTGGTACATTATTGTAAACGAATTTAGTATATAATTTTTAGGCATATTTATTTAAAATGTATATACAATACATATATGTATATTATGCATACTAGTTGTATTACCCGGCTTTATCCGTGTGCAGTTTTTTAAAATACTTTTTGGTAATTGAAATTGGTAATTAATTTTTTGAAAATTTTAATAATTTTCTTTTCATTCATAACAATATTGTTTATGAATTATATTGTTTATCGTCATTGATTAATTGATACTGCCTAATAACTTTAATATGACAATATTATTGTATGATAGTAACTCATGGAAAAAAGAATCTTTGTCATATACCCTGACTGGTTAGATAGTATTTAATAACTGATTAAATATTGTAATATCCATATTTGCAAAAACTTCAAAAAATCGTAGAAAATAAAAGTCCATATTTTAATAAAAGTTTCAATCGCCAAAAATGTCTAAAAATCTATATTATAAAATGGTTATTTTTAATTTTTTAATGTCCTCCTCCCCTTAAAAAAAATAGTCATACATAAACTGTAGCGCAGGGGCATACTTATTATTAAAACATATTGAATAGAACAAAAGTTATTGTATTTGTTGAATCCTCGTAGGACACCCTGTATATATATGTATATATTATAAAATATATATTATATACCTGCATAAATATAATTTACTATGGATATTAACATAATATAAGTTGGTATGCCATAAATAACGGACCAACCAGCAACAATAGTACAACAATAGTTTCTGTTTTTCAGGTAAATAATTTATTTATGATAAAATAGGTATTTATACCAACGAAACTCATTTTTCATTAATTTGGTCGTCAATCTCAATTTTTTTTTTTTCATCTCGTATTAGATCTATTGTTTATTCGTAGTAGTAGTTCATTGTTCTTTTTAGTGGTGTATTTTTCATTTTTCTATACAAAAATGTTTGGGAAAAAATCTAGTTGGGTAGGTAGCTATAATTTAAATGTATGCCCTAAGTGTATTTAACATTTTCAGAAAGCTGTACGGATTTACGGGAATGAATATCTCCATAGATTTTTGACAGGTAATATGTAAAATACATTCACGGATCATTTACTTCCACGAGTTATAAATTAGTTGAAAATAATGAAAAAATCAGGCAAAAATCTGTTTGATTATAAATATTATATTGTTGATAATTTCGTTATATCTTATTTAGTTAATTCTATGTGTTTAGGATGCGGAGATTACTGAGAGTTATTGGGATAATTAATTTTGTTGTTTGCCAGTGTATTGATATCGTTGGACAATCATTTCTATGCACATTCGCAGCAGTGGCGTTCAAAATATATTTATTTTTTTTCTGCGAGGCTCAGTAATTTGCTTTATTGCATCGCCGCTGCTATCAAAAAATCAGTAATAAGTTGTTATTGTTAATTATTATACTTCAAACTCGCTGTTCCATATTATTATTGTGGCTCAACAATATTACGCCTCCTATCACCCACAACTCATAACCCGTCCTTTTTTTATTTCTACGTTGTACTGTGATAACGATATTATGATATTAAATGCCCGTTTCTGTCGTAAAGTACATCGGGCGTGTATAATGTTTTTATTGATAGTAAAACGAAATTAAAATATTTTGGCTTAATTTGTATTTCATAACAATACGAATAGTACAACAACTCGTTAAATAGTGTTATTATTGATTTAAATTTTAATTGACGACTATAATATGTTTAACAATGCGACTATAATATTATTATCAATTAAAATGTAGATATTGATATTGTACACAGTGCAGCACCTATTAAACTGTTGGGTTTTTAACGATTTTACTATTAGTACGTTTATACGATGGCGTTGAATAGAAATCGTTTTAAAAAGAAAGCGTATTCTTGTCATGTAAACACTTTAAAACGGTTTGAAGACATTAAACCATTTTCAAAAAATGGAACCGTTTGGATGTAAAAGCTATTTTTCGGTTTTGGTTTTTAGTTGAAATAAAATTATTATAATGAACTATAGGTAGTATGTTTAGTTAAACGTAATCGTAGAGAGCTGAAATTTTCGCTGAATATTTATATTACCCAACACTTTTTAGATTTAATACAATTTTCAAAACATAACAATCTGACGTTTTACGATTTTTTGAAATTTTCTAGTTTCTTTTTTTTTCACTTTATTCTCCAGAGCTATTCGATCTTTTTAAAATATATAATAACATAAAAAACCGCACGCATCATGATCTACGTCGTCAAAGTTTGATTATGCAAATATCAGTCAGTTTTAATTAACCTTAGTTTTATAATAAACGCCATAGCCGACTGTCAGCTATCTCGTGTCACGCAATTTTCTCTCTTGGTATATGGGAAATTGAATTAGGCTTGGCTAACCGGCGTTTCGTTTAATGTACTGTATAAACCGCTAACTCATGTTATTTAATCATTAGCTAACCGATGACACACGGGCAAATTAAATTACTAATTTGCTTATCGTTATATATGTTTTAATTTTTTTTCTTATCGTAATGTGTGAGTCGTCAATATTATTTATTATAAATACTTCTATTGAGTCGTCAATATTATTTATTATAAATACTTCTATTGAGTTGTTAACAAATTGGTACATTTATGTATTATTAAATTAAGTCACGCGTAATAATACGACACAGTGTATCTATTTATACCTAACAAGTTAATGGAAATCCTATTGTAAATAAATGCTATTGTATTTGGTTATGTATAATGATACATTACCTATATAGCACTTATATTAGATTCTGAGTTTATATACTTATATAGTTTATATAGTTTTACTAAGATGTGTTTTTTTCTCTCAGAAAACACTTTTTTTTGTTTGTAAAAAAGGCTTAGATTTGTTTATGCCGTACTTTACGCGACGTGAATTTTCCGCTTGATGGTACTTTTTTTGAATTTTTTTTATCGAAAATAAAACAATTGATAACAAATGATGATACACCAGTTTCATTTTTGTTGATTTATGGGTTACTTATTAGATACAAGTGAAAGAAAAGCATGACTAATACTGTTTTCTTACCTACAGTTTGTCGAGCTGCGTTCAAAATCGTCTTTTGATTGAAATGATTTATCGTTGCTTTCAATGTAATTTATTCTAAACTATCTAAGTACTCTTTATCCTGTATATAGTTAATACCCTTCCAATTTTTCATCTACAATAGTGGCAATCATGAGCTATAGTGCGATGCATGTCCGGTTTTTTTGTTTTAATTTCATTGTAAAAAGCTTTTAGACTTTGCATATCATAACATCTGTTGAATTTGATACATGATTTACTATAAAGTGATTATTCTTGTGAATCAATATTATTTTATTATGATGCAAGAATTTTATTGTAGTCACATTGTATTCGTTATTATAATAATATAATTTTATCTCAATAAGTTCACAATCTATGTAGAAAAAGAAATTACCAAATTAATATTGTCCTATTAAAACTGTTTAATATTTTAAATTATGTCGTTGAGTAAACTACTGCAGTGATTATTACTCGGTTGCAGGTTGTACAAATTTGTTGTCAATACGTGTCTAATTTTTCCACTTATTATTTTTATTGTATAGTAATTCTTAGATATAAGTACCAAATATTATGTTTCTATTCATAATATTAATAATTTATAAACAAAAACCATTTTAAATCTTAGCGCTAAATATATATTGACTTTTTATCAATAATATTACTGTATTTGTATCTATTGTTCGATAAGAGTGTTTTCAAAACAGATTTTTAAATTATTTTATTTTAACCGCATGATTTGTTTTTTTTTTTTTAATATTTAAATATTTTATTTAGTTATTTTGTAATATCTATTTCCATTTGATATTGTCCAATTGCAATAATAAAACAAATTAGGTAGATATATATTTTTTTTTTCAATTTTTAAATGTATCTAAATGTCGAGCAACAACATTAAGTTATTATTGACACATTCAAATCTTTTTTTTTTTTTTTTAATGTATTCAAAATATTCATCACAAACTGTGTATATAGTCACCAATGAACATGTTTAAATTTTTTAAAAAAAAAAAGCGTTAATTGGGAAACCTATGCAAGGGATGTTGCACACTTGCAAGGGTTTATCTGCGTTTTTTCATAATAACATATACGAATATTCACATAAATAAATAATTGTATCGTGATTAATTGAATATTGCGAATACGCTAATCCCTAAATAATAGCCATCCGCTAAGAACTTTCAAATAAATGAAAAAAAAAATACCGCATACACATTAAACATATATTTACATATTTTTTCCGCGTAACACTATAAAAAATAAATGTAAATACGATTAATAAATTACCGAGAGTCCATTGCTGTATATAATAACCTTTATTTTTTGTATCAATAATAATTTGTACACGATCAATATTATAATTATTTTGTGATGCATTTGTAACAATAATAACATCGGAAATATGAGACGCGACAGAAATATTAATTAACTAATACAATTAGTTAATTAATTAACCAATTAATACAAACATATGTGTATACTACAGGCCCCCACTAGTTACTCTTATGTAGCGGTTGTAGTAACTACTGGAAAGGGTGCCCAAAACCTGTGGAGTAATTCCGGTGGTGAGGGGGGGGGGTTTCCAGAGGTTATCCAATATTCTTTCTCTTCCAGAGGCACACAACTTCTATAATTTGTCTGTTACAGGAAAATTAATTAGTATACAATAAACGTAAATCACGACTGAGTTGGAAAGACAGGTAATACAGGATGATTTAATTTATAAAATATAAAATATCATTGCAAACGAAAAATCGATTCCGTGCGAAATAGTGTTAGTTGTGTTTTTGTCCCATAGCTTAGATAAGTTAGAAAGCAACAAAAATAAAACCGGTGTATCGATATTTTTTATTAGTTTTTAAATTTAATGTACCTACATAAAAAAAAAAAACCGTTGGAAATCTAAACTTTTCAAATAACTTACTACCGTGAAAAGTATCCGCATATTTTAAGGTGTTTACGATTCGAAAAATTTAGAGTCTTTTTACTAACCGAAAAAGAAAAAAAAAAAGACCAAGGAAGCGAACTGTTAAAAATTTCTAGAAATATTTCAAATAAAATACGTCAAGCTGAGTTCTCGGTTGTAAAATATAAGAATTTTTAATATATTTACCATTTTACTTTTTCCCAGTTTATTAGCTTTAAATTGTTAATATTAATAAAATTAATATTATTTTGTGAATTGAATACTATTGTATAGATTATTAAATTAGTAGTGTAGTTGAGCGTATACGCGAGTTTACAGCGTGTACTCACTTCTCGAAATTTTCGTCAATGTTTATACTCACAAAAACACGTACTTATACATAGTTATCTTTATAGAACATCACACATTGGTGCACGTTGTTATAATGATTGAAGGTTCTCTACTAATAAATATATTATAGAAAAGATATAAAATTGTAGAGTTTATGTGTACTAAACAAACTAAACAATTTAAAATATCTATAAACAACCAAAGAATTGCTAGAAAATGTTTGAAAATTTTATCATGTCTAGAAAAGGCTAATATAAGTGGGCATTATATGAAAATGTCAGATCTCTAAGTTAAGTTGAATTAAAAAAAAAAAAAAAAAACAAAAAAATCATAAATAATAAATCTTTTATTGCTTTAAATTTATTCATTTTCCTCAAATATTATGAATTATAAAAGGAAAAACATAAAATTAACTAAATATTATGTATAAATATATATATTTACAAACTGGATAACCTACCTCCTCCCCGTTATTTAGTAAAAATGTATTACTTAATGGGGGGTGAACCTCTTGTTACGTTTAAAGTTTTTTCAAACGGATAATCACTAAACAATGTAGGTCTAAAATATGAAGGATACATTTTGATACAATAACGATTCGAATTAGTTTTTAAGTAATTTTGCCTACGATATAGTATATTATATTTTATTAACCATCTTCTTCTGCATTTTTCGCCACGATGATATTGTTTTTAGTAATTACTCTATACACTTTCAAACGATCATGGAATAAACGTAACATTTTAAGGTTTTTTTTTTTTTAAATATTTTTTTTCCGTTTCGTTTTGAACCTCGGTTCGTATACCTAGGTGTATTAAATTTTACACCGGAGGTAGATATACTTCGTGTAGCCATTCGTTCGCGTGACCACGGTTCTCGGACAACCTCGTAATTGAATTTCGGACAATCCGACTGCTGCTGCAAGGGTAGACAATAACGTGACGGTGTCGGGACGTTTTTCTTTTAGTAACTTAATCTCACCGCTGTTCGTTTTCTCTTGAATTTGTGGTGTAATTGTTTTTGCAGTGTATAGAATATAAGCAGCGGTCGAGTCGATATACACAGAAACACAACGCTCCACTTTAGACAAAAAGATGAACATACTTCGCACGTGGGTAGGCTACTATTGTAAGTGAGAAGTTAGGAAGGTAGTAGAGGGAAACTTTAATTGCTAACGTTGTTAACAAAAACACGATTTTGAGCGGAGTTCGGTTGATAGTTTTGCTTTGTAACAGAATATATGTAATATAATGATAAAATAATTACATATGCATTAAACATTTTCTTTAATAATATTTGTTTAATATTGTATCTATTTCCCCGTTTTTTTCCCGACTGTTATCATGTTTTTCCGATTTCTTGGGAAAATTTCTGGGACAATAAAAAAATGACCTTCCTAAAATACCACTCCAGGAAAACTCCCTTTTAGAAAAAGTCATATCATTGCAAATCAGAACAAGATTTATGGTAGAAAAGTTATTCACAGATAAAAATAAAAATAAACATCATTATAAAACCGATATATTCCTCGCTCCACTCAGAATCTAAAATTGTTGTATGTGTTTCTATGTGAAATTCGTTAATGATAAGTTAGTTTAGGTATCTAACCTATTATTTGCACCAAAAATATTACAAATCTTTTCTATATTTAAATTTATCATTACTCACCTACCTATCTACCGACCGTTTGATTGGCTCGTTTGTATTCATGTTCTGAATAATTAATATTTCGACTGTGCATCCGGTTAGGGAAATCCTTGGCTTTTTTTTCGAGGGGAGGGGGTCCCTTGTGTGTGGTTTCTTCCGGTGCCGGAAAATTGATCCAGTAGCATTGCGCTGTGCTCATCTTCGACTGTGTTTTTATATTGCCGGGGAATAGTATATACGCTCTCTCCTGAATTTAAATTAGAAATTAATGTTGGAGAGAGCGAGTGAAAACTATACATTCCGGGATTCTGCAGTGTAACCTTTTATGTAGGTCATATTTATTAAGGGACGTCGCAGCAGAGTGGGCGAAACACGCGAATAAGGGACGTAACGAGCACTTTATATTATTTTTTATAGGTCCGTTATGAATCCAAACCATTTATCTAATAGGTTCGGTCTTTAACATTTAACATGTTTTGTATATACAACAAATATATAGGTTTGTATCTATCTATGTATATAAATAATAAATGAACATATTTTATTGGGCTTCGTATTTTATCTAAATATAAGGTTTTAGGGTATTTTTGTTTTTTTTTTTTTTTTTTAGTTTAGTTTAACAGAATATCTTTAAAAAATAAACATGTATCGTTTTATTACGTACGTTAAAATTTACGATGTCCTTTTTACACGTTTCGGTCCCATACTGTCCGATGAACCTATCGTAGATTATAATATCGTCTCGAATTTATAATAATATAGATATCAATGTCATATTACTCGTATTTTCATTAATTACTATCAAGCATGTTTTTTGTTGTTTTTACGCGGCTATTAATAATAAAAAAACACCTCGTAGTATTGGAATACCATTTAAATTTTTAGATTCTAAAAATGTACCATACACGTTTATGATGTGGTTTCAAATCGGTAATAATCGATCTGAAACCGTGTTGAATTTCATATCGGCTGACCAAATAATTGGCGCACATTATACAATAAACGTATATAATAACTGCAGTATTTCGCTCTTTGTAAAACAAACTTGGGGGTCTAGAATTTCGATCTATGCGCTATAATGTTTGTGAAACTGCATTTATTGTATTATACGTGGTCAAAGAGGGGTTAGGCTCGGTTCGTAACGGGCCTTTAAAGTTATATAATAATAATAATAATAATAATAATAACAATAATTATTATTATTATTACAATTAATTATGACCACTTTTGGCGTAGCGGAAGGGACGTAGAAATGCAGTAGTATAGTTGATGTCGCTGCAATGACCCTTATATACACGCCAGATGGCGAATATTGTTTTGGGTGTAGTGCGAGCGAGAGTAGTGAGTGAGTGAAGGAGAGAAATTCGCTGCCCTATCCCCTATATATATATATATACATGTATCCCTATCCGTAATATCCCCTTTTTGATTTTAACAAGGATTTCACTGTCAAGCACGGTTAACGTAAGATCGAAATCCAGATTTATGCACCAAAGGGGAAACTTTTGTATTATATATATTATTATTCTTTTTTGTTTTGGTGGTCGCGTTTACACACACACACACACACACACACACACACACACAAACCTCAAGACATAACCTAAGGTACTTGTCGTCGATATATACAAAATACACTATATTTACGAATGAAATACCTATAATTATTACAATCGTTTTTAACTGTTTGAACTAAAATCTTTTGTAAATGCAAGTCATTTATACGGTTTTATTTCCAAGGATTATTTCGGTTTAAAATAAAATATCAATTTTCAAAATAATTAAGAATAATTGAGAACGGTTTTTTTTTTCGTCTAAAAGTATACAGATACACCTAACTAAAGTGCTTCACTTATTTTATTCGGGTAATGGATACCGGATTTTTATTTTATTCTTGTCGAACTGGCTATTGAAAACTATCGTATGGAATATGAATACATTTTGTACATAATACGAGTATGTAGCTATGTAGCTAGGTACTTTACTGAATACCGAATTGTACCTTTTGTGCAGTTTGTGGCGGGGTATATGTATAGAATAGTAATGTTATTATTTTCGGTTTCAACCCATAACCTGCGTAACGACGATGGTACATATTAAATAAGTATATTATAATGTGTATTTTTTGTGGAGACACTTTTTAAAAATACGATTCGTAAATTTCCTCATGTAAACACTGTAGACATTTTGTACATTTGTAAAATTGGGAATTAAGAAATAATATTGCGGGCTTGTAAAAAAAAAAAAAAAATAAAATAAACCGTAACTATACAATTTCGTTAAAAATAATATGCAACCGGATGATTGAAGGTTCCATATTTATAGGTGCCCATAGGTACCAATAATAAACCGCATCGTTAGGAACCACGAACACACGTTTTCGGACTCCGATCTTTGATTTTATACGCAAAAATGTCGTGTGGGTAAAATGTAAACGTATCGAAATTATATCGAAAAAAAAAAAAAAAATCCAATATTCCAATATTTACCTTTAGTAACAACAACAACAATAATGATAATAGTAGTAACGCGAGAAATTAATAATAACAATAACAACGCAGACTGCTGTGCACGACCACTGTATTACGTCTGGTGTGCATTATTTATGGTTATTAAACGTCTACCCAACTCCCATACGATAATATAAAATATCCGCGTTCTACATATTTTCTCGTTGCTGTCACGCGTAATCTAGTTGTTTTTTTTTTTCATCCGAATTATTTGTATACGATAAAGTCTCCAATAAAACAGAACGTACCTACACGTATACCATACGTAAAACGCGTCGTCGTATGTAACATTATAAACACAAGTAATCGCGACGACGACTACGGCCGAACAATAATATCGCGTCCCGGGGAACGGCGACACTGGCGGCCACGAGCCGACACCACCACACACGGCTCGGCGGCGGCCAGTCCGCTACTGAATTTTCGAGTTTAGTGGTTCTCGTGACCCGCTGGTCAATGGTTTCGTCCCGCGTCCGTTTTCATAGCCGCGCGTGTTGATCATTTTTTTCATATTTTTCTTTCCACGGTAATAATGACGTACACCGTGCGTACGAGTACTCGCTTATTATTGTTATCATTATAAATCCGGACGTTTAATATTGTATTGTATTAACCGTGGTTTTGTGCGAATATTGACCGCGTGTAATAATAATAATAATAATAATATCCAATTATTATCGTGCGCACCACGTAAACTTATTATTCATCGGCATCCATGTAAAATTATTCCAGCGCGCGCGTCCGATTAAAATATCAAATATTGTTATTTCGGTGTGTCCGGTAAAATTGCAGGTATTATATTGTTGAAATTTGTTTTGCAACTGCCTAGTAGTGGGTGTATTATAACGAGCGTCACGAGATTGTTATAAATTTCGATTCCGTACAACCGAATAGATACGCGTCAGAGTTGGAAAAAAAAAAAAAAAAAAAAAATTCCCGATACCTGTTATACAATTTTATGTGTAACGTTCTACTCTTTGTTTAGACTGTTATTAATTATAATGATATAATACCTATATAATATTATCGATGCAGTTATTTTTTCATTATCATTGTTGTTCCAGGAGTTACCATGAGAGAAAAGAAGAGCGGCGCTTTGAGCAAAGTTCAAAAAATTAAGAAACGTCTGAGTCACAGTTTCGGCCGACTATGTAAGTACACGCGAATTTTTTTTTTACAGTTTTATTTTGTTCCATTGTTTTTTTTTTTTTTTTTTTTTTTTTTTCCTTTTTTTTTTTTTTTTTTTTTTTTTTTTTTACTGTTAAACAAACGTTCCGGGTAAGCGATCGACGTTCATAATATTACTATACTTAGTACACATACAATATATGTATACGCAATAATAGGTTCTCTTATATTGCGAGACACATAATGCGATATGATATTGTTATCGATATCTCGATAGTATTTTTATCTACCGCGCGGCCGGTATAATATATTGAAAGGAGGTTTATTGTTTTAAGTACTTGCTGAAAAAAATAAAAATTATAAACCGTTCAACTGGTTAACCGTTTCGCGTTTTTATAGTGTTGTATTTCTGTGCTCTCGCTATGTACTCGCTTATATAAATTATATAAGCGTACATACTTAGCGGAATACCTACGCGCGATCCGCCGGCCTACGGATTCTGCGAACTCCCGACGACGACGTGTTTTCTTTCCGTTTGACTCGTGTTCAAAATAAATAAATAAATAATAAAAAAAAAAAAAATCGTACAAAATGCAATGAAACGATATAAAATTCGAGCAGGCGTAACCGCAGGTACCTACGGTTTTGAATGTTATAAATATCCGTTAATTATCTTTTTGTTGATTACGATGTTGAAAAAGCATTCGGAGTATTTGACATTTGACGTACGTTTTATGCATACTTCATTGTGATAATGAGTTTATCGTTTATCCGAGAATTTCTTACGCTTGTTCCAAGCGCATTTTCCGCGTAATCGATGCATTATAACAATATTTATAATATTGTGTTGATGGTTTTAAAGTGAATAAAAAAAAAAAAAAAACCGATTTAACTGTTTATACGTATAATGTTTCTATTCCAATAAAATTATTATGTATTAATATTATCGTAAATATCTATTATCGTATCAGGGGTTCTATTTTGTTGTCATTGTATTGTATTTTAATGTTGAAATAATATGATTTTTTTTTTTCTTCATTATCGATAGTCAAACAAAATAAAAATGTATGAACTGCGTGACAATCATCATTGTATCTAATCCGATAACGATACGTGCGGGGAAAAATAGCTTTTACTGCTGATGGGCTCGACGGTGCGTATCACTGTTGTAGGTGGGAAGTTGGGAAGATTTAGGTACATAGAATTATTCAATTTATATTTGTAAGCAGCGATAAACTATTGCTAACAAAATTATAAAATAATACGATTCTGAGTGAAATTCGTTAGAATTTGTTATGTATGGAATGCCGTACGTTTTACGATTTTCGACAACATTTGAGCTTAAAACTCTCATATAAAAAAAATAATGCCCCATTGCGCCAAACTTTTTTGTGATTACCATTAAGCACGACTTAAAATGAATCTCGTGTTAGATTTCCAAACATTTCTGTTCGGCCAAAACAACGACTTTAAAAGTCCATTATTAGTATTCTGTAAACATTTCAAATGTTAACGTTTCTTTTTAACAGAACTACTACAAAAAAAAAAAAACAAAAATAATGAAACCCTTATTTTCCTAAACTTTCCCGTTTTCCCCGTTTTTTTCCATTTGTTAAAAAATTAGACAAATTAAATCGAAACATCATCTTCTAATGCACCAGTAAGTTTCTTTCAGCAAAAATACTACTATTGAAATTCGGAATAAGAATTTTGATAGAAAAATTGAGTTTATACAGAAAAACAAAAACATTTATCGACGATTTTGGCAGTTTATTTATTAGGTCTTTATTATTGTTTTGTCGGTTTTTGTCGATTTCCGGGTTCCCTTGGTGACAAGAGAAAAACACCACTATAATACTTCTCCGCTCAGAATCGTTTTTTATTCACGATGAACCGTACAAACTAAATTACCCCGTACGTCCTACTTTCCCATTCACATCATTGGCCTACCCTTTGCATCAACTTTCTATTATTCAGTTTGTATGTTATACACAGTCTTATAATATAATATTCTAAGTTTATGTTGGCATTTTACAAAGTTAATTATATGTTTTACGAGCATTCGTTTTTTTTTTTGGTAAATAATATAAGCAAGTAATTGGGCAATTAAGGGTTATTATTGCGTACCAATATATTCATTATTATAACCCGGTGTTATTTTACTATACTTGCAGTACCTATTGCAGTGTTTTGGTTTTGAATTTCATAATACTTTCGCGTCATCGTAAATAATATGTAATAATAATAATAATAATAATACAGAATATTCCACGCGGTTTTATTCGTATTTTCACGAAATCATGTCAACCTGTTTTATTACGTTAAAAAACTTACCTATAAATAAGTCACGCGGAGAATATACTTAGTTTTTTCTACGTTTTTTTGTTTGCATACATACGGTATCGGTTTTTTGTTAACGTCGACATATAGGGGTATGTAAACGTAATTGTACTATTTTTTTTTAATTCTCAGATAAAATACAGGATTAAAATGTTGAACGGATTTTCGTTCAGAATTTATTACTACGGGTTGTTTTGTTTTGTTTTTTTTTCTTAAATAATAAATTATAATACGCTTTTTCCAATCCTGTTTTTAACAGAATAAGTACGGAATAATTTAAATTGCTAGTAATCTATCAGAACACTAATTATTAATTAACGATAGAGGTATTGGATTTAATTTATAATTTATATGCAGTGATAAAAAAGTACACTTTGGTTTGAGTTTGTCTTTATATTGTCTTAAGTTAGTTTATTAACTTATTAACATTGTTTAATGTATTATGTATAAAACTCCCAATTTGTATTTTTGAATTTTACATATACAAATAGAATAGTATAAAGTATATATTAAGTATAAAGTATAATAGTAAGACAAATTTTTTTTTTTTTTTAATTAATTGAGGTGTGTTCAAAAAGTTCCAGGACTGTTTGAATTGCTCACCAACGAAGTGTCCAAGCAGGAGCAGTAGAGTTGATATCACTGGGTACTGTAACTTCTTCTGAGTGCATCTGTTTTTGTATATTTTTGTTATATTGTCTATAACCTTCTATGTTTTGATGTCATCGATGTTTTTGAAATATTTGTTTTTCGCATTATGAGATTTTGTAATAAATTCAACATAAGAGCTTTTTCGAGGGGGAAGATTTTCTCTACCATTTTGTTGGCCGAATCTTGTTTATTATAGAAGAATGCATCGTTTCACATGAATTTTGCCAACAAATTATAACTGAAAAACTGTAGATGTGCTAATTGAAAGTTTTTCTCGTGGAGGAATAAGGTCCAAATTAAGGTTTAACATGAACTTTTTAGTATGGTAAATGGTAATAAAAACTTTTTGAAAATTTATTATAATAATAATCATTACTTGTATCATTATGTTATTATCAAAATGAAAAAAAAACTTCTCCAACCAACTCCCTCCTCCCTTATCAAAAAAATTTCTTCTTTTGGATTTAAAACGAAATCGTCAAATGCGAAAACAATATTTTAAAAAAAATCGGTCACATCAAAACAAAGAAAGTTATAGAGTATCTACAAATACAAATGTACTCCAAAGAAGTCACAGAACCCAGTGATATCAATCTTACTGTTCTTGGACGCTCTGTTGGTGCGCAGTTCAAACAATCCTGGAACTTTTGAACATACTTCGTATCTGTATTTTGTAGTCGGTTTTATTGCAAGCCGCCGTGGCTACAATTCCCTTATAATTTTACTGACATTTGGGTTCTATCCCTCAACTATATAAGTGCAAATAATGTTACGTTATTTTGCCAAATAACCTCAACAAAATATTTATAAAATATCATAGTAGATTTATGGTAGATATTTATGAATTTATTATATTTAGACAGATAAGCCCAAATATAATTTGACTACGTTTAGCCACCTCCTCTTCTCATAGATTAATTTATCGCTGCGGATTGTATACTAATATTATGATTAAACAAATCGTAGTCAACGATCGCTTAGCTGTAGGTATATCATCGTTTTGCACCAGTGCTTATCATAGATACCTATTTATAATATAGTGAATAAGTTGTCTAAATATTAGTAGTATTATAACAATATTAAAAACAATATTGTATGTATTCGTTGAATTCGATTATAAAAACTTACTTTGTGTGGTTGCCGTTCTCACACCCATCTCATCCCTGAAGGTTTTCACGAGGTTTGATCATATACTGTATTTATTTTAATTACGAACAGGCACTACGCATAGACGTTTTATTTTATATTATCGGTAAAAACATTCGTAAGACGTAATTTTTTAAATTTTTTATAATATTAGGTTTATTCGGTTTTTGAATTATTTGCCGTGCGTTTACGGCGATATGGCGATTGTTGCAATCTTTTTATTTACTACGGTCACCTTTATCAAATTCAACAGATCAATTTGCCGCCTGCAGAAGAAAGGTAATCAAGTTTATAATTAACTTACACGTGTGAATCAATTTTATATAATTGGGCTAAACCCCCCCGATATTTTTGAACTACAACAATATACTATACGAGAAATGATGCATTTTTCGATTATAAATTTAAGATAAAATAAAGTGCTACAAAGATTAATTATTATACACGCGGTGTAATGTTTTTAATTAATTCGAGGGTTCCTAATAATGTACTACGCGCGACTCGTATTTATTAATTCTCCGCGTGTATACGTATCTGTATATACATATTCTGCGCGGAAAAACGACAAACTCCATAGGGGATATTTTCCATTAGTAGGATTAGGGTTACTTCGCGTTTTCCGCAGTAACGGTTTCCATGTATAATATACACGTTTTAGACGTAGTTTTACAAATATTGATAATTGATATCGTTATTTGAATGTATATATTAAAACATTTGTCTGTTGTCTTGTACTGATGGTTTATACTGTTTATAGAGAAACATATGCATAGATTATACAAACATTAATACATCAACTACATCATTGTAGAATAATATACAGAATAATTTAGTTTATATCTGTACATAATGCTAAACAATGCCTAAAGAAAAACGATTCTATTATTAGTCATATGATTTCTCCTGTTGCCTGTTGGTAATCCAGAAATCAACAAAGATTGCCAGTTTTTCCGAATTATTAAGGCACAACCACAAGGAATATCAAAACATGACATATTCAATAGACCAATTAGACCATAAATGATAAGAAAGTTTCTGTACAACTTTTGATTGAAATAAGATTTTTGGTAGAAAAGTTATGCACGCATATCGTAATGAAACCAATACTCGTAAAACTCAGAATCTAAAAAAAAAAAGCATTGTAGATCGTAAAAAAACTGTGAATTTTTAGTTGCATAAGTGGTATGAACATTGAACAGCTAATGATATAATAGTGTAATTTCATGACGAATCAAAAAAAATAAAAACTGTGCGTATACCTATGATTTTTCTACAAAATGTTGAGATTCACAGTTAACGATGAAATGTACCCAGCTATGTAAATGAAATTTATCGAAAAATTCACAATAAATATTCTTTCATTATGACTCATTTCGAACTTCCGCGTAGATTGTGTATACGATGTGTCAATGTGTATGCATTTAAACACGCCCATGCAGTGCAACGGCGATGACAAAACTATAATATTATGGTGTTGGACAGTAATTATTCGAATCTGAATCCGACTGTAATGTACGCAACATATTCGTGACAACCACCTTGATATTTCAGCGATTTCATCATTATATTACTTTATACTATTATCAGTCATTGTATACAATATTATAAATAGGTACAACTCGAAGCGAATAAATGTAATGAATGCAGTCCATATATTAAATAACAATACGGGCAAAGTTGATATTTTTCAGAGAGTGTAGTTTTTTTTTCGTTTATATTACATGTTAAGATCTCGAAACCGCCTCGGAAATCATTAAAATATATTATATTACATTGTTATTGTATTGTTTTGAGGACCACTTGTCTCGCGATTGCCTTGGCCGTTCAACGTCTGGCCGATGATTCATTTTCGCAGGGGTGCTAAACATGATGCGCACTCGTACTTATATTTAACAACGAAAACAGTAATACCACTTTTCATTTTTAACAATATGGTTCGGATTACTCGATTACAAACTACTTTTGTCGGTAAGCGGCTGCTATTACCCCTGCGAGTTTCTGTCCGAGTAAAATAATAATAATAACAATAATCGTTAATTATTATTATTGTTTGTATAATGTGTAATATTTAAGTAATAATCTTCAATAGCCATCGAATAATTTAAATTTATTTAATATTGTGTTTGTAAAACGTATTACCTATATTATATATTATTTTCTTTCTTAAGAAAATATAATTTTATACAGTTGGATCTGAAAATATCATATGTTTTTATTTAAAAAATAACTGCCAATACTATTTTATTATTGTAATTTTATGTAAAAATAAAAAAAATCTCTGTACCTATGGGTATATAATATAGCATATGTTTATACCGTTAAAAATATTCTATATATAATACATAATATATACGGCGATGTTAAACGAGAATAATAATAATAATAAAAAAAAAAAAATATTTTTCTTTTGGATTTATCACACTATACGATATGTTTTGTCTTTGCGGTAACGACAATGAAAAAGTCAGCCAGTCGAAGGCTATACTCTTGTATATAATATTTTGTACAGGGTGACCCACGGAAATCTAACAAATGCAATAACTTTTGTACCGTTTTCAATATTTTTATGTTTTCATTATCATTACTGTGACTACTGTAATTCTTTTATAATATTTTATTTTTAAAACTAAAACAAATCATTTGTTGTACAAAATCCAAAAACCATTTCATATATTTATTTTGGAACAGAATTTTAGTATCGTTATTTTAGTAATCGTGAGTTGATTGGTACTATTTAGTGTAGTGACCTTGAAAACAATTTTAACTATCGTAAACTCCGAAAAATTGTAGGAAATCAGTGAATCGTCTCATTAGTGAATATTTGTACCACTGAAATTTCGTTTCAAGATAATTTATGAAATAGTTATTTTGGATTTGGTTTTGAAATATATTTTTTAAATTATTTATTAAAAAAAAAAAAACAACAAAAATTATTGCATTTGTCAGATCTCCGTTGGACACCCTGTATATATTTATACAGGGAAGTGGAATAGAATGGCGGTGCAGGAGATATTAAGAGAAAATATATAAAAATCGGCAGCTATATACGTGCGCTGAGTTCCGGAAAACGGTTCGAACCCTAATTGTCATTCGACGTGCATGCCTATATTGTATACGTACACATATATAGGCACCCAACACATGTGTAGATCATAAAAACCATACCAATAATGCAATGCGCCACAATAAGTCCCGATATGTGTTCTTCTCGCGCCGCATAAAATCACGTACTCGCCCGTTTAAAGAAAAAAAAAAATGAGAAAAAAATCATCGGTCTTGTTTGCTGGTGAGCAGCGACGATATGGCACCGGTTGTTAGGTACTTCCTTTTCGAGTATAATATTAATGTTATTATTATAATATCCGAGAACTATTGTAATATGATTTATTTTGACTTCGAGTAGTTAGATACTGTGAAAAATTGGGGTTTACACGGTGCAGTAATAAAGCTGAAAAATTCCGATTTCGGGTTTCTCAATGTAGATAAAACTACAATATAAATAATAAAAACGGAAAATCATTGCTCTTAAATTCTTGGCACGCTCAAGGTCCCCGGAGGCTTTGAGTGACCCCAAGGTCATACTTGGGGCCGACAATCCTAATTCAAAGTTTCGAAATTCAGATTTCATATTTTAAAAATCAGGATTCTCGAACTTCGGCATATTCGGATTTTTCCCATCACTTAAACACTACACTAAAAGAAATAATAATATTATAACATACATTTGAATAATAAACAGATACATTACAAGTAACTATATAAATATATTATTGGAAAAAAAAAAAAACGAAACAAAACGTATAATATTATCATTTGAGTTTCCACTTGGGGTTTTTTATTTGTATTTTATATAAACCGTTTTCACAACTGTCAAGCGCACGTTAACATTAAAAGCTTCAGTATATTTTGTCTTTGAATAAGTTAACCCGCGGTTTGCAACCCGGAGGGAGATAAACTTGTCGTTTAAGATCTTTTCGCGAAATACGTCTTTATCTTTTATCCTTTAAATGCATTTTATGTGTATCCCAGATGAATACCTGCTTTTTTTTGGTTATAAATTATAATAATAAGACAAAAATAAATACGGTGAGTTTCATTTGAAACTGCGGTGAATTTGTTTTTATTCGTGTATATAACTGTTTAGCTACACGGTTAATAAAAAACACAACTAAAACGGATGTTCAGAATTTCAGTTTTTTGACGAACTCGTTGTAATATATTTTTTTTAAATGTTTATTTTTCTCTTAATCGTGATTAAAAACAAAAAAAAAACGAGTGCAAAGACTGCGACAGTCGATACCTTACCTGAAAATGTTTAAATCAGAATATCAAATTATCCAATATTTCGAATATTATTATTATTGTTGGCTCTTGATTTTCCTAAACATTTGTATGATTATTATGATGTATTTGTTGTATAGAGATGAGTTTGTAATTTTTTATTTCATAATATTATCGACGCGCGAATGTATTGCCTACAAGCGTAAAATCTCAATTTAAACAAAACGTCTAGATTATTGGCCATAAGCCATTTGTAGAGGTGAGATTATCGAGTGACATATTATTTACAGAACGCATCTATCTATCGGGCGCGGGCTTTTGTTGTATATTCAATGATTTATGGTGAACTGCTGTGCTGCAGAAACGCAGGAAATAACAATAATAGGGGTATAAGCAAACACTAGGATTATCCTTTTTGCATTGTACATTGCATAATACGTTTTATAATATATGTATAAGACGTCTATATATCAAACTAGGATATTCTTAGCGGTTTCTCCTGTATTTTGGATCAATATAGTTTCTGTACATTATTTCGTTGCAGTACAATATATCATGTATAATAGAGTACATAGAGATCTGCAGTGGCCATTCGTGGGTAGATATTGTGCGAAGAGGCTGTGCACAATATATTGTTAAAAATTAAATATTTTTATTGAAAATGATATTTATAAAATCCCGAATATAATTCTTATAGTTATTATAGTTATCTTATTGTATCATTTGGGTTTATTCAGTTTCCAGGGCCGGACAGTCATTACTAAAAACCGGATTTAATTGTATTTAAAACACACAAAAATTTCATATTAAAATTATTTAATTGCACCAAAAAATACGGAAAAATTGCATAATAAATAACACTATAAAAATGCAAAAGTTAGGTAAAAAATTTAGATTAATGTTACTTTTTTTAATTAAAATTGAAAATTAGGTACATTACTAAACTTTTTTCATTGAAATTAAATCTTTTAGTACTTAAAATATGTTTGTACCAAAAAATACTACGTTCTACGTCTACATTAGTTATTGGTGCATATTGAAAACAATTTAATGAAGTAGGCGTTATATCTAAATTAACATTTCTTTGCCTGACATTACTTCATAGTAAGGCTTTAAAGTTTTATACCCTTAATTTTGTTAAATTACATACATTAATTTTTCTTTGAATTTTTTCCCATTTGGATCAGGAATATTTCTTAATATCTTCAACTTTTCTAAAAAAATTCATGATTTTCTGTATTTCACTATTAGATTCTTCCAAATTTTTAAGATTTATGGATAACTTGGATAAGTGTAACTTTATGAATGCTAAACCACATTTGACTACATTATTTTGTACAAGCTGTTTCAGCTTTTTGAAGCATCACCTGTTAAATTTTCAATTACGTTTTTAAACTCTTCAAAATTTGCATTGAAAAGTGCAGCATTTAACCATGTTCCCCGTCTTGTAATAATAGGTTCGGGTGGTAAAGGTTTACCTGGCATTTCTTTTCTGTATTTATTTATTCTCGATGGTGCTTTTAGGAAAGCATTTTTTCCTGAAATATACGAAATAAGTTACATTTGTATTTAAATTTTAAATAGGTACTTAATATATTACTATTTTTAATCAATTTTTTAATGTCTAGATAGAATTCTCGAATATTTCCAGAACTCTATTAACTGCGGTGTGGCATACATGTAATATGAATTAATTTCGGGAAAAATAATTTTAATGTTTTGATCATATAACTTACCAACATCGCTAATTAAAAGTAATACTTTTTGTTCAATACCAGGAAATATTTTTAACGAGGAATTAATAAACTAACAAATAGTTTCATAATTGATGGATTCTAGTTCTTTTCACGCAACTAAATATGATTTACTATGCGCCCCATCTAATTTACCAATTGATAAATTTGCAAAAGCCAAACCTAAACGAAAATAGTTTATTTTATTATATGAGAATTTAAAAAAATTATTTATACAAACCTCTTGGATCGGTTGTTTCGTCAACAATTATTTAAACGTAATTATTTCCAATATCACTAATTATTTGATCCATAACGCTGTATGTAATTTTTTCTTAAAGTACTTTCGTCCGGAATTGATTTACCAGTATGTTTTTTCATAAATGATTTTAACACATGATTGAATGAAATATTTGCAGCAAAAAATGCATTACATAAATCTTCAAAAAATATATTTTTACTATTTGAATTTCGAGAAGTAATCAAAAGCTGTTTTTATTCTTTATTTTTTTGTAATGCGTTTATGTGTTAAACTAAAAAAAAATATACATGTATTTTTGAACTAATATGTAGTATATAACGTGTGGTATGAGTATAAAATACAAAACTTACTTGTTTTGGAATGATGACCTAATTGATATTTGTTTTCAGTAGACACAGATTTGTTACATACGAGACAATGAATAACTTTTCCATCTGATGAATATACTTAATTATTTTCTATGTAAGGAACAATTCAATTCGAAATTTTACTTTTTAAAGTTGATTTTATTTTAGGCACTACGTCGAATACATTCACTGTGCGGTCAAACTGATCAAAGAAATAGGTATTTAGGTACCAACAGATAAACGCACACGAATCGCTGTACTACCACGTTAAATTTAATTATCACCATATATACAGACGTTTATCGCTCTCTGGGCTCTCCAAGCTTCTAGAAAATTCCAGACGAATGATAAACGTTTATGATTTAAAAACGTGGAGAAATTGCAAAAAATTTCAAAACCGTCGAAAATTGAAAAAAATTGTATTATAAAATTAAATAGGCAGAATATTTTTAATATATATCGGCTATATATTTAATTAGATCTGATTTATCTTTATTGTAAAAAAAGTTGCAATATCAATTAAATCCGGTCTTTAGTCATAGCCAATCATCCAGTTATCTATTTATCTGTCGACAAAATCTTAAAGCTTAGTCCATCTCTTGAGGCTTCCATGACATTTTTTCCTACATCATCCAACCTCATTTTTTTCATTGGGTTACTGCCCGCTGCATATCTTTTGGACGTTTTTGCTTTTCCATCGAAGTCTTCTTTTTTTTTGATGGTTACTAAAATATTATTTTCTTCGAACTAATATATTGTTACATCTTATCATTGATACCTTTTTTTTTTTTTTGATACCTTTTTTCTAATATACCAAAAAGCTAAAATAAAAGCACTTCTCCTAGTCGCAATGAAACAATCCGGTCGATAATCATTTCATTATAGCGAATAATCTGTATTTCATATCGAACATCGGATAGCTAAATATTATATACATTGTTTGCCTAGGCTTTGAAAATATTTTTATTGTTGTTTTACATTCAAGTGGGCTGCTATATGAGCTTTTGTTCAAACCGTGTCATCGTCACTCATATTTTCCCCTTGATTTACTCCTGTAACAAGTTCTAAAATATTCTAAACTAGTTCTACTAAACTAAAGTTCTAAACTAAAATATTGTACTTATACTACTTGTGATTACTCATGGAATACTTCACTTTAGCATAGGTATTTATTTTATTTTAAATTTAAAAACGTATATTTATAATGATATTATTTTGAATAATTATTTTTTTTTTTTTTATATATATAAGCAGATAAGCACGTTTAATCGAACGTTTTATAATTCTACGGTCTACACTATACTATATTAGGTTTTCGTGTTTTCATTTCACGTTCAATATACATTTCCGATGACCGACCTCGGAGAATTATTATTGTGGCAGTGTCAAGGTCCTAGATAGTTTTTTTTTTTTTTTTAAATATAAAATATATCCATTATCGATATTACTTGCGCCGTGGCCGTTATTGATTATGAATGGTAAGCTTTTTTTCCGTATAGAATTTGTTTTTACCCTAACGTAGTTCTTCTGTACATGTATGGTTAAAAACTCGTCATTAGAACTCGAAATTGTAATTTACATCGCAGATTAATTATTTTTTTCGCGGGGGACGTAAAAACCAAAATGTGTACTTGTAAATTGTATATGTCCGGCATTAATAAACTATTTTATTCTATAATGCGTATATTTTCCCCTCATATAATTTTTAAAGTATTCCTTCCGTATACTTACCGCGATATTTTATTACTATATATGTAGGTGTTCCTACCTATTTTTTGTAAATTTTTTATTTAGTTTGTTCGTTTTTTTATCGGTTCGGGTTTCTTGCGATCTTACGACCTCCGTGGGCCAAGATATGATCTATATATATATACATATCTTGTAAGAGATTTCGTCTAAATTAATTAGACAACGGATAATTGATGCGCATTTATATATTTGATTAATGTGGGGGGGGGGCGCTTTGGGCACAGGTAAAGGTAAATTTGAGCGGCAGTAAATTCCGACGATATGACGTTATCGGTATAGAAATTTATAGATATTATATAGAAATATACCGAATTGGTTTATATCTATAAATCATCACGAGTGAAGCTTATACATATTACTCGTTTAGATACCTGTTGAAAATATCTCATTAGTCACTAAGCGAGGGAAGTGTGTACGCATACTCAATTATATAGATTTTTAAAATCATGTTGTGACTAGGTCGATTTTTATAAATACATCATTATGAACTTACTTAAACATAATTCAAGTATAGCACAGTATTATAGTATACGGTGCGAGTAATATATCGAATATTTCGAATAATATCGAAGACAATATATTCCGTTTATCCGTACTTGAATTCATAAAGCAGTTAGTTAAAAAAACGTTTGAATTTCTATTTTATTTCAAATAGAAATAAGCGTCATGTTCTCAAATATCTATTGTGTAGCATTTTAATTACGTCATGTTACTGTGAAATTAGACATTTCTTAATTCAACAAATCTAATAGCAAACTTAAATTAAATGTTAAACTTTTCATTAAATTTTTTTACTATTCAATATTGAGGACGTATGTTTGTTCCATCTATATTTATATTAAACATACTTATACAGATGATTAATGAATCGATAGAACATTATTTTGTTTATAAAAAGCGTAAATAATTTAAACTTTTTATTTTTCCTTTTTAATATTAATTTAATAGTTGTGTGTACCTATTACAATTATTTTTTTTTGTATTTCAGGCTGTACGAAAATTTCGTATTATTTTTCTAATATCATAATATATATATATATATTTAGTATTTTTTAATAAATTATCAATTAGTGTTTTTGGACATTATTTGTTCCTGTGTATTATAACTTTTTTTGTAGTGATAATTTCTTGTTAATAAATGTATAATATAGTACAATTCTTAAAGATATTACAAATAACTAGATAGGTATAGTAAAAATGTAAAATCTGGTTAGATAATAGGATAATTAAAAAAAAAAATCACATCCTCTGCACAATATAGACAATTAACACATAAATTGTATAATATTTTAAATAATATGATTGTGTGGTATAGTATAATACTCGTATGCCTAGCATACGGTTCCCAAATAATTATTGTGTGCTTTGTGTTCTCGTCGTGCATATGTGTCACAGCTGTAAAGCCAGGTGGTTATTTAAGGACACTTAACTGCAGCACCTATCATTCGTGTTTATGATGCGATATTTAAATTATTATCGTGTATCGATTGAATCAGTCATGTTGTTCTTACACTATCGTAATTATTACGGATAACCAATATGAATAGTATTTTAAACAATAATACAGAGTGATATTTAATGATTTTATCATCGTGGTGTTCGATCGATTGTATTTACGAACACTTTGAATAGAACTCATTTTGGTTTTTTTTTTTAGTTATTATTGTAGAATCGTTTAATGATCTCGTATTTACATAATATTATTCTAAAACATTTAAGGAACGATTATTATCATTTAAAAATGGATTTGCCGTTTGTTACCTTTCCCTATATTCCCTATCCAAATATTAAACTACTGTAACTCATATTATATTAATGCGTCATGCATTTCGAAACTATTAGAAAAACATTAATTTTTCGAATCCTTGTTAAAAAGAGATGATTTTTATTTTAAAATCAATTGATAATATAGTAATTCAAGGTTGGTATCTTGGATTAAATATTCCGAATTAGTGTTAAAATAGAACTTAAACAATTTTATGATAGTCTGTACTATAAGTATAATATAGATACAGTGTCGCAGAATCCTCCTTTTACTTTATTTATAATAGTTAAAAAAATAATCTAATTTATTTATAATCCTCGAAGAAAATCATCCGTCGTGGAAAACAATAATAAATATATTGGAAATTTGTTCGAGAAGTTTCATAGTGTAAAGTTTATTGTGAAAATTATTATTTCTATTCGATAGAGATTGTGTTACCAAATTATCGTGGGATGTAATATTTAAATATTACCCACTTCGTCAGAAATTAATAATATATCGAATACGAAATATTTTGATGGTTTCTAAATTATTTAAAACCATATTCCGATCACAAAGTAATAATGTAATGTATAGGTAAATAGTTAATGATTATAAACTAACTTTACATAATTTATATAGGCACCTTCAACTAACTTACGAATTAAGCGCAAAAATTACTATCCAAAGATACTGTTAAATATTTTCTAAGCACAATAATTATTATCCAAAGATACTGTTATTATTTCCAAGTATCTACCTAAACGGCTAAACCTGCAATTAATAGATAAGTTATTAGTTTTCGTTTATCAATACAGTTTTAAATTTAAATTAAATGTATGTAATTGATGTATTTTTGTTTTTTGACAATCTATTTTGTATTCGGTTATGATAGTTATTACGTTCTAAACAAAGAAATATCATTTTAATCTGTGATTTTCATTACTTCTGCCACATTATCGTTCCAGAGCCATATTTATGCAAGGACAAATGAGACATTTGCAATGTGCTCACTAGAAATGGGAGTTCACTAACAACAGGCAAACATAATTAGTCGTCTCATATCTATCGTAATTCAGGAGAAATAAAATTATGGCCAATTAATAAAAATGGATAAAAAAATAGTTATAGCGAACATTAAATTCGTATTCTGTTATAAGAACAAAAAATAGATTATGATCGACATTGGTCAACAAAATGTATACGCTCTGGGATTATAGTATCATTAAAATAATATTACAGAGGTTACAGGTTTTTTGTCTAAACCTGAGTTTTGACAATATTATTGATAAGTTTTCAGAACAAATTGATACAATTTTTGCGAACATTTTTTAATCAAATTTAATTTTAAATCATTTTAGTTAGGCATGTATGGTTTAAAATCTAACTCTTTGTAAATGTTTCTTTTCCTTCGAAAATTGAATTTAAAATACATTCACTAAAAATCTAAAAGTGAAAATAAAATCTAAATTAAAAATATATTCTAAAATAAATAACATTAATTAATTTAATTCAATGTATTTAACCACGACGTTGGTTATCACTTATCGTTTTAACATAATAAAATATTAAAAATGTAACAAAAAAATTACCGTGGTTTTGATATTAGATACTGGTATTAAGTACCGAAGTTATCGTGGTATCAAATGGTTCATTCATACCACTAACTATATTCATAACTTTGTAATAACATCATAAATGTGCATGCTTTTTGTCTTTCTAATGTTGATTTTTTACTATTAAAAGTAATTAAAAAGTATTACTTGATCCGATATTGCGGTATATTTTATTTATTAGTTATAATTATTTTAATATTTTATGAATAACCAATAAATTGCATTTTAGTTTAAAAAAAAAAAAGTTATTTAATCAATATTTTTATAATGAACCGAATTTGTTTATTGACTTTTTAAAGTAGGCAATAAATAACATTTAAACCGTCATTTTTTTTTTTTTTTTATTAAAGCCTATGCTTTATAGTTTTCACCACCTTTTTAATATTATTATTTTTTTTTTTTAATTTTCACGTTTCTTTTAAACGTATACGTATTTCTTATTTGATTTATTATAGTTGGAATATTTATTTATTTATATATTTATCGTTTTTAAATTGTATATACATTGCAGCGTTTGCCAGTTTCTATTTTATGTATTGCAATATACAAAAATGCTTTGTGTATTTTGTAATTATTATATCGTAAAATGTAGGCATGATTTTGTGTCAAAAATGTTTGGATAATTAACACGGTTTTATTTTTTCAAAAGTTTTTTTTTTTTGTATTTGTCTGTGTTCGAACTTGGACGTGGCGATTTGTTTAGTGTCTTTCGTTTATAAATCTTATTGAAACTCATAATTATATTTTATATTGAAAAGTTTATCAAACCGAATTGACGTATATACCTACCTAGTACCTATATAACTTATTTCTTGATAATTTTAAAACTTGCGTTCTCTCGATTAGAAGTTCATAGAAGCTTCAAGTTTGTACTCTTGTAGTATTGCTGTAATTTGATTATCATTCCATCCTATAGGGTTTGTAACAACGAGTAAAAAGAATTATATTTTCTTGGCATTTACTATTGCGATACTAACACATTTCGTTTTGATATTCTAATCAATAAATTAATATACAAGGCCGGCCGGTCAATTAATTCGTTACCAAAATAAAACAAAATAAATTAATTTTGATTTATAATTATACTTTTATTTTTTGTTTTTATAATGAACGAATAATTAAAGAAGTATTTTTTTAAAAAAATTATAATAAATAATAATTGCACGTGTTCTTTAATCAAGACAATGGTATTATTTTAGCAGATACATTGTGTCTGTACAAAAAAACTAAATAAATATTTTTTTTTAACAAATATATAATCTTTTATAAAAATAAAACGACGTTTGATGTATTCAAAAATATTATTGTTATGAATATGATTTGAATAATCAAATTTTAAACCTTAGCTTTGCAATACGTAAAGCAGCCGTATTTTGTTTATTAATAATAGCGCATGAAATCACTTTAAGTATATTCCTTCTAAAATATCAAAAATGCATTAAATCGGAAAAAATAATAACCTTGCTGGGCAGATGTCAGAAAAATAACCCGTCACCCCGTTCTGCAGCTAGTATTGCAAACGATTTTAGTTTTTTGTGTGGTTGTATAACATATTAAAGTACCCACAGGAAATAATTGTATTAAATAAATATAAACGGTAAATATTTTGTCAAAGGATACATAAATTAATTTACTATTGTATTAAAACCCTGCACGCATTGTAATATTTCATAGGGAATATTAGTTTAAATAAACAATCATATTAAAATATGGAGTCGCTAATAGAGTAGGTAATAAATACTACAAAAATATGAAAATCATCAAAAATAGTGGCTCTCTGTTTTGCCAAACACAAATAAATTAAACAATATATACGCATAAATATTGTGGGTGGTACCGAATGCAGACTGGTACAATATATCTTTTACTCTCTACCTATATGAACCTCAAAAGGTACGAAAAATTCCGCACTTTCTAACATATTTTTAAAAATATATCGATATTCAATAAATCGATACATTCAAATTGAAACTGATTTGTGCAATGCCATACCTACCCAATACATTTTATTTTTATCCAAAGGAAAATAAAAATTGAAATATTTATCTGCATTGTAAAATACCATCAAATTGTATACGTTTTGTAAATTATATACTTTTTGTGCATGTATTATCATCTCTGAAAATTAATAATGCGTTTCGGGGAACGGAAAAAAACTCGAGACAAACGGATGTATATATGTATATATATGTATAACAAATTTTAATTACACTTGATACCTAATATATAACAATAGGCATTATTATTAATTACTCGCAGGAATGAAAAAACACGTATATAAAAGAGCAATAATTATTTAATTAAACATTTGAATAGACGATATGTACCTAATTGTCGGCCTGCCGTCATTTCGTTAACAACTTAATGTTTCAATCATTAAGAGTTTGAAAAAAAAAAAAAAACAATCAATATTGTAGTTTTGCAGAATATAAACTACATCATTGTTATAATATGCACTATTATTCACAAAACACGATTTTAAATTATGCTGACGATACACGAGCAAGTTATTTTCTTTCGCGTATGACGGATGTGGATCACACAAAAGTGTTGTACTACTTACATAATTTGAAGACGTGTTGATGAAAATATAGAAAAATATTCTAGTTTACACGTTATCAGTGACTCGCATACCGGCCGGTCATTCCGAATTCCATCTCATTGGCATCTTAAAATCAAACGACTTAAGTTTACGCGTTACCTATATAATTATAATATAAGACTATTAGTATATTGGAACAATTCGAGTATTGTGTCGGGTCCTGGTGTACGTATGTATCGTACAGTGCTGGAATATAGTGCACTGCTCACTATGTTCTACTAAGAACATACATATTTTCACTGCCAGCTATTAGCATGCCACTTGACAGTGACTCACTGGCTTCTCCAGTGACTGGCGCCAATCGTTTACACGGTACCCATTGCTGTGGCATGCAGTGACCGGCGACCTCGACTGGAATATTGACTGGTCATGTGTAAACTATGTAGGGTTAAATCAATATTGTATTCGCGGTAAACTATAGTTAGGTATGTAATAATATTAACAAAATACTACATAAATTATTTAAAAACTCGATTTTTGTATAAAAACGAATCAAAGAAATACATGTTATTTTGTCAATCGTTTAATATATAATTATATTGCTATTATTATAATGCATGCGTTTTGAAAACAATTTTAATTTTAGATTCTGAGTGGACAAAGAATGTAAGGTTTTATAATAATGATGTTTATTTTTCAATACTTTTTACAAAAATTCTAATAGCAATCTTGCTGCTCGACCATCGTGCGAAGTATGTCGGTTTTTTTTCTTTTTGATCTGAAGTTTAGATGTTCTAAAATGTAAAACCGTTCATTGACAGTATAAAGTTTTGAATACGCTCGAATCTGTTTTTTTTTTTTTATGTAATATCTATGTCAAACTCTACTGTCTCAAATCAAAGTCAGGAGTAAACTTTACAGATTTTCAAGTATAGCGTTATTGTGATTCTCTCAAATGTCGAAAGCAAAATATATCGTATTGAATTTGAAATCGTCGTTAGCCTATACAACGGCATGTACATATATATGTACCGACATTATACTATACTCGCCGCTAACCGATGAAACCGCAGCAAGTTTGTTCAGAGGGATTGAAAGCGATCGAAGGGCGTGTCGTACGCGACATGTTGCCGCCATTAATCTTTACGTTGGCTTGGCGATAGAACGAATGAATTGAAATTCCTGTGGAATAACCCGGAACAATGCGATGTAAAAATTCGTTTATACTATAACTATATATGTATAATAAACAAAAAACACGCGTAAAATTTTAAAATGCAAAATATGATATGGAAAATTATAATATTTAAACTTTTTTTTTTTTTTTATGTATACAATAGCATAACCTAATGCGAATTTACTCGGGTATTACAACGCTATCCGTATATTCATATTATGCAATACTTATTATATTTTATCACGAAACAACGTTGATTATCTACAACGATTTTGGTTTTTTTCTAACTATTATGGAATCGTTTAACTATTTTTATTTACAATAGGTTTTTTAAAATGTTACCCTTATTCGATCAAATATCGATGTGTATCTGTGCACTGTCTCAGTCATACTGGTGACATAGAAAAATTAAGTTACTTCAAACATAAATTGTGGCATTTAGGCAGTCTAAATACAGAAAACACAATTTAAAGAGAAGAACATTTGTAGTACATGTTGCTTAACATAAAAATATATATAATATGCTTAAATTTAATGATTTGTTTAGCCTAAACAGCTGTTATTTCTTTGTTTGACAGTATTTTATAAAAACAGAAAAACACTATTATGTTACCTGTGTTTAAACTCTATAATTTAAAAAAATATGTTCTAACTTTCTGAGTAACGTAATAATGTCCATGTCATTCATCAGTTATATTGAGACGGTAAATAATTCCTTTGGAACATTAAACTATTGTTTAAATTTGATTGGGAAAAAAAAATTAAATTTATTCGAAAATTGAATAGTTAATCGTTAGTTGACGATAAAATTGCCACTCTGTATAATATTATAGTACTTGAATTTCCTTTAAGCATGCATGCTATATTTTAGTGTTTTTCACATTGCCACTGCTATACTATAGTAATAATATTATCTAAAGCTTTTATGACATTAGTTACGATTACATAATTTTTGCTTTGCTGTTTAGTTGCAATTAATATTAATGTTATAGAGTTGATTATTACTTCAACATAATATTGTTCGTATTATATGGTAGGTATATAGTGTTATAACAATATTATTATGTATGTTTGTGTGTTATTGTTTATCATTTTTTTTATCTTTCGTCTAGTATATATGCCACACATTGTATTTGCTAACAGTTCTTATACACCATTCAGAAATAATATTATGAATTCCTTCGAATCGATTGCATACATTATAATATACTATATAATATAGAATAATATAATATAATATAGAATAACGTATAGGTATTGTACTATTAATTCGGGTGAAAGAAATATCATAACCACGGCATTGTTGTTTTGTTTTTTTTTGTTTACACTCATTTGTTTGTACAATTATGATTCAAACAATATATTCAAATATTTATTAGGTAGTTGTACACCTACAGTAAAATATAAATATACATATACAGGGTGATTTGTTTGTGTCACAATTGATCCGATGATTTTTTCTGAAGATTTTAAAAACTATGCAGTTAGTTTTGGAATTTTGGACATTTATTTATATTATTGATAATTAGATGTTGAATTCAGATTTTCAATTTATTTTTAAAATTATGTTTTGTTGACATTAATTTTGACTTTGTATACTAATAGCTACAGAATTTCTGTTCATTATTTATGAAATTTGTTTAAATTATACTTCTTCTTAAGAAAAAAAAAAATAATATTATTATTATTATTATAATAAATATTATTTTTTGAATTCGGTATGAAAAAAAAACTAGATATGTGTTTACGGTATATGGAAAATGGTAAAATCTTGAAAATATTATGAACTATCAAACGAGTGAAATAAAACTAAAATCAAATTTACTATTCGTGGATAATCATGATGGTCATGATAAAACAGTCACCTTGTATATATATTTTAATTCAAATGTACATAAAAAATATAACAAAATAATTAATGTTCTATTCATTTTATTTTTTAATGACGACCTTATAATATATTTGAATTTTATTTTATTTTTTCTATTCAGTTATTTGTCTTTGCCTTTTAGTTATGTACAGAGAATAACAATAACAAAATGACCCCGTAGTAGTCAAACCAAGGTGCGAAGCTTCTTTTTTTAATGTTTTATTTTATTGCAGTGTTAAATATTTAGGTGGTTGATTTGTTTCTCGAGATCGGATAAAATTTGCCTATGATGAAATAAACTATGTACATATGAAAATAAAAATATAATATTATAACTAATTTCGATGATGATATGTATTACGGATGTTTATTTCTCGTGTAACGAGTTAAAAATAATAAAAACGAATTTATTAACAATTATAATTCATTAATCATTATATCATTATATTAATGCATTATATGTCGTGTTTATATTGATAAAAATGTATTAAATTTCATATTTTTGTTTATTTTTTTGCTCCTGTTTTTTTTTTTTTTTTTGATTTTACATATATATTTCTTTATATTGTTATTCCGGGGTACATTACGAGGTCTGCTTTATTTTCTATAATTTTGATAGAATATAATTTTATCATTGAAAAAAATATATTGCAGTTTTTTCGAGGTACATGAACACTTTTTATTTTTTTGTCTACTGTGTTCAACTTTATATATATGTATGCAATATCAAAAACATTGTGTACGTTGCTTATATGACATGTTCAATCCTCGCTATTTTATATTTACTATGTACTACACTCGTGTTTTTTCTGTCTTTTATTAGTTTTTTCTGTGTTTGTAAACAACTTCTCGACCAAATATCTTATCATTACATCGGGGGCGGTTTTTGGTAGCAAAGTTTTTCTAGTTTGTGTGTCGAAGAGCATATGTCGTTATTTTTTTGTTTCTCGTAATGTTATTAATAATGCGGAAAATATCAGAATTAAAACGTTTAAAATAATTTACGTATTTTGGTTTTAACGATATACGATTGTACTACATAATTATTCAATTACACAATTTCGTATGTGCTTATAATTATTATATAATAATGTCTAGACATCACATGATAACGACTATAGACAGTTTAAATTTGGATCATCAATGTACATTCAGTTACAAGGTTATATCGAACAAAATATTGAAAGAATAATAATAATCTTTTTAGACGAATCTAAAAAGACGAGCGTAATGAAGGATTTATTAGTTTTATTATGATGTGTGTGTGTTTTTTTCTGTCTGTAAACAACTTTTTGAAAAGAAACTTCGGTATACAGAGTGCAGTAACTTTTCTGAAAGGTAATTTTGTCTAGTCAGCGCATTAAACAGGTTATTTTTTTGATTTTCCTAAGGGTTTTCGAAATAATTGGGAAAAACATGAAAGAAAATTATAGATAAAATGGCAAATATGTATGGCGCGCCACGGCATTACTGTTTTTATTGTTTATAATTTTCGTTTTACGATGTTTTCTATAAGAAATATTGCTCCGAAAAATGGCAAATTATCTTTTTTGTCGAATTTCTAATCTAGATGAATATGAAAGTCGTTTTTTGAATTTTTGTTTTTTGTAGTTTTTTAAATAATTGACGAAAACCGAAATTTTTGTATTGCAATTTGCTCTTATTAATAATTCGAATTATCGGATTTTTAAATGTAATTTCAATGCTTATAATTGCTTAGATAATAAATAATATTTTCTCAGTGAATAATACTTTCATAGTGATTTAAACACAATTTTTTTTTTTTTGTATTGTTCAATTTTTCAGAATTTAAGGAAATTATCGGATTTGCAACGATTTGCAACTTCTATTTATTCGATATATTTTTTAATCGTGTTCAATGTTATTTTAAAGTTATTTTTATAACAATTAGGCATCACCTACAATGTAATATACCAATAGCAGAATAACGAAGTGTATATAATATAATATATAAGGATGAACCAGAATTTCTTTTTTTCTTCTCATAATATTATGTTTGGTTTAGTGAAAAAAACGTTAATTTTTAGATTTTCAGAACTTTAAAATGATTTCTATATGTCTCGAGCATCAAATTTATCAGAAATTATCTATTTTATTAGTTTTAATTTCATATCAGTCTAAATACTCATTTCTCAACAAAAATAATTAGTACAAAACAACGCTGATATTTTTTTTGTAATAGTATCACGGGAAGAGCAAACAAATAAAATAAATATAACATCTTGGTCCATTTTATTTTATGTATATATCTTTTTATTAATTTAATTTTGAAGTAAACTGCAATGATATTACGATCAATATAACGTTCTGTACATATATTTATGTAGCTTAGGAAATGGTTTTTGATTTTATTTATTCTATATAAAGAAAACAGTGTAGGTACAATATGATGGTTTATTCCTCCACGGAATTGCATACAGCCGTTATTATTTATGTTCGGACAAATGTTGGCATCGATTTAGACGCAGTAGTCGCAGCTGGACGTAACGTTATTTTGACATTTTTATTCGCTTGACTTTTACTACTTACTGAAATCAAAATTCTCGCATCGGTTCCCTATACAAAATTCTCTTACGGGTTACCTTTGAAATATGATATGAACACGTCATAATACATTAGCGTTTACCTATCTCTCTCTGTCTATTTTTCTTTATTTTTTTTTATTTCATTTTATTATTTTATATAAATATTGAATGTCATCTGTTGTCTATACTGTAGTATAGGTAGTTTTTTCTCGGTCTAAACTTTTACGATTTATTATATTATTTTCAAATTTGTTGATTTTTTACTCTTTTTTTTTTTTTTTTTTTTTTTTTTTTTTTGTGTGTCTTTGTTGCAGCGCGCGTTGGGTACATGGAATTAATTTTTGGTTTTTATTTCTTTTTTTTTTTTTTTGTTATCTTCCGACAAATTATTCCCGGATATAACTAAACGGTCACGTCTGTATATACATTTGAATATTAAAAAGGATGAACTATAGGAGGGATACCAGAAAAAAAAGACCGTTTAATCCCACGCGAAATATCTCTTTGCGGCATAATTTGCCATAAAATTAACCGGCGATACATACATGTACACACCACATGCACACACGACGTGGCTGTAATGATAATGCGAAAAAAATCGCTTTCGTGTGGTGAATAAATTGTACACTTTACCCAACCCCCATAAAAAAAAAAAAATAATAATAATAATAATAATTATTTGAAAATTAATATTAATTATTAAAACATTTTTAACAGCTCTTTGTGCTGATCTATAGAAATGTATTTACCGTAAAACATTATTGTATACTTTAAACAATGAAGCAATATAATATGTGTTATTTTTACATTTATTTAACTTTTGAATTTCCAACGTTGGCATTTGGCATTTTACTTGACTGCATTTATTATATTACGACTGCTATACATTTATACCTAATTTTACACTGTACACTTTATATGAAATACTGCGGTAAAACGTTTTGGTAGTTACACTGTCCATTAAAAAAAAAAAAAAAAAATTTAAAAAATTTAAAAATCATGTTACAATGCACATGATGCAATTATAAAAATAATAATAATAAACTATTAAATATAAATTCGTGTTCGTTTGATTCGCTTTTGAATTGGTTAGCTAGAATTATTATACATGCCGTTTACTAAAATATATAACAATGCATTTCATTTTTTTGATTAATTTGATTTTTGATTGTTTGTTTGTGTGTATATATATATATATAAAACATAATGTATAATATACAATTATTTTGTATTGATTCTTGCAGTTATACCAATTTATATTTTTTGTTATTTGAAAACAGTCGTAATACGTATTGTATAGAATTAATTTTATCGTCGATCGTAAAATGTATTGCTGCAGTATATTAGTTACGCGCAGCAGCCTTACAGGTGTTTCGCGTATATTGGTTTTTGACATTTTCTCGAGAATATATGTAAATGAGTTTGCCACGAGTGTCCCGGAGTGTTATGCTCGTATATTTATTATTTTTACTGAACGTTGAATACACGATATTGAACAATTGAATTAAGTATAGGTTAGACATCAGCACGAGAACAAACATTTTTATTTGTTTTTTTCGGTAAACACTGCAGGCAATGGGTATCTATAAAATGAACGTGTTTTCTCTCCGTAAATATGAAACATTAGATAAATTATTTTTGAGGTTGTATTATTGTAGATAATATAATATATATTATATTAGATAAAAACATTTTAGTATTTTATAAGAAACTATTATATTGAAGCTTATACATTGACTTTTTTTTAGATTCTGAGTATAGAAACTAATAAGATGCATAATGTGTATTGCATATTTTAATTTTACAATAAGATGTGTGTTTTACCCCAAATAAAACAGTTTTTCGGAAAACAATGTTCCGAATTATTTATACTATATCTTAACAGATGAAGATTTTCGCCCAGTGATATTTTATTTGGAACATTTTTTTTTTTATATTTCTGACAGTGACTAAGAAAATTTAAAAAAACTGAACCCAAATATCAATAATTCGGTTTTATTTTCGTTGATTTCTTGATTACCTTGACTACTAGAGGAATACAAATTGATTGACCAATACTGTAACTTAAACCGGTTTCTCTAATTTTGTTCAGAATCGTTTTTGATCACAAAGATTTACAATTGATTTTAGTATATTATATACTAACTTAACTTATATTGTATATCTTCTTAACGTCCCACTTACAACAGCTATCATTAGAAATATTCCTTTTTTAGCATTATTTAGACATTTTATAACTTTATGCTGCAAACCACCGTGGTCACACCGAAGAAATGTAAAACTAAATACAAAATTACAAAACTAATTATACGTTTTTTTTTTTTTTTTAATTTTATGAATATTCAAACATTTTTAAAGCGGTAAATAATTAGCGAATTACTTAGTGTAAGCGAATTTATCTCTGTAAATAATATTATACCATCTCACACTGATGATGAGATGAACCATTCTCTTATCTGCTCGGTCTCTTCGTATTTTATTCGCTTTTTTAAAAAAATTACAGCAACAACGGTACTTATATTATTATATATATTTATTTTTTTTTTTTCAAAGGTTTGAAATTAATGGAAGTAGGCTGGAGATACATTATTATTATATAATATATACAATTAATTGGACATGATTGTTATAGACATCGTTTTATTCAATAATGCATGCGACGACGAAACTTTAGAGTTCCGCCTCCTGAATAATATTCTCTAAGGGACAGCTAATCCAATTTATAAAATACCGTCATTTATTATCAGGTGCCTTTATAGTTCTACTGTAGCAGTCTATAATATTTCGTTGTTCTATCAATATAATATACCGCTGCCCTTTTATTTTATTTCCGGCTGTCCCGTCCTGTTTCTTATCTTTTTTTTCTACCATTACCACGTTCGTTAATTTCAAAGAATATCATAAACTATACACAAATGAAAAATTTGAAAATAATGTAAAACTATATACATATACAATATACACTAAGTATATAGTTAATAAAAATGAACATTACTTTCAAATTTTTCATTTCGATATGGATCTCGGCAGGTACTTATACTTATTATACTTATACCACTTTCTGGGAGTACTTTATTATAATCCCTTATTGTTCCCATGTAGACGTATTCATTGTTTCAATTTCTTAAAAAGTTTCTAGAAGTTATGCGTACGGCTACCTGACGATTTCACAATTTTAAAATAGTATCGAATAATTTTTTATTACTAACGATTATAAATTCTGAGTATACTATACCGTACCTCAAAAGATGCTGATTTTTTGTCTGATGGTACCATTGAAAACTATTTCGATTGTTTAAATTGCTTTTCGTTTTGTTTAAAATACTTGTTTTTGTTAATAAAATTGATCCAGTATTTTCACTCAGTACTTTAAAGGTTGTGAAATTTTCAACAGTTCCCTCTCAAGATCTTTTTTTTTCGTTTATTTCTCGAGTTACATTCTGAGTAACAAGAGAAAAACCACGACAAACAATACTCTATTCAGAATCGTTTTCAACGATGATTTATTGTTGCATACAATTCTTATCGATATAAATTAAAATATCTTATATAATATTGTACTTCCTGAACTACCCATACGGCCTATTATGGTCTCGTGGTGCGAAATAATTATGTCTACATGTTTGTGTTAAATATTTGTACAACTATGTGAACTTTAATTTTTATATTCGTCCTTTATGATTACTGTTACGCGTGTATGATTTGTTTATTATCTCTTCCGTGATGTAAACTATACTCGTTTAAATGGACTGAAAAACATTTTATTCGTAACTTATCCGGGTACGATAAATAACTGTTTTTCATCTGGAATATAGTTTATTTTTTTTTATGTATATTTATACATGCGCGCGTTTCTGCTGGAAACTGAAAAAGAAAAAAAAGTTCCCAATCGTAAGGCAATAAATTCGGCGCACAACTTTCGTATACGTATGTATATATGCTTTTCTCCGGAGGGTAAAAACTGGGTTTGACTAAAAAAAAAAATAATAATAAAACAAACAATCATTTCTCTATACAAGCTTTGATGAAACTTTTTCGTTTTCATAACAATTGTATACGTATAAATATTTACGAATTATAATTTATGATTAATGATGGATTTGTATTTGTTTCGAGAAAAAAAAATACTTCCTAAAACGATTGGAACTCCTCCATTTATTTGAATGATGATTTTTAATTCATTTTGATATATTGATTATTATTATTTATTTTCCAATTTTTAATTTTATATTAAAATAAATTATTTTAATTTATTCCAGTGGTTTAGCTTAAAATCGTTACGCTGTAATACTTGCGCATAGTCGACACCTATATATTTGATTATTTCCTAAACCAGATGTATATTGTAAATGCAATTTGTCACAAATACACATCTATGGTGTAATATTTATAACTGGTCGAAATTGTGTTTTGTTTTTCAATTATCCGCACTGTAATTTTGTGGTAATACGATATGGCGTACAAACGGCTGCGACACGAGAATAATAGTAATAATAATAATACATCGATCATATTTTTATTTTTTGCGACAGTCTTTGGTATTATATTTCGAAATCCGGATTTTCTGTTTTTGTCGTGAGTTAATATACGACGAAAGCTGTGTAATAGAACACACACACACACACACACACACACACACACACACACACACGCACGTATATAAATCTCATCACGTGTACGTTTTGTTTTCTTACGTGACGGTGTTTTTTAGATTTCGAACGGGCCAGTTGTGCAGTGACATACGCATTTGTCGTTTTGTTTAGATAAACAATTTAAAATAATTACGAGGTGGGTACACGTCGAATTTTTGTCGACTTTATACGTATATATTATATACCTACATACATATAGAAATAAAAACGGTTTTCTTCGGTGCACATTTATTCAGTTAAACTGTGTAAAGTTTACTAAGCAAGTCATTAACTTACAACATTTTTGTTTATATTTGTTTGGCTTGACGTATAGAAATCTACGATCTAGCAGAATTCTGTGGAATTCAATGTCATGTTATGAGTTTAAATATGAAATTTGAAACACCTTTAATTTTACCCATTTTGATAATTTTTTTTTTCTAATAGAGAATTGTATAATGTATATCAAAAACTATCTTCGTAAAATAATTTTTTTTTAAGTCTAACAAATTTTGAGTACTTTTTGAATTACAAAAACACATATTTGCTGTATTGTTCGTTAGATAGATAAAGACGGACAATTTTAAGCCCTCTTAAGACACTGACGAAAATCCAATTTTTCCCTGTGATTTTTAAATAATTTCACCCTTGTTTTCAATCATCCAACTTGTATATATTTGTTTTTCGTTTTTTTAAATCTTTTATTTTTATCGATTTGTCGTATCGATCGTGGATGTTGGACGATGGATAAAAATCTGCCAGTGAATTTAAAAAAAAAAAAAAAAAATTAAGAGTTCTAATATGAAATTTGAAAGTCCCTTTTCGCCATTTTGACAGTTAAAAAAAAATGACTTTTTTCCTAGTTTTGTTGACGTGGAGTGTTATTATAAGTTCCAAATCGTGACGATGACCGGCAAACAACGACTTTGAAATGTTGTAATATAGTTTAAATGTTATAATAATACGTAATATCTCGGTTGCTCGACAGACGCGTCATCTGGTAGACGAGTATTAATTAAATCTCTTCCAGTGCGGGGGTCTCACTCCGCGATTGTATAGGTTTTAGTGTGTATATAATAATTATAATTATAATATAGCTGCGACTCAAAAGACCTCCCCCTGACCCACCTTAACTGCCTAGTTTAACAGGATAATGGTTTTGATTTATTAATGGGTTTAGATATATTGTTATTTTGTGTAAAGTTTCTGACATAGAGCGCGGTTACCCCGCTTTATATTGTTATGTACTCGTATTGTTATACTCCGTGTATAATATTATAAGGCCCGAAACCACGACTTAAGATTTTGCAGCGACGGCGATATTTCTAAATGGTAAATAAGTTAGGTATTTTCATGAAATATATAGACATATAACATACAGTTTTCTTCGGGTTCTGCGCCCGGAGCTTATTTCGTTTGCCGCATTATGGAAATTCAGCGATTCAATTTTTAAAACGACGATATTTTCCTCAAAGCAGTATTATAATAATAAGGGATCGTATTATAGAATCCGTAACGAGTATCGATGCCCATTTGTTTTTTGATTATATGTATATTGTATTTCAAAAAAATGCGATTTTTAATCATATATACTTGTATATGTGTTATAAATTATATATGCATTTATAAAACAACTTGGTGTATAGTCATACAGGTAAGAGGGTATGTAAATTCAGCGGTTATTATTTATAATAACATACTGAAAGGACCGAAAATTATATCAATTTACGAATAATATGTTTATGCCACGAAATTATGTGATAATGCGACACATATTTGAAATTAATTATCGCGGATGTAATTCCGTGGCATAACCAAACAAATATTTTACGGGTTAATCAATACAATATACAATTTCTCCTATCGATATAACAATTTACTCGCACATATTGTGTAGTAGGCTATCAATAACAGTCGTTTTATAAGATATTTGCGATTTAAACAAACTAAATAAAATGTTTTCCTGACATTATTTTATCGGCATTTAGTGCAAACAATATTAATAATGGAACTAAAGTTTCCGTTGAAAACATCTGTTAAAACATCATCGTTTTACACATTGCAATATTTCGTAAGGTTTTAAAATACGTGGTTATTTGTAATTGTTTCATAAAAAAAAAATGCGAGTTTGTGGTTAAAAATAAAATCATAGTTTTTATTATCAGTGTAACCAAGCCTACGGTATTCCCTGTCTTCGCGTATTAAATAAATTTGCGATCTAAATTTTCTGAAACACCAACTAAAATACATAGCTGACCAATAATTTTGACATTAGTACGGACTTTTTAGTTTACTGAATAGTAAACCATCATCCCGTGTAGAATGACTCGCCAACGCGGCTGTAAACTTTTTCTTAACTCGGCTAAACAAACGTATCACATCAGATTGGTACGTGTGCTCGTTTCTATACACGTTTCTTGGAGGTTCAGATCACGGTTATAGATAGGATGGTTTTACAAAAATTGTTATTAAAAATATGGAATAAATCACGAACAGCTTACTGGCTTGTGTAGCGCGATCTAGTTAAAATCTAATTATTATTAATTCTCAAATTTTCGAGGATAGTAATTATCGGTTTAGTTAGTCCAATGTTTCACCGAGAGTGCTATCAGGCGAAAAGTAAATGTTAAATTTGATACGAACCTTCTCGGCCGCTGACCACCGTACTATACGTTATGTGTGGCATTATTCTATCAATAAACCGTAGTTAAGACATCGGATCACAGGTAAACAAAAATCCGAACAGCCGATTGAGTGTCATTACCGTATTATTCTACGATATAACGTCCTAAACGTATAATCAGCGTGATTAATTGTTGTTTTTTTTTTTTTTATAAGTTTTCTTTAATGTCGCCTGATCTACACGAGGCCATAGTTTGTTTTTCATATTAGTAGCAGCTACTAGTTCAAAGTGTAGAACCCCATCGTATTAAGTTACTTGCAGGCTTGAGTTGCCAGCTTATATTATCCTAAAGCTTGAAAAACTAGAATCATGTAAACCGGGCATAAACGAGTAAAACTGCGTGCGTTCACTACTATTTGTGACCGGTAAATACGCCGCCGGGGTCGGTGATAAATTGAAATACGTACGCGCCGCCGACAAAGCTCTTTTTCAATTACTCCGATACGCGACTGAGTGCAAATGCATTTTATTGTTACCCGTAAGTTTTGTTTCCGTCTACGAAACATAAATTATCCTCGCTAAATAAATAACGGAACGTAAGTTAAAATGCATCCAACATGAATGCACCTATATCCTTTTTTTTTCTAAATGTTCCATCGTTACGCGTATATCGAGCGAAATCGTATTAATTTTTTGGTTTGAAAAATAAGTTTACATTTCGTGTATATAAACAAATTAATGTTTTATATGGTTGGGCATATATAATAACATTGTATATTATTTAATATATTATATTGTATACTCGTGTAATTTATAAAGCCTTAGACCGCATATATTTTATCTATACGAGATTGCAATAAATTTAAAATGCGGTCACATTTCCGAAATCGTGACGGCAGCCAATCGTCATTACAATTATAATATACAGGGTGATTCTGTATGTGGAGTTTATTCGTTTATTTTTAATGTATTTACAGAAAATGGAAAATATTGTTCGGTATTTCGTAAATTTGATTTTTAAAAAAACATGTCAGCGGTCAATACATTCACTTAGATATTATCCGCGATTAGTTATATATAAAAAAAAAAAAAAAAATGTGATTGAATTGTGAATTGATTTTTTCCGATGTATTATATTTATCACCGACGTGCTGTCGCATATAGGTACGTTTTAGGATCTTGTCGCGTTTTACGGGGATTTATGGTCTGAAAGTTTATTGGGACTCGCGCGGTGTGTATGTATAAACGAGTATATGGAACACGGCCAGAACTTTGTGTATTATCGCCGTAACCAGGCACGTAGCCAGAAATTTCCTAGGAATGAGAGGGGAGGGGGGTGGTGGTGTTATAAAAAATTATAACTTTAATGGACAAAATAAAATAATATACCATATTCGTCTGGAACATAATAATGTTAATTTTCATTTCGATTTACTAGGGACGGATGTGACCACTGTTATAATTGAAAAATTTGTTTCAAGACTTCTCGAAATAAGGATAATCCATCGTTCACGTGATTTAACGGATTATTATGTTTTTTTTTCTGTTTGTTAGAATAGATATGATACCAGTGCAGATAGAATAGGGACACTTGATAGTCTCAAATAACACATATACGAGAAGAGATAACACAAATCTCTCAGAAAACATTGCGAAGTGTTATACTTAGTTTTCAGAGATGTCTTTATCGAAAGTTTACTTTTCTAAATGGACTTTTTAATATCGTTTATAAAAATTAGGATGAATAAATTTGTCGAAAAATGACTTGTCGGTGTTCTACGGTTATTTAAAAATCGCCCGTTTCACTGTGTCGTGCTCTGCCGTATTATTGATTTCGACGTTTCCTGCAATTACAAGTCGTCGCGTACTCGACGATTCGGTGTACGATAATGTTATTAATTTTCCATGCGCCCAAACGAGTAGGTGTAATTAAATATTTCCCGGGAGTCGTGACAAAAAAAAAAAAGTACTAATATAATAATACGGAACACGACGGTTCGGGTAGCTTAGTGTGTCGTCGGTGTAAATCAACCGACGATAATAACCGTACCCGAGTTCGGAGCTTCGCGTATATTTCGATTAGTATTATACATACGTATATAGTAGGTAATGTATCCTTTCGTCTCTCTCTCTCTCTCTCTCTCTGCGGAAATCCGCGTTTTTCAATCAAAAGACGGTACGCGCGAGTTTTCGATTAAAACGTCGGTATTATTTTCGCAGCGGGGTGCGTCGCGCACCTATCGAGAGAAAAAAAAAATGCCCCGAGGACCACGGGACCGGGGCAGAACCGCGAGCGAAGAAACGCGCGTGTCGCCCGTATATCACATTAGCGTAATATATTATTATACACGCGCATGCCGAGCAGACGAGAGAGATAATACACCGCCGGGTCCCTCGATAACTCTCGCCATCCCCCCCCCCCCCCCCCGGGAGCTCGCGTATAAAATATACGTGTACGCTGTACCCGTATACGGCTCGCGTATTATGATTGTCGTTGTTGTGCGGCGTGCGGACCGCGCGCGTGCAAATCCAGACAAATCGGTAACGATTGTCGCGGTGTCGCGTGTAATACGAAATCTCGCCGCGCAATCGATTTTCCCGTTTGTCGCGCGCACGCTCGATTGCGACGGCCCCGCGGTTCTCCGGATATCCTCCTTGTAACAATAACAATAATAATAATAATAATAACACATACGCACACATATATATATATTTACTTGCGTATTATTACCACACGCGTGTTATTATATTGTCGATCCGCTCGCGAGTTTTCCCCCGCCCCGGATAAATAATAACGCGCGCGCGGGAGCACGTTGCGGTTTTCGTCGTCGTCGCGTTTTGCCGCCGGCCGAAGTTGAGCTGCGGATTTACCGCGGCGGCGGTGCAACCGAGATAATACCCGCGGTAACGTACTCGTATAGTACTTATGAAATCGCCCGTAGTTCGGTGTATGATATTATCGCTCTGATACGTCGTCGTCGCCGTCGTATTGTCTTATTCTCGAATATACGTTACGTTTGTTTTTTTTTTTTTTTTTTTTTTTCGATATACATGACACTTTTCTGAAAACTTTTTACAATCGTATTGTATTCTAAAATGTTACATTTTTCTTATTTTTATCGGGGTTTGAATTGTCTACCTAATTTTGATTTTCAAATAGTGTAATCTATATTAAATGCAATCTATGTTAAATGCAATCTTTATTGAACATTTCACAAATAGACGGTGTATTAGTTGAAATAAGTTAGATTTGTGTGATGACAAACGAGTGGAATATCTCGTCGACGGAAATCAAAAATGCCAATGTATTTAATCTAATACTCCAATTTATTTTTGGAATTTTTAATATAGGTTGCTATTTTAAAATCAAAAAATAGGTAACCGTTTTACCCCCGAAAATAACAATGCAAATAATAAGGACAATGTAACATTTTAGATTATACAATTCCAAAAAGTTGTTATAAAAGTAATTTTTTGAAAAAATAAGGTATTTCATGGATAATTTGACTAACAAGAGACCCTGCATAATGTCGTTTAATTAATTTTGAATTAATCCGCGGGTATTATTTGTTCCGACCGAATCTTCAATAATCGTTAAAATAGTATTACTTTTATCGACGACGAAGTTAATACTTTGATTTCGAAATTAAAAACAAACATTTAAATATCGTTTCGTTCCGCGGGTATTTGTTTTTTTTTTTTTTTTTTTTTTTCATACGAAATGCTCGCACTTCAATTCGACCGTAAAGTATTTACAAATAATTATTTTTCAATTAAATGAACATAATATAAGTATATCTGCAGCTGCGAAAGAAAAAAATGTATAATATTTTTGATAGTTTTGCGCGTATTATATATTTAATAAAAATAAAAACGCAAACGGAAATAATTCTTTAATCGTGAGTTTTGATTTACGTCAAATGTCATTTTAGATGTATAATATGATTATTAAATCTTCGGTATTCAGCATTTTTTTTTTCCTTTACCGACGAGAAAATATTGTATATACAGTTTTGATGGGTTTCGTTAACAATATGAATGGTGGAAAAAAAATAAATAATAATAAACGGGTTTTCGGAAGAAAAATAAAACCATTACTATACTGCCATGAAAACTGAAAGTCAATTGTCTAAACTGAAAAGATGAATGTTAGTGTCTAAAAGGTAAATCCGCGCGGGTAAATCCTTATTGACACACCGGATCCATTTGAAAAATTACTTCTGAAAAAATAAAATCCTGGCCTTTTCTTATATGCCTGTTATATCTTTATAATTCAACGGGCGAACATATTTTATAATTTTATAGTCGCGGTTAGGTTAAGGTGTTTTGACCTAAATAACCTAGACTGTATGCAGATAATGCATTCCTCCCTTATAAACCGGTTCTTAAACATTTGTATTAGTATACTCGTCAAATGTCTGTTAATACCTATTTTGTGTAAGGTTTGTTAACTAAGCAGACCGCGTCTTGGACGATAATAATAAAAGTCACGAAATACATTGAATTATCATCATGCTTACCATACCATGGGTTATATAACTTATACTTAATTCTATATATGGTATTAGTTGTGATAAATCAACGTTTTATTTTTTTTTTTTTTTTTTGGGGGGGGGGGGGGGGGTAATAACAAGGCGCATATCTTTTTTTTTCTTTTCGAATAATACCGCATTTTGTTTATAATTATGTGTCTGATTTTCCGATGGACAAAGGTTATATAAAGTGTCCACTATAATTCATTGTTTATGCCAGCGGTACCCAAATATGTTTTCTTTATTCGTGATTCCTATACAACAGAGCAGTTTTTTCACACCCTCACGATTGATGAATAATATAAAACAATAAAATGGGTTAAACATTATTTTTTACCACGTGTATTTTCCATATTATCAATGCGTCAAAATCAGGAAACAAAAGTCGCATCTGCTATACAAACATTTTTTTGTCTACGTTGAGTTAGGATCGATGTTCTAAATACGACTACTGCTGAAAATTCTGCTTCACACAAGTACGACAGAATATTATACGGGATTAATTTTTTTTTTATACTTTTTGTATAATCATCATTTTGTATGTGGTTTTGAGTTTCAAAACCCTAGAAGTCTAATGGTCTAATGATAAATAGCAATAAAAAATTTAGTTCGCCCTTCATAGTTCGGAAACCAATGGTCTGTAGTATAAAATACATTATTTGAAGTCATTTTGGGTGATATATTTTTGCTGTTATTTTAAATAAACTCACAGTTATTAAAAAAAAAGTCTGCGTATGATCGTGTTTTGTTTGATTTTATTTTTCGATTTCAAATTGAATATATATTATTTGCCTACTTTAGTTTTCAGGCATTAATTGAAAATATTCATATTATTATTATGTAATCTGTTTGTAAAATCACAAGTTGATACTTATGTTTAATTAACAAATGTCCGAATGAATAATGTATATTAAATTCACTCGACGTTGATGGAATTCGTATATTTTTTAATTTTTAATACGGTTTTCTTTTTGTCTCAATTAAATCATTTTCAACTTTAAAATGTCATCATACGTATTGTTATCAAATTAATATTGGTTAAAATTTAGTGATAAATAATCACTAAAGAATCGTCGTTTGTATATAGTTTATTAAATTTTAAACGCCATTGGATGGAAAACGCGCTAAAATAAATAATTTCAGTTTGAATTCTAATTAAATATTTAATACATTTTTTTTTTTTCATAGGTGAGGCATAATATTTGAATTTGAAAATTATTATAGCCCGGCATACGTTATAGTTTAGTTATAAAAAATTATAATAATACCTACATGGATTAAATTATAACATTAATTTATTCAAATTAAATGATTAAAAAAAAAAAAGAATCAAAGATATCACAGAACGAAAATAACAGCAGATGATTTCCTTTGTGTATTCAATTCGATATTGTGATTCGGTTTTTGCAGACCGCAAAAACAGACTGTCTTATTAATTTCCATAAGATATTATTAAATTTTCGTTATGCTTTCATCTTTTAGCGAGTCATCTTGGCTTTGTGACCCATCAACAACGATATATTCTACACAAAGCAAGTGTGTATTTCATTTTTGAACATGATACAATCGAACTGCGTTTGATTCTTTTGAAACTTGATACATAAATAATCGTTAGGATAATTATATCGTTTATCCCTAAATTAAAAATACAAATTTGATAATTTAAACTCTAGTAAGGATTTGTTCAAATCACCATTTATTACCTTATTATTGAAAATGTATTGAATGGCAATTATTATGATCGTGTATTGTACATTTTCTTTAACTATCAAATAAAAATCTTAATTACATCCTAATCTGACTTTACCAACCAGGAAGAGTATACTTACTGATAAAACATGGCCATTAACATTATAAGTTCCTAACCTAACCGAACGAAAAATAATGAGGTATTAATAAAAGTTTTTGAAATGTGGTGTTACACAGATGCAAAAAGTAGGCGGATAGTTAAATTAATGTAATTATTACAAGTTAACGAACAAAAAATAATGAAGTTGGTTACTACAAAAACGAGAAAGTTGAAATTATTAGACACTACTCTCAGATAAAAGCCTTATACAACTGGCTTTTAAAAAGATCATACTTAAAAAAAAAAAAAAATAGTACGACCAAGAACAAACTTCGTCGCATAAACTCGAGGAAATAAAAAAGAAACTTGATGACAGAAAGGTACGAAAAAAGTACATACAGTAAAGATTCAAAAACAATCGGAAGACTGGAGTACCGAAAGAAGAAGACTGTCACGCCAATAGTGACAAAGTCATTTTTTTTTTTGTATTTTTGAGAATGACGATTTTGAATGTTTAACTCTTTATTCGTGAATATAATATAGTATATTTTGTAGATACTAAATAAGATGTTTAAATATATTTTCGCATTTAGTTATAATAGATTAAAAATATTAAGTTTTTTGTCCAAAATTCTATGACCTATATTATTTATTATTTTTTTAATGCTTTATTCGCTATAGTTAATTGTTTACTATTGGCCATTTGAAAGTTCATTACTTGGACGAATTATTTTCTTATCGGAATTCTAAATTATCGTATCTGAGGCAAAATATTTTGCCTCAGATAACGATTTTCTCGTGAGTCACGATTAATTATTATAGAAATACACAGCTTTGTATCATAATATTATATATAGTGTAATATGCATATTTTATTATTTGACCGTCCAATATAATAATCGAAAATATCAATTACCTACCGTTCTACATAATGTGCATAACCCATTAATGTATGCTTTCGGCGATAATGATGATGCATGATCTGCAAAAACCCGCCTACGAAATAATTGTCTCGTCACTTCATTATGGTTATACTATTAACAAAACTGTTGTTTTAATTGTTCGGTTAATTATAGGTACCCATACTGAGGAATCATATTTTGTATTAAACCGGTACAAATTTTATGTTCCGAGTTTAGTTTTACTAATATGTTGTTTTTTGTTTTTTTTTTTTATAAAAATCGTTTATATATAACGTATGATAACCGTGGACTGTAAATTGTTTAAAATATTATAGGGTTATCATAATATGTATATAGTATATAGTATTTTAACTACTGCTAACGAAATCCGTATAGTATGTTTTAATCGATTTAATTAAAATATACAATAATATTATTGTAGTCGACGAGTGGCGAGATAAACGAATAATTGAGCTTTTATCTCGTACAATGACAGAACCCAAAACCCTTTTAGAAAAACGGCGTATAAATATATAGCGTTCTACATCTTTGACTCTTTTTCTGTTTATATTTCGATCAATACGCTTTTATAAATGTTTCACGCCGAGAATCTTATAATGTCTGATGAAGATTTTCCGCAAATATATTTACACTTCGTCGTTACGATCGTAGTACGAGTTTGTATTTTAATAATAAAAAAAAAACACCAAAGATTTTAAGCGAAAAACGTAAATCTTCCTCAAACGGCAATATAGAAAATGTATTTTTTTTCAACTCGTAACCTGAAAAATATACATTTTTACGATTTTCGCATGTGTACAAGTTTTATTTCTCATTTCAAATAAATATATATCCAGTCCGGTACCTTTTTCATCATAGCGTCGTGTATATTAATTTTGCATGTTATGTATTTTACAGCTATTTCAAAAGAAGATCCCGATCGCAATAGAACAGCATCTCGAGATGCACTGCCGAGTAAATTGCAATTCAACGGTTATTCCGAAGAGTTCCTCGACAGAATCGAACCGAACGGGAACATACCTTGTGCCAACGACGAACACTTGTCCAGATTCGGTAAGTCGCTCGTTTTTATTAATATAGGAAATGACGAATTTTGTCCCATTGTTTTTTTGTTAACGCCAAATAAATTATGAACGATAATGTTCAAAAGCTTTTAAATTTTCCTTGCAACAATCTGTGTTCTTCTTCTAAAGGTTTTTTTTTTAAGTATTTATATATATATATATATATACATTTTAACTAAATGCAGTCTAATTTTGGAGCTATATATAATAATTAGTAGGATTATATACATTATATTATGAACTACTTTTTAGTTGGTTTTTTCTCTAAAGACACATTTCGGGACGATAAAATGGTTAAAAAGTTTCGGTCGGTAACTTTTTATAGTCTAGTTATATGTACCGGTAACGGCGTTACTTTTCGGGGGAGGTCATTTTAGAATTATTTATAGGTTGATTTAAACGGAAAATTCTAGAGAAAAAAAAAATAGTTGGACATTATCCGAGCAAACGTTAAAATCGCAGCGTACTCTGTACTGAAAATCGTTTTAGGATTTTTAATTAATACGTAGGTACGAAAAATAAATATAAAAAATAAAAATAACTTGTGTTTTTGAAACTTCATTAAAACACAGTATCGCATTCAACGTGTGTGTCGTGCAAAATCATTGGTTTTTATTCCCTCATATAACAAGATATCTCTAACGCATACCTATATGGGACACGGTCCATTTTACACATATACTTTGTGCAGTGAAGTAAAAAATTAAGTATTTGAATATATAGTGTAGTATGCGGTTATTTTTACTTGTATATATTATAATACAACACTACGCTACTACACACTACACTACTATACGGTAATAATAGTATGTATTGAATGGGATAAAAAGTGGTATTTTTTTTTCACTGTAGGAAAATATTTCGAAGAATAAAAAAAAAAAAAAAGAGAATAAAAAGACTGTTATTCTGTATCCGCGCGTAAGAGCTCATCATTAAATAACGAAAAAGGGGCGCGAACGCGTAGGGAAATTCTTCTGTTGCGACTTTTCGCGTATATAGAAATTGTATTGTGTAGGTATATTATTATTTTTTCTTATGAATCCTAAAACTCCGTTTTTCTTTTACTATAAAATCGATATTTATTTTACAGTGTAACTCCTATCTTAAATATATAAATATAATATTGTAATTCCGTACCACTTTATTTACCATTTATGGCGAATATTGTTTATCCGTTATTCCTGCAAGAACTGCGTATCACGGTTTAGGTGTTGGTATTTTTTTTCTTTCTTCAGTATTTCATCATCGACTATTCGACTAAATCGGTTATATTTAAAGAGATTATCGCAGAATAATGGTTTTCTTGATTTCCTTAAAGAAAATCGTATGTTCATCTTTTAAAAAAAAAAAAAAATCAAGAAATAGTTGATTAAATGAATAAATAATTCTACGTATAATTATTTAATGTTTATCAATTTTCCATCTGATATTTGATATTATTATTTTTTTAATGTTTTTTTTAAAATTAGGTTTAAGTCACTAGTCAGTTATTGGTACCTGAAGTAACTCTCAGTAGTTTAAGTTTACGGATTTTTCTAATGATACGAATTTTAATCGAGTAATTAATTCTTAAGCTAAATAAAATTTGTTTTCGTGAGAACTGTTATCGAATGTTTCTATTTTACTGGTTTTTTAACGTTTATAGTTTTGCAAATATTATCATTACGACACACTGACAAAATTAAAAAAAAAAAAGGAATTTAATAGGAAGTAAATGTAAAATTCACTGAATATATAATATATATATATAGTATCAAGACTATTAACCAACAGTATTATTGCTATTTTCGAGAGTCGTAGGCGTACATTAAATACGGTACTTTAATTTTATATAGTCTGTAATTAACCAATAGGCAATAATTATATACTATTACCGTGAGACATTGTATGTATTAGTATAAAATATTGTTTCAATAACTGCCATTGGGTTTGTTTATTGTTATTCGTTATTGGTACAATCGAATTAAATACACAAGTATTTGGCAAATATAGAATATCTACTTATATACTCGTGTTTTAATAAGCCAAGCGTATTAATTATATTTTCATTATTTACAATTAATTTACTATGGCTTTATATAAAATAATAACGAGAGGTTATCAAAAATTATCCAGACTGATAATTACTCATAAACCGAGCATTGAATATCAGTAGTATTGATATCACTGACTTCTATAACTTCGTTTGAGCAAATCTGTTTTATAGATTCTCTAAAAACTTCTTCGTTTTAATTTCACCGATATTTTTGTAAAATATGTTTTCGTGTATTAGGATGCTGTAATGAATCCCAAAGACAAGCAACTCGAAGACCTTTTTGGGGGGATCTGAGAGGATTTGTCCATATTTGTTTTTGTTCATATGGCTCATGTCAAAAAATTGTAACTGAAAAACTGTAGATGCATTGAGTGGCAACTAACCTTACCTTAAATTTGGTTTTGACCTTCGATCAACAGTCTTAAGTCAAACTTTGCTGTTATTCAGTGCATCTATAGTTTTTCAGTCACAATTTTTTGGCATGAGCCTTGTTAAATGATGAATACCTAAACTTATACTTTTCCCAAATTCTCACCTATGACAATGGCCTTTCCATGGGCCATGGTGTAAAATAAATTATAACTTTGATATAATTTGTACCTGATTTGTAACTGTCCTACGTGTTTCAGCTCTCTGTATCTTAATGTGGTAATTGTTTTTTAAGTCTATTCATTTTAAATGTCTTATTACCAAAATTATTTTAACCTGAAGGGGGTCTAAAATTATCCAATTATAATCTTACTCCTCGAACAATTTAAAGAGTATAATTTCCCTTGTTTAATATTAGCGGAGGGATATTTTCTAAAATTTTAGGGGTATAAGAATACATTTAGATTGATGCACACTCATTCTGCAACTCACCTGCAGTTAGTCACTCGTCCCGATTTTTATTTTTCATAACCCAGAGAGAAGTGAATGCATTAAATCGACAATAAATATCGCGATCCAAACGTTGTTACAGTATCCTGCACAAGTACTTTAGCGATACTTCTATGATAAGATATACCAGAAACAGTGATAGCATGGCATCTATTATATATTCGAATAAAATCGATGGTCAAATAAAATACACTTATCATTAAAATTACTACGTATATATACATAAAAACAGGGGGCCGAAGGAGGTAATTAACCTATCGCCTCCTCCTGGTAAGATTATTTGGTGGTATGATTATCCTAGGACATCAAAATACTAGTATGCTAATAATTATGCTATTTTTTCTGTTAAATGAAATGAGTCATCATCGTATATGTGAATACGAGCTTGTATATTTTAAATAATCTTAACACAATCGCACGCGTGCATCCCACGCTTTGTGTGTGGGTTTATATTTATACAAGTTTATAAATACAACAACCCACGTTTAATTAATTCAAAAATAGCATCCTTAATAATTGTTCGTAAAATACGGGGTAGCTGCCGGGAGACACTACAATATTATTACGAAATAATTAATTATCAATGTGTTATACAATAATTTACAATTATTTTAAATAGGTTATGTTGTTACATACTATCGTTGATCAAATTGAGGCGGGGACGGAGTAGTACTTCGATTATTTTTTTCGGAAATTTAAGTTTACCTCTACTATTTGCTTGAAATAGACCTCATGCGATCGAGACGTGTGATTTGCAAATTACGTTTATTCTTTATTCAAAATTTACATACATGTATTATTTATTGATACTGCTTGTGTTTGCTATACTTCGATGTACTTATAAATGTTATTTAAATAATATTCATTATAATATGTACACATTATGTAACATCTTTATTACTATACGATAACTTTAAATTGGCATTGATTATAAGTATTTTTGTCATTGGGTATTTTCTAATGAAAATCGTGTTAAATGTTCAAAATATCTGATACTGTTAATTAGTGTGCCACTTTTGTTGGTGGAAAGTTGGGAAGGAAGAACACATAGTTACTTAATTAATATCTGTACGCAACGATAAATCATTCCTGACGAAACAAGACTAAGAAAAGTTCAGTTAAACGAGTTTTGAAATGTTATTATTTTAACTAATTTCTACAAAATTTTTACTTAAAAAATGTACACATTACATTCAATTTTTATTTTTCTTGGCCACTAAGTACAAATCAATTTAGTGAAAATTTCAAATCTCCATTAATAATTATGTTACATCAAAAAAAAAACTAAATAACGAAATCGAAAATAATGAGCAGTTTTTCAGTTTTTTTTTCAGTAAGTAAGTTTTCTTTTTCTCCAAGTTATAATAAAAACAACCCTCCAAGTCCCAATGAACCAACTATATTTAAGATTTTCTTTCAGAAAAGTTGCTTTATTAAAGTTTATTTCAAGATTTCTGGTAAGAAAAATACAATATAAAATAATTAAACTTTTATTGCCGTAAATTTGTCCACACTTCTTCTATATTTTTTCCCCAGTTTTTTCTGACTATTATTAAAACTACTTGGAACATCAAAAAATCGCTTTTTCAATAAACCAATAAGATCCGAAATACTATGATGAAGCTTTCTTGTCATTTTTTTTTTTTTTGGAGCAATGTCGTTTTGCCCACAAAACTACACTCTATGGAAATAGAGGTACTGTTTAATAGAATCAATTAAAATAAATTTTATAAAGGGCCGCAATCTTAAAAACGCATTGAATTCTGTTTTACAATATTTTATGTACAACATTAATACCGAGTCTTAAAAAAGTAAATCTTAAGATTTTTTTTTTTCCATTATTTGAAATCAGAATTAATTTAATCGGAGTTTAATGTGGCCTATAGAATGTTTATCAATCAAAATATTTATATATTTATTCAAATATTAAATTAACAATGAGTTAATCACTATTTACGTGAAGTCATTTTCATCAGTAAAAATAGCCCCATAATTTTACCACCGAAATGTTAAAAATAATGTTTCAAAATTAGAGATCATACTAACAACTGTCATCGGGCCTCTAATAGACTGAAATTTTTTTTTTTTTGAGAATGCACACTATAATAAAACCAATGTATTACTACGCTCAAAAGATACAATGTTTAAAAATGAAAACTTATATATTCCGCGTTATTTACAAGGGAGATTTTTTCAATATTTTTTTTTAAATCTTTTGTGCTTTTTCGTGTACGTTTTTATAATTCCGCCGGAATATTGAAATATCAAAAAAAAATCCTATATATAGATTCTATGAGTTCTCCTCTTTCAGTTTTGATGATTAGTAATTTTACTCCAGCAACGTTAACCCCGGAAGCTCACTGAGTATACCGCTACACGAAAGTACGGAGTACGGTTTTTTTTTTTTTTTTTTAATCTTAATATCGTAAGTATGGAAAAACGCATAGAGTTTAAATACGAAAAAAGTCAATCCAGATTTCGGATGTACGTAGACATTTTTTTAGATAAGTAAAACAATTATTGTAAATATACATTTTAAAGTTTCAAAACAAGGTACAATAATAATTGTATTAATAATATTAGTAAAACTGCAAGGTTTTGTAAAATTAAATTTAAGTTAAAAAAAAAAAAAAAAAAACTGATACTGCTGATGGATGTAGATAGAAAGCTAGAAAGGCAGGGTCTATAGAGTTATTTAATTTAAATTCATATTTATATAATTCGTTATTTATGTCTGAATAAACGGCTACAAAGAAACAAAATCGAAAATACCATACACTTTCCTGTTTCTGTTAAACTGTTCCCAATTATTAAGAAAAATTCATAAAAAAAAAAAAAAAACCGGTTTTTAGACCCAACTAGGGAATATTTTTTTCCAGTTAAGTTGCTAATCTTGAATTTGGAGCAAGATTTCTGATAGAAAGGTGAAATTGAAAGAATTTAAAACAATGCAATTTGTAATGCCGTAAATACGGTTTTTCGCCGGGTAATTTATAGAATCTTGATTAAAAATAATTTTGAACATTTCTGAGTAAATTAATAATTTACTTCTCTAATGTATCTAATAGATCCAAATGTTCTAAAAAAATAAAAATGTGCTCTTGATATTTTTTTGATTGGAGTAAGATTTCTGGTAAAAAGTTAACAGACAGGAAAAATATACCTCACATCATATTAATAAACTTTATTATTGTATTGATTATTTATCAACCGGTTAAATGGTTTTAAATTAGAATTACATTTGTATCAATAACAAATTATATAATACTGATAATTTCGAAAAAAAATAAATATATATGTATCTATGAAAGCCCATAGATATTTAAATAATTTTAATTTCAAGTCATTCAATTTTTCAAAGGTTTTCGTTGGTTTTTTTCTTATTATTTTTTCGTAAAACTATGTATAACCCATTATAATCCCAATTGACCTTGATTTCAAAAAAATATTCATATAATTCTGCTGTAGAGGAAAGAAAAAAACACAATCTATTATGTATATAATATTATTATCAGGTTTTGAACATCCTCTCCTTCAGTTAGTCAAACAATATTTTGACACTGCGCTATAATACATAATATTATTATTATTATGAACATTACAATATTATATACTTATATAGTATACGTAAAAAAAGAAACAAAAGCAAAGCAAAAAATAAAAAATAAATAAATAAAATTAATGCATTTTGTTGTACCGCCGCAACAAAAATGTTGTATAGTAATATTGTGCCGAGAAAATGTTGATTTATCAAGGTCGATTCGGGTTCACGCCCGTTTTCGGATTGAAGTGTGACTTCTATAGTATACGCCGAGCATTAAATATACAGGGACTAACTGTTTGTTTCTTTTTTAGACGTGCGGAAAGTCGCGAAAGTTTTCATTCTTTCTTTCCGGCCGTCGATAAATAATTATATTATAATCGACCGGAGTCGGCGGTGAATAAACGCAAACCGTAAAATAAATATTAAAACTTTCTTCGGAAACCGAAACGCCGCGGTTTATAATAATTAATTCTCCCCGTTCGTTCTATAAAGTTTCTGTTTATTAAATTGTATACAGCGCCTCGGTGGCAAATTAGTTCGATTTGTTTTTTTCCTCTCCGTTTTTATCATATTATTATTACGCGATTGTTGTGCATAGGACCTCCGTCGGAGGATGGGATTTTTGTTCGGCTTGTGTTTGTTTGTTATTGTTTTTTTTTTTCTGTTCACATTAAATAAGCGTTTGGAATCTGTCCAAAAATAGAATAATAATATTATGAAAAATGCCCACGGAATACGATGGCGTAACTGCCGAATTAAAATAGTCGTCTGTACGGATTCATGTGAATAATCAATATTCCTTTTTTTTTTTTTTATCATCCTTCGCATCTCTTCTCTATACCCCTCTGTATACTGTTATAAACAGTTTTATCCGTCGGCTTGTATTTGGATATTACTGGCTATAATATAGATAAAGGTATTCTTAGTTGTTTTTTTTTTTTTTTTTTTTTTTTTAACGTATGTATAAATACTCGTAAATTGTAATATGAAAATCTCGTATTTACGTAGGTATGTAATATGTTATCGTTGGCAATGACATGTATTATACACATACGTAGGTAGATGCACTCTCAAAATGAAACGAAATTGCGTGTAAAACCTTATGTTGCCTATATCATGTCTTTATAATACAATTGGAAACGATAATACTGCACTGACTTTTTGATTTATTATTATATAATTGTTTTATGGGTAGTGTGTACAAAAACTTTTTATATAAAAAAACGACTTACATTACGCTCAGCTGTTTTTTTCCCCATCAAATACAACTTATACTGAACCTCTGTAAAATCGTTAAATATGTCTGTAAAAAATAAATCCGTTTACTCAATTTAGACTTTTGATAGACCGCGCGACGCACATTACACCTGTTTTGTATAATGACACGCTGAAGCCCGTAATATGATGTGCGTGAGAGACACAATTATCTTTTTCAATGATATTCCCAATTGAAAATTTTTTATTACTCTTGAAAAGAATCGAATATTTATAATGTTTTTTTGTATTTTAAATTTTCATCCCGGACTAATATACAGAACGGGATACTATACTAGGTTGGAAGTTGTTGAGGATTTCTTCAAAAATTGTCACAGAACAGGCGTGGGGCGTGAATAGTATCTATCCTTTTATGATTATTATCGCAGTCTTAGTAAATACCTTTGGAGCTGGCTAGACGTGCCACCGAAATATAAAACACTAAAGATAAGTATTGATTAAATAGAACAAATACTCCCCGCCCAGTCTATAACAGAAAATATTAATTCTTACCCCGTGATTTCAATAACGTTAACAGTATTCAATTATTAATTAGAATTGTTATTAAGTGTTTATAGCATTGTTCATTGTAATTTAAAGTGTTCAAGCCAACTATGATGAGTCTGTCTAGTTCATAATATGTTTCGCATTCAATCTTCTTCTCCTTCGTGTTTATCCCAACTCTATGATGAGGTCGACCCAATTCCTTGTACTCTAATTCATTTTTATTTAATTTTTTTTTATTTCTATTATAAGTTTGTGATTTATACTGTATAAACTGGAACGCGAATTATTTTCAAGAATATGTTGTTATAAAAAAAAAAAATTATGTCACGAATTAAATAAAATATATTTTCCGGAATATTTCAACAAATTAAATCCTTATTGGCCAAAAACAAAATGTTACAGCATTGTGCGTGTTTAAGACTAGGTTTTTTTTTTTTACTCTAAAATACCTATATACTTGAATATAAAAATCCGGGAACACGCACACGGTGTATGCTAACACGTCATAATATTACTCCTAATATATAGGTACCTATCTCAATACCTGCAACAATACAATATGACGTATAATTAAATTAATATAATTTATCTGTAAAAAAAATCTTAAAATTATGTACACGTGTATTGTGTTCGTATTCGAAAATTTAAAAAGGAAAACATAAAATCGCTCGCATGTTGTATAAAATACCGATTTATTCGAACAAAACGTGTTTTGACTTTTAAAATTCATTTTTAGAAGAAAAAATAATAACCGTAAGCAGGTATACGATGTGTATAACTGTTTGAATTTTAAAAAAAAAATTTAAAATATCTATGTAATCAAAGTTCATACGCAAAACGTGTTTAAAAAAATTTACTTAAAATTTTTGTATTTCTTCTTTTGATCTTTAATCTTTCAATCTTTTGGCTGAAGCTCTCCATTATTTTCTGTCAAAACTTAAATCCTTCAACTCTCGACAAATTTGTACTCCCAAGTTCTTTAAGAACTTCTGATACACAACTTTACCTTTATGTATTCTAACCGGGTTCTTTCTCTTCCAATATTACTTTCTCTACATAATCATCAATAATCAATTTTAACGGACTACCCTGGAGTATTATGTGACTTATCATGTTAATCCTTCGTTTCTGTTTATAATGTCCAAGTTGTATTTATCAATTGTTCCTTTTTCACATCACGATATCTCCGGTCTTTTTCCGGCTGTTTCTATAGCATTCTCTACTCGATTGTACTCATCACTGCCCAGGGTTTTACACCAGTAATAATTGCACACTCAAACACGCCATACGTGTAATATTTCCAACATTTTTTCCTAGTATCGAGTCCAATGTTACCCGATGTGGTTAATGTGTGTTTTAAAATTCTGTATAGGTAATATTCAATATTTGTAACACCCCACATAATATAGTAACGCATATCGTATGCGTATAGAGAAATATTATAAAATTATACCATTCGCATTAACGAAATAATATTTGTATTTCACGTCATTACAGCGCACGTTCATCAATCATTTCCATCATTCCGCGGATGAAATATCGGTACGGTGAGGTCATCAAAATGGACTGTTTCATCGACATTGAGAGATGATGTTATTTCTCTTTACTCTGCGCCCCCGTACCGGGTGTTTTGTTTTATGCGTCGCTCGTTTGTTGTTCTCTCTCCGTGTATAATTTATCTAATATATTTCAGTATTAATTTTTTTTCCTGGTGAAAATGCGTTTGTTTGGTACACAATGCATAATATATGTCAACCGATTTGATTTTAAACTACTGCAGCAGCTATAAATAATCATCGATTTCATTAACACCTCTTTTTGTTTATTTTGGTGTTTGTGTTGGTGTTTTTTTTTTTCTTCCGTTTTGTATTTTAATCATTATTTTTAATGCAGATCTCCGGTTATCTATGATAATAATTATTAATATTTCCGAACAAAAATTATATCACTCGATTATTTTAAAGTTTAACGTAATAATACAATTTTAAAATTTTAAAATTAAAACGTTTTATTCTGCCGTCAACAGTTTAACCGTCGTTAATATTAATATCCAAGTTCGGATTCGACGAGTAGGTATAATAGTGTAATATAAGTTACCATAGCTGGTGAGTAACATATATACCAGTATGAGTAGGTGGTGTTTTTCATTATATATTTTTTTCGGTATAATTTATCGCCAAATTGCATTTTGGTAGATTATGCGAATATATCACAGTAAAATGAAATCGAACTGACCTTCTATATATTATAACACAGTTACAGCCTACGCGATATTTGTTCAGTTGTCGACTAATTAAAATAGGTACCTATTCTGTTTACGGTGTGTGTATGCGCTGCGGTATACATACAAAAGCAAATAATAATAAATACAAAAACAAAAATACACAACAAAAACGCGAACGCAAAATCCTATTAAACTTTTAATATGTTAATCATTTAGTGTATGGGATTAATTCATTGATTTGAATTATTTATGTTGTTATCGATACGATTACTAATAATTATTATATTAATTTGCACCCCCTTCATCAGTTATGTTTTTCTGATAAATATTACACTGTAATAATTGGTTTCGCATTTAAAATATATTGTAAAATCGAAAACTCAAACATGTGTTACTATATATTTGTATTATATTTTTTTAATTTTTTTTTTTTACATCACTTTAGTAGCTGGTAACTGTTTGCAGTGAGATTCGCACAAGGGAATTGCGATTTTCCGTAAAAGAGAAACAACTGTATATGTATATATATTTTTTTTATTTCGGCCGTTTTGTCATTGATTTATTTTTTTGTTACCTGCCCAGTACAGTTTACTCACTACTCGCGCAGTGTTTTTTAGTCCCATTTAATTTGTCAGGAGTGCAGTAGGGGGATAAAATACGAGTATAGAACCCATCAAAATCCCATTAAATGTCGTTTGTCAAATGTTACACCCTTGTGTATACATATATATATATATATTCTCACCCCGTGTGCGCACGTCAACCTTGTTAAGCGGTTATGTCAAGGCCTCATAGTGCGTATACTGTAACGTTTCACTTTCCGTTTTGGAGGGCAGGAAACAAAAAACAAAATTTGACATATCTAACTACTTCCCTGCCCGTCGCGCCGTCGTCCCAATAGTCACCGATCGATCGAGTCATCTAACCGCGCTGTAATGTATTTTTTTTTTTTTTAAAACTGTCATTTTCTCTCCTCGTTGGCGACACAGCTCAACCGACTCCACCGTGGCGGTGGCGTGAAGTGTCTCGCGCATTCAATCTGTTCTCGACGATTGCTCGTTTTTTTTTTCTCTTCTAAAATCCGTCCATTGTATTATATTATGTCGTTTGTGTTTGCGTTCCAATTCCATTGTTCGTTACGCGCAATGGTCAATCATATATTACGAAATTTCGTTTAAAAAGAACACTATGCACTCTGAAGGGATCGTATAGAAAAGTATTTTGTTATTGGTTGAGTTGTGGTCCAGCGGTTTTTTTTTCGGGGGGGGGGGAAGGGGTTAGTGTTCTTGAACACACGTCACGAGTATAAAAGGTCGTATTTGTTTGGACACTGAAAATTTAATTCAATAATATAATATTTTACACAAATAGTATATACGCAACTCGTCGAACATTGTATTATAGGTAAACCCTGTTTAATCAATATATTTACTTTTTTATGTTCGAACGGCACACACTGAGAATATTGAGTTAAATTTGCTGTCATTAAATATACCTAGTCGTATTGAAAAAAAAAACAAAACAAAACATAAACAAGAAATATTGATAGGTATATAGTAACAATATGACGTATTTTTTTAAATAATTTTACCAAAACGACGGAGAGCCATTTGTATATTAGGTTTTATTATTTGGGTTTATCCGGTCTCACAACCAATCCTAAAGTTATCCATCGCCAAAAATTACATTTCCAAATGCTCCCACGTCTTTTTTTTTTAGTACATGTTACTGTCCTAACATCGACTTTTCAATAAGGTTTTCTTCCATTTGGGTTCTGTTCCGTCACCATCCATAGTAGTGCCAAACTTCCATACTTGAAAAAGTATTCAAGAAACTTTAGAATAGATAGATGCACATAGTTTTAATTTAATATTGTGGTCATCTTCATATGTATAATAATCATATATTTTCTAAACAAGTAAAGGTAAATTGTTCGTCGAAATATTTTGGCTTTTAACAATTACTTTCATTCTGCAAAGGAATACACTCCCGGTATACTTATGTCTTCTCAAATAACAGTTATTATGTTTTAGGGGCCCCGGGAAAAACTCATTTCACGTTTGTTTGATGGTTATTTTTTTTTTTTTTTATAAATATACCTAACAATTTAAAGAACTCAAAAGAAAATAAACAATAATGATCTTACTGGCAGGATTATAATATATTTTTAATAACAGGATATATTTTTTTCTTTTTTCATCAAAGGAGAAAAGAAACAAAACGCTTACGATAATTATTTTTCATTATTATATTTTTTTTGTTGTTAAAACAAGTTTCGGGATTTATATTGGTATTATTATTGTTTTTATTGTTATTATTATTATTATTATTATTTTTGTGTAATTTTTATCGTCAAACATTGAAATATCTGTAGTAAAGAATGTTAAATTCTTAAAGCCAACGTTCATTAAATTTATCACAAATATTTATAGAACATAAGTATATTATTTGTTTTTCGTCCGTCGCTTTTTGATTTCGAACAAAAAAATATACATATATATATATGTACACAAATAATAATAACTTTACGTCTTATCATATCGGTATCAATTGAAAATAATAAAATAGTCGTAAATCAAAAACATATTCATTTGTATTTGTAATGAGTTATAGATTGTCCTCTACTCTGTTAATATTATCAATTATTATCGTACACAATGGTGGTCCGACGAATGTTTTTGAAAGTACAACATTGTTTTCTTAACAAATACTTATTACTGGTGCATTAACGACGCAAGCTCGATTATAATATTATGATGTGTACTTGATTTTTTAAGTGGCGACCGTTAATAGTACGTTAATTTGAGTGAAGTAACCGGTTTACGAGCGCTATTTCCTTCCAAAGTGCAAACTCATTTTGTGTACATCGATCAACATATACACCTAAACGTTTTACGTATTATAATTGTTACGTTTTAACGTCGCCGGGACTTATTGTGACCGCGAATAGTCAAAATGACAAAAAGTTAAGCGAATTTGGTGTAAAAAAACAAAAAAAATCTTGCCAATTCTAAATATATATTTATATACGTGGTATACCTGCTATACTTCACGAGTATATTTATCATTTTAAATTAAGACTGTGTGTTCGTGTGTGTACAACGATGACTTTAAAATGGTATATGTGCGTCACGTATACCCGCCGACGTTCATTTACACACGTTTGCCGCCGCCTACTGCAATTTTTTTCCTTCCAAAGCTCGTCGACAGTTGTTGTAAAACGCAGTCTCTCTAACGAGCTCTTATTTATGGCCTAGTGGATTTTGCGTACAGTTTTTCTATGCAAGTAAAACGGTTTAGAACAAAAAAAAAAAAAGAATTGTTTTAATAAAACGCAGTAGGTATGTATAATAGAGTTCATGTGGTACACAAACATAAAAAAAATGACTAACGATCCTATATAGAGTTTCTTAAAAATCCATCGCGATAAAGCCCAGCTCTTTTATTGCGTATATTAAACAATGATAGGGAGGAGGACAAAAAAACTACTTACGATTCGCGGAGATATAAACACGTTTTCGTATACAATTATTATATTAAACAAGTGACATAATCAGAAATCGTAACCGTAAAGGGGCTGGCGTGCGTCACTGCAAACAGAGTCCATGGATATTATGTACATATCTATAAGTAGGCGCAATTTATTTCGCCAAATCTGGCTCTCATATTTTTTTACAAACACGAGGGAAGAAATCTCCCTCACTCACACTTTATATTACGCACCGCTGACGAGAATTGCATATTTTAATCGATAATGCGACTATCAGAATATATTTTAAAGATGATGTCCGAGATGAAGGGACGGTCGAGCGGGAGGGGACACGGGGATATATCCCCCATTACCTTATTTTTTTAAATGTTTATAATAATATGCAGGCTGATTTTCTAAGCACGCTTTCTCCATTTTTATGATTGAATAATGCATAAATTAAAATTCCGGTTTTTGAAATTTTTAGGTGTACCCAAAAAAAAGCGATATATTTGAATACTTAGATCTTTCATAACACTTAAGGAGTACATACCAACTTTTGTTTTTCAAGTAATAACCTATATGTTTTGATATAAATTGTCAATCAGATGACTTTCCTTATATTTTGGCGTATTTTAATCGAAATTTAAACGAAAAGCTTCTGAATTATTCTACTTTGAATGCTGAAAAAAAAAAAATAACTACACAATTCAAAACAAGAAATTGCCTAAATATGACTCCTATGAAACAATCAACATCCAATCCCCATAAAAGCTTTAAAATGTATAGCCTGAGCTATTATCTTTAGTATTTCAAACAGAGTAACTCGGCAACTTTTAGTTCAAATTATAATACGTTAACATTTTTAGAAAAATCATCTGATTCATAATTTGTTTCGAAACATGGAAGTTCTCATTTAAAAAACCAAAGTGTATATCGCCACACTCCTTAAATGTTATAAAAAATCTAAGTATGTATGTAAAAATATCGTAAATCACTGCACTAATAAAATCACTCTGTATTACAATATTTAACATATTTCTAATTGTAAACAAAAAAAATGTGTGTAAATAATAATAGTTCTTAACTAATTATTCACCTCCCATGACAAAATCATTTGACCGCCACTACCGAAAAGGTAATGTTCGATCTTATGTTATTTGTCGATTTCATTCGATTAGGTAATATAAATTGTGTGTACAATTTGTTGATCGATTGTTTATAATGTAAGCGGAGCGAAAAATGTTTCGGTTTTGTCATGTGCTTTTTTTTTTATTTCTATCCGTAAACGATTTTATTCTACCAAAAATCTCGCTCTAATCATTAACTTTGGTTATCAATTCTGGAAAGAAATTTTATTTTTTCTCGTCGTTTTCATGTAAGTCAAGAAACGCCGATGAAAACCCGTGACAGTTTAACCGTCGGAAAAACAGAAACAATGTACGCAATAACCACGATTTATGTTATTTTCGATATGGTTTTTTATTTTTTTACTGTGTAACTTATTTGAACATAATCGTAAAGACCGGAAATTTTCTCCGAATATATAATAATATGTTACTTAGTCAAATTTCAAATAGTTCGGCGATTTTTGAGCTATTATTAGTAATTTGAAATTTTAGCTCAACGGAAATTCTCGAAAACGTGTTCGGCATTTTTTCTTTTACCAACCAAAATACTTTTACGAAGTATAAAATGTGCTATTGATAATATGTACATAGATATTTTCTTCTACTGTGGTACTTTACATAATATAAAAATTGCGCTAATTAACATTTCGGAGCATTCGATGTGTATTGTGTTATGTCCGTAAAATCTGCCAGTTTGAAATGTATATTTAATTTAGCGCGAACGAACCATTTTCCACTTCGGTTAATTTCAACGCATCCGAATTTAAATTCAGATCTTCCTTAAGTACTTTTCGTTGAGTTTATAGTGCAGCATACTCTGGCAATTATTAGTCTTTTAGCGCCAAAGTTCATTATTCGATTATTATTATATTATCTGTTGTTGTCGGTTTGTCTCGCCTGACGCGCGAATAAGGGGCCCCTCGTATTTTATTTAACTTTATTCAGAAATGAAATTAAAACGTCAGACTTTTTGAAATAGTTATGCCGTAGTGCCCGTAGTATATTGTGCTTAATAATGTATCGCTATAATACGGTAGCAGTTAACAACCGTTTTTTTTCCTTTTTTTTTTTTTTTACTATGTTTGCTGCACCGTCATCTTGTCGCCCAAACATTTACATATTTAAATTGTCGGCATGTTACATAATATTACAAGTCCTATTACCTCGATATTTAAAATTAAAGTAAGTGTTCGTCTGGGCTATAGTCTTGTGTACAATATAAAATTCGAACGAATTTATAAAACGTATTTTTAACAACGCCGATGGTTTATTTTTATTTTTTTGTTCTACTCAATGAAACGGTAAAGCCAATTTAATTTATCGACTGTTAATTAACATACCTAATACATTATGTTTAATTTTTTTTGGACGAAACCGTATATACCAGAATAGATTTTTACCATTGTGAATCATATACTCGTATATTGTCAATATTGATGCGACTAAAAGCAATAATACAGTCGATATTAAATTGTATAATACTTTTATTATTAATTATCTACCAAGGCTTTACATTGCAGACAGACGACATTGTTGTCTAGTTACATTTTCTGTTCAGTTAAATAAATGAAAACATTTCTCATTCGAGTATATTAAAAAAAAAAATACCCGAAGCAGCTATTTTGTGAAATAGCTATGTCCACACGACGGTAATTACGAAATGTACTATCATGAATTATCGCCGTGTGGCTAAACGGTATCACTATCGTGAAAACAACTATCACACTATCATGTATTATAATATTAGTTGATAGTTACCATCGTAAAATTGTGACAATGATAGTCGCTATCACCGTGTGTGGACATCGAACACATAACAGTTTTGTTCTGTTGTATACTGACGTGCATTTTTGTTTGGTTTTGAGTGTGTAGCTCATTTTTACAAGTATACTATCACTATACCAATGTATCAATAACAGCTCTAAAATGAGCAAATCATTGATAAATTGTTATTAATTATAATATTCTGTATATTCTATGGTTCTAAAGTCTTGAACCTTCAATTACCAAAGACTGACACACCAATACTGCTGAGGCCAGGCTCAAAAAGTCACTGTCACTGCTACTGCTGTCGTGACGGTACATTCACGGGAGTTTCTATCGAAAACCATTCTACTATCACTTTACTACTTATGTACGCCTATGTATGTCTTTGCGGTAGTTGTAACACCGACTATCACGATACTAAATATCATCGCGTGTGCCTGGTTTTAAATTCTCCAAATAGTTACAAATAACCGACCAGTTACGAAAATTTCCGTTTTAGTATTGTAAATTGTACAAGTTACCTACGTTTTCAACGTTCATACAATTGCGTTTTTATAATAATTTTATATTCGAGTAGACAAAAAAGAAAAACGCTCTTATTTGGAGTAGGACAATTTATTTTGCCTATATACGCATCAATTTATCATATAATATATTTACATCAAAACTGCAGTTATCACTCGTCGCTTTGGTCATAATATGATTGATGTACGTTTTAATATTATAATAATATTATATATTATATTGTATAAACGACAACCTTACTGCTCCCCTCGAGATTTATGTCGTATTAAAAAAAAAAACGTTGTATTTATTATTATTGTTGATGGATATTTAATAAATAAAAAAAAAAATACTAACTTGAACCGCAACCGCGTGTTTTCAACGCGGCAATTGCCATACGAAGCTGTCATATTTATTTAACCTGTCAAAAAAATGTCATATACTATTTATATAATAAGTATGCTGACAAAAAAAAAAAAAAATGTTTTTAAAAAAAAATAAAAATAAGTCTTCCGCTCTTATAAAACATATTATTCCATCATATATTCGTATATTATGCTTTTTTTTTTTTTTAATGTAACCAACAAAGATTTCCCTGAGGGTATGATCTTTTATTTGCTCGCACCCTTCTTGAAGTTTCAGTATGTATGGAAATAAAGAGAAGTTCAAAGTTTTATTTTTATTTTATATGATATTATATTCGTATATGTATAATCAAATAGTTTTTTGTGATATTTTGTGCTCTTAAATCATTAAAAATCGTGTCTTAAATGGTTTTTTTTTTTTTTAAATAAAAAGTTACCTAAATTTATTTTGTTCGTTAACGACTTAAATTGTAAATTCATAATTTTTATTTCTTTAAAAAGAACGCGCGTGCCGGGCGTTTGTATAATGTAAAGTTTTTCTTTTTTTCCTTTTGTAAAAATCGTGTATAACTTCATTATATAATTTTCTTTCAAATCATTTTTTTTTTTTAATTTAAAATATTTCTTATTGTGAACTTTGTATGCAAACTATATAAAATATTATGTTTCATAAAAAATAAAGTTTTGTTTTTATCCCCCCAAATTGGTTTCTTGAAAAAAATTAAATTTTAGATTGTTTTTTTTATTAACGTAATTTTTTTTTTTCCAAAAAAATAAACCTCACCAATATTTAATTTGTGTTAATAAAATGGATCTTCGTTAATTATTCACAAAACCAAAGAATAAACCCGAACGTTCATAGTGACGTGCTGTGTCACGAGTTATGTAAAAACTATATAAATTATGAGCTTTTAATTTAAGTAAACAATTTAAAATATAAAAAAAAAGTGTTCCCGTTGAAACAATCCATTTTAAAAACGTGTTTTTTCCGAATAATGCCGTTTTTGTGATCATTTGAAATGGTAATACGAAATAAACGTTTACCGGTCCGTATGTGAGTTTAATGGCAACACATAAAATTAAACGTGTATATGTGTAAAAAGTTTCATCAGAATAATAATAATCTGGACGAAAAAAATATAAATAAATAAAAGTTTAAGTTCGAATTTAATTAAAACCCTCACCGTTGTGTTTTTAAATTTAATTTTTCACCGTATTAATTATTATTATTCGTTTATGTATTGTTTTAATTTTTTTTTTTTTTTTTTTTTGTACGTCTATTGTTTATCGCGATCTTTTTTTAAACGGTTTCTCAACTTTTAATATATTTTACCCATATCTTCAGTGGTGATTTTTTTTTTTTTACCATGAATCAACAGCGATTGTGTCGACAGAGATTACGATATTATTTATGTATACGTTTTATAGAAGGTTTTTTTTTTTTTTTCAAAAATCGTGTAACGTTTATTGAAAACGTTTTCATAAATTGTACCGTGTAATTCCGAATCCATGTATTATTATTTCTCTTCTCGGATTCCTTTAAGACCGTGCCACTAAAATGCAAAATACGTGTCGCTATTATATCTCTGCAGCTTCTTTCCGTTGGGTTTCCAGCTTTACTAGTTTAGTGGTATCCTTCGTCTTTGCACGATTTGACCATCTTGACCAGTTCGGTCTCTTCTAAAGGCCTTTTCGGGGATTTTCTCAATCAAACGCTTTTCACTGTTTGACGTCAGTCACGACCCGCGGGCATTGGTCTTCTTTTAGCGATATTACTAACTATGTATTATATAATTAATATAATAATTGTATAAAGTATTGGGCCTTTGAACTGAGTTTAAAGTTAAATTACGTCATTATTACTTTAATTTTATCCGTTCGTTATGTGGTTTGGATATCAGACAGTATATTATATTTTAAATTTAAACGGTGCCAATACGAGTATAAACCATTTAGTGATTTTTAAAATATAGTAATTTATGGTTTAAACTAGAAAAACTTCAAACAAATATAATTCGAATCAGATTATTAAACGATTTTATAGTGATTGCAACTAAATAAATGCCCTTCATGCATAACGAGTGATGACGGTCATTGAAATGTTTAAAATTTTTAGTGTTAAATTCGAATACTACAAATTTGTATGGCGACAAATTTAGATTCCGAGCGTAGCGAGGGAGCTTTTGGTTTTACTAAGATGTTCGTTTCTTGTTTTTTCTAGTCTGGACACGTTTTTTCCTAGTAATTTTGATCCGATTCTTACGTGTAGAAACTTCTCAGAAAGCTTAAGTTGTTTAAATGGTATTTTAAAGTGGTCATTTTTTGATTTTCGGCGTTTTTTTTTAAATAAAAACACCTGAGTGGGGAAAAATGTAGGTAAACGTACGATTTCACGATTTCATTATTTTATAAAAAAAAACACGGACGTTTCCTACAAGAAAAAATTATTTAATCGAAAAATCACAAGACACCTTTTTTGTTACCTTTTTGATTTACTTTCTTACGGTATTATCGCTACAACTTTTGAACTTTAAAGGAATTTAAATTTTTTGGAGTTTTTGCGGTAATTCGGTTGTAAATACACGTAGAGATTTGAAACTTGGTAATTATTTATTTTATTGGACTTACCGAAAATTTCCAAAATTATCAGACTACTTTTTTTTTTTTTAATAAGCGTTTTGAAATCAAATTTAAACGAAAATCGCAAAAAAAAATTATGGCACTTTTAAGTATATATTACCAAACTGCGCTCGGAATCGTTTTTCGTCAAACAATGGTTTATCGTTGCTTACAGATATAAATAAAATAACCTTATGTAACCTTCCAAATTCTCATCTACAACAGAGGCCGCTCCTATCCCCAGTATCGGCTCTTTTTTGTACATACGAATTTTAATAACACCATACTTTTTAGTCAAAGTTGTATTTTATTTTTAACATTAAAAAAAGTTAATATTACGTACGAAAACTGCGCACTTGTGAATAGATTCTAATATAAACAATATTAAATAATTAAAGATCAACAGACTGTAATAATTGATTGTACGTCAATCCCATTAATCTGATAAAAATTTAGGATAAATTATGGATAAAGATAAAAAAAAAAACCTGTAAGATATAACTGATTATATAAAGTAAATATTAATAAAAGGTAACTAGACTGTTAATTAGTGACAAGAATTGAAGACGTCCAAGTATTTTTGTGGGAATTATGGTGATAAGTCTCCCTCTCTCTTTCTCTTTCTATGTATCTCTCTTTTTTTTTTATCGCTCTATCTTTTTTCTTTCTCTTATTATGATACTTTCCTTCATTAATCTAATTTATTATAATAATATTATATAGTTACGTGTTACGGTTCTAATCTTCAAAGATTGCGGAAAATGAATGCGTAAATATTGTATACTAGCATAAGATAGGCAATCTATAATGTATAATAATATACTATGTGTGTATATGAGGACATATATTATATGTCTACGTATTGTGTGTATATATTTTTGTCTAAACCTAAGATAAAATTATTAATCTATGCCCGAAGTTCCGTTAGTTCCGAGTAGTTATAAATAATAAACCTCACAGCATAGTTTCTTCTCCTTCCATAATATTATATATAAAGGACTTTTTCCCCTTATTAAAGGCACTCGACCCTTCACAGCCGCTGTCATGTTGTTCAAATAAAAACGCTCTCTTGAATAATAGTGTAGTTCCGGCCTGTCATCTCCAGAGCACTTGCCAGGCTATTATCACGTAGTTTTAAGTATGTATATATGTATATATATATATACACACACTAGCAATATACACCTCTAAGCTTTCCTCCGTTTCATCTCCGGTGCTATCGCGGCTCTTAAGTAAAAAACAAAACTAACCGCCGTGAGTGTTTTGTTTTTGTTTGTTTTTTTTTTTACCGCGTCGACGAATTTCAAATGCGCGAAATTATTGTCACTGTGGTGCACACGCTGTGGACGCGCTGGTTACAGTTTTTTTTTTTTTTCTAATTATTATTTTAACCCGCGAATAAAGCTATATTATACAAATGTCCGGCGAATAAGTTATTATACCTACGGCGACGTGTAAAGTAGAAAAAAAAAATTAAAAATATAATAAATAATACAGGTGGATAGCGAAAACGTCCAGACGACGACCGCCCCTCCCCCCGACGACGTTATAAATGTTGTTATAAATCGTGTTTGGGATATACACGCGGGGGATTTTAATTTCCTGGTCTTCGCCGTCGTCGTCGGCGGCGCAATCTATATAATAATAATGATAATAATAATAAAAATAGGGTCAACGGCACGGAGATTTCATCGGGCGGAGTAGTAATTTGTTCCTCGCCATCTTGTCCCGTCCCGCCCGGCCAAGTGTTATAGCCGATTTGGACCCCTGAACCGCGGTGCGGGATGAGCCGAGCTGCTGTGCGGCAGATTGGTTTACTCCTATCGCGCGTGGCTTTGGCGACGCGACAAAAACCGGAAGCCATATACATGGATACATCGACGACAAACGTGCCCCCGCACACACCGGTGCCATCGGGCTGCATCAGTCGCCGGATGTTTATGTCCTCCGTGTAAATCCCGCGACAAATAATATGTGTGTACACGGGTGTCCCACGAATATATGACATTATATTATACACATGCGTTATCTTGTAAAGTATTAACGTTTTTGTTTAGCTCTAAAATGTCATGTGTTACATCATTTTTCGTCATCTTATTTTTGAGAGTGAGCCTAGCTACTTCTGATTTTCAAACGACAAACTATATTAAAAGTTCCACAAATAGACGGCGGAACATTAGACCAAATGCATTTGTGTGTTGAAATTTTCGACTTCCGTCGACCCGTTCACGAGATATTCCACTTTTAAATTCGGTTAGCGAGAGTTGTGGAGTGAGCATCATTTCCATGTGGCGTCACAGCGCGCGACGTTTGAATAGCGTTCCGCAGGTGTAACTATGTGAAATTATTGATGTTCATTATGGTCTTGGTCACCGCGGTAAGAAGACAGACGCAACTGTTATCACATTATTAAAGTTTATGTTAAGACCATGCGCCTCGAATCAAATGGCGGCCGTTCGGCTTCAACCAGAAACACTAGTGTGATATCGCAATCTAGTATATTATATATATATAAGTATATAATATATCTGGGTTTATGTTGATAGTAATACTAATAGTATACTTTCGACCTTTTCGAAGCAGTCATTCGAAGTCGTCAACGAAACGATAACTCGTACGCGTTATAAATTATTTTTTTATTTACTAACTTTGTAACACGCTTTGTAATGCACGTTGCGTCGTACGACTGGGACGGATGTCTGGTGCACGTGTAATAATTTAGTACCCTGTACACAGGATGATCGACATAACGTAAGACACTATTATATTGTCTGGAAAATTAAACATTTTTTTCATAATTTGTTTTTTTAGAAAATGTAAGAAACATATAAGCAGCTCTAACATTAGCATTAATTTTGCTCGCTCTTGTTTTTGACTAGTTTTCAAATAGCAACGTGTATTGAAAATTTCATAAAGAAATGGAGTCATACCTAGTTTAAATATACGAAATATTCCACTTTAACTTTGCCATTTTATGAGCATCGTTTGTGTGGCGGTGCTGCACGTGACGTTTGAATAGCGGTTCACCAATATCCCCCGAACCCACAAACCGAAAAACTGTGAAATGTTTCGCCAGCGGCTTGCCGAAAATTAATCATTTCAACACCAAAATGTATTTAAACTAAAACTTTGTTTATTTATGGAATTTTTAATATAGATTGCTATTGAAAATTCAAAATAAGTTGGTTCATTCCCTCTCAAAAATAAAAAATAATATAATAATGACGATAAAAGTGAAAAGTCGTGTAACGTTTTAAAGTTGTTTGTTTCTTAAGTTTTCTAAAACCCGAATTATAAAAAAAGTAAATACCCGTAAGATAATGAGTGCCTTACTTTATATGTTGCAGATCATTCTGTTTTAGTCGTTTTCCTTTTCCTCCTCCAGTGTCCTCCATTCGCGTTCATGTGCAAACTAAGAAACTATATAATTTTCGTTTCATAGTATATACACTTAATACATCTTGAACATTTTCGACGGCTAGGATATAGTTTATAGCTCTGGTCCTTATACGATATAATAATATAGCGTTTCCATTGTTATTAAAATATCTCTATTAAAACGCTCTATAAGGGTGGCAGGTGGCGATTGCTTCAGGGAGGCCAAAATCTTATCATTTTAGTTATAATAATACTACAGTTATTACATTCCGTAAAAATAATGAATATACTGATAGGTATATCAGTATCCATACAGTGAAGGTACAATAATGCGCACCTTCGGGTCGTCGTTATCAGCATTAGGAGTCGGGAAATTATCTAGAAAAACTTGATGGACTATAACCAAGGGACCATTTCGACCAGTTTTAAACACGTACCCTCGAACTAAAATTGGACCATAATGGCATTGTTTACAGCCAGTGTGGTTTAAAGAATTTAATTTGCTGGAGTATAGTAAAGAATTACCGCATTTTGTTTTTACTGTAGTGCATTTAGTCTAAATGTAACTTGTCATAGTGAACACTCAAATGATAATTTTACAAAAGTAGCTAGTGTGAAATGCAGGAATATTGCATTTTAACAAATTTTTAATAGCCGGTTAATAACCGCTTTAAATCTCTATGATTTGCATCGCGGAAAGAATTAGAGATTGAGTGAATGTAAAATTTAATTTGGTTTCACGTTGTTACAACTATTTGCGCTAAACAAAAGTACTCAACAATTTAATACGAAGTTCGTATCATAACTCATAAGATTGTATTGAGTAGTCAATAATAAAAAGTTGATCACGATGTGGTAGTTTATTTCTATAAGCGTGTGTTTGAAATTCAAATTTTCATGAAAATCGTAAAAATCACGGCGTTTCAACCGAACTAATTTTAATTGCTTATAATTCTGTTTTCGCGTGTTACATAAACACCGTCGGTATTGTAATATTCTAACTATACCAACAGTATACCGTATAGTATCCTATACGAAAATATCAAATTAAGCATTTTATTATTATAGATTATTACAAAACACGTCGATTTTTTACACGGACATGGCGTATAATAGTGGTAGGTCGTTGCCCCTTCGGTAATAGTTTCGGGTTTTTGTTTCGTAGGATGTACCACAAACGCCGTCGGTTGCGCCGAATAATCACCCGAACATGTCGATAATCCCATAGTTATAATATTTTCCATACAGTTTCGTTTAAGAGGGAGCTTGCCGCCGATCCCTCGACGTAAAATTATTATTATTATTATTATAACTAATAATACGGGGGCGGCCTTTAATAATTTATAGGCCTCTCGTCCGGTACGGCGATGATTTAAATCTACGATCGTCCGGCATAATAGTGCACAAAACGTATCAATGATTGAATGCATATAATATATTATGGTATGGTTAGGTTAGATATATATATAATAATAATTGATAATATTATTTATTCATAGAAACTTGAATACATCTTCCATACGAATTGTGTTCAGAATGTGATAACGCGCGCAAGTGGGCGAAGTGTTTCTCGAGGACTAAACGGGAAAATCACGGAGTGTTTTAAATCAGAGTTTTACTCGCTCACACCTCAGTCTCACATACTTACTTATCATCCTGTCTCTAGATCCATTTTTCTCGATCATACGTCTCTCACCCCCCTCCCATATCCCCCTATCCTCGTCTGGATTATGACCCGTTCACATGTATAAGTCTATGTGTTTATAATCCACAAAAAATACCTGTATACTAGATTTCTAACTAATAACAAGAATATTGAATACGTATTCTGAACTGACATTGTGGTGATTATAACGATAGGTCGCTCTCTGGCTAATAATTATGCACTGATTGATACACTATTCTTTATTATAATATCGGATATCGTAATAATATATACGTGTGATAAGAATCCCCACAAAAATTAAGGAAAATGGTACAGTATCACAGATATATACATAAAACAACAATATGGTATCCGACACTACGAGCATTTTTTTTACATTTTTTTTTTAGCAATCATCTAATACAAATTCTTAAATTTAGAAAATACATAATAGATTAAATAAAAAAATAAAAAAAACGATAAACTTAAATTTTAAAATTTTAAAATTTAAAATTGGAATTTTCGAAATCCGAAATGTAGATTTTTCGGATAATCCGGATTTATATGGCATGGATAATAAGTGTCTATATTTGCGTTAGTTACTTAAATGAAGTTTCACCGACTAGAAACACAGGGACGATTGCATTTAAAACTTTTTCATCGCTATGGGATTGCGTACCAAAATCCGAGTTATTTTTTATTTTATATTATCACAAACTTCTATAAAGTATTTAACAAATCACAATTTCTTTTTTGTTTTAAACCTAATTGTAGTTCGAAACGCATCTCGCGTGCGCGTAATTAAAAAGAAAAACTCAGTGTCGCATTTCCCTTTCACGTTTTCTATTCTGATGACAATTTCACTTCGAATAATAAATTGTCTTCCCGGACGAACAAAAACGACAAATCATCGTTATATAGAATTATATTATAATTTCACAAAAGTTTCGTCGAAACTTTGTGTAATTCGCACCGGAATAAACGTATTACAAACGCGATTAATTTTTCCGACTTCGAAACTTGCATGTTTTTCAAGTCAACAAATAATTTATCTCTACGTGATATCCTTTTATTGTGTATACAAATATAAAATATTTTACTGAATAATGCCATTTGTCGTGCCTTTGGAAATGCAGCGCTGGCAAAACGTCCTCTAAAATTTGAAGTATTTTCAAATGAAAATATTATAGCGTATTGACAACACTGGCCAATCCGAAAACCCGTTTGTCACACAAAGTTTACGCTTTTTGTCTATAACAGTGATAACTGATAGGGGAACCAACGTCTTGTAGCATGTTTTAACAAGGCAATTAAAAATTCGTATTACTGAGTAACAAGCGAGATTTAAATTTTAAATTAAATACCTAATAATGTGAATACCTAAATAAAATTGTATTGATAAAAAAAAGCTGTTCTAGAATAATGGGGATGGGTGTGCAGCCACTGTTATAGGTAACATAATGTATTTAATGTAATGACAAACCATTACTAACAAAAAAACGATTCTGAGTGGAGTTCAGTTGATAGTGATGCTTTGTCAACAATATATGTCATATTATGGTAAAATAATTAAATAAGCATTATATATTTTTCTTTAATTATATTTGTTTAATGTACCGTATTTCCCATGTTTTACTCGGTTTTTCAAATTCGCTGGGAAAACTCTTAGAAAAATCGAAAAGTTTTCCCCCGAAAGTATCTTTCCAGTCAGATTTCTTTTAAGACAAAGTGTTATCATTGTAAATCAGAGCAAAATTACTGGCAGAAAAGTTGTCCACAGAAAAAAATAATAAACTTTGTAAAACCATACGCTTCTTTGTTCCACACTCAGAATATAAAAACCTATCGACTATCGGTACTAATTATATGTATAGAGAAAAATCGCGTTATAATCGTTTACCTTTTAAATAAAGAGTGCAGCGTTTGGATTTTATACACAGCAGCGCTACATTTCTGAAGGCGCCACTTTAAATCATTTAATATTATAATACCTGCTTGTGTAGTTTGTAATGTTATTGTTTTATCAGGAGGAAAATATTGAAAAATCTTTACAGCTTATTATAATAGTATACTTTAATATTTCGACAGTCCCTAAAATTGCTTTAGATCGATATTAAATTGTATACTTCAATATTCGATCGAATAACCTAACAATATTGTTTCGTTTCAGAATGGAGTTCTTCCGGTCATCTCGGCGATCAAGACCGCGTTAAACGTCAGTTATCCGTGTCGTCCGATTCGAAACTTTTGGACGAAGACATATGCGAGGAGGCGCGCGTCATACTCAGACCAAAGAAACCGCCCAGGCCTAAATCCGAAGTGTTCCTAAACCAACCTAACCACAGAAGGACCAAACGGTATTCGGCATTCGGGGTACGGCATGCGTTCGTTTTATATTATTAACGACAATGGCGGGTTTGTGTGTACGACCCATTGTGAATTCAATTGACCGTCTCGAGCGTATAAAGTTTTTCAATTCGCGTTCGTCAATCTTTTACAAAAAAAAAAAAAAATAAAAAAAAAAAAATCCTTTTGTTTCTAAAACTATAATGACATTTTATATGCATAGATCCATTAATTATATTATAATTTATTCCCGCCCGAGAACTTTCGATCCTGTTTTTTTTTTCACATTCTTCGTCATTTTTTTCACCCCTTTAAAATCTCTGTATATTTCTTTTCCTTGCCTTTTTTTTATATATATATATATTTTTTTATAATGACACGTGATCGGGCGCGTATATAGTTTCCGACTTTGAAAATATTACAATTTCCTCTCGCTCAAATTTCCGCGTACAAGCACACCGAGCCTGTTGTATTTCGTTAATATAATATTTTTTTTTTGTTTTTGTTTGAAATCTACAGGGAGATTCTCCGTTCGGGAAATCTGAGGCCTACATAAAATTAGATCCGCTTGGTGAAGGTTCCTACGCTACCGTGTTTAAGGGGTACAGTAAGTAAGTATTACAAACATTACGAGCAGTATTTTGAACTCGAGTACGTAACATATTTAGTATAGCGATGATATAATGCTTATGTGCTGCGGAATCGATCTTCACTCGATGATAATTTAAAAGGTTTCTTTCCCCTCCCCACGCCACCTCGTCCTCGTTCTCATTCCGGCGGATGTTTAATGTTTATTTTATAAATAATTATCGAACGGTTAGCGCGCTCTGAGTTTGAATATTTCATTTAAACGGCAATAGGCGTTGAGCGTATAGTATTCTCGTACCTTTTATCGATTCGAATCGGTTTCAACTCATTCTCTGTATGTATGTGTATATATGTATATACCACGTCATCCACGCTGTGTACCGTCGAAATGTAATATGCGGTCCCGTGACTCGCCGTGGTGTGTCTACTCTTCGTTGTAATATTATGTTGGCTGTTTTTCGCCGCGTTACCGGTATAATACGTATAAAAGTCTAATAATTTGAACGTTTACTGTAAATTCAGACGTACTTACTGCCAACGTATTCCCTTACATTTTTAACGGTGCCACGAAATCTCGATTCGGTAGAGATATTTTCAATGGTCAATTCAATGGGGCTGGGTCGTTTAAGCCCTTTGCCCAGAGGTAAACAACGTTATATATGTATAGATATATGTATACAATGATTCGTGATAAGAGATTATATCACTCTGTATTATTGTTTTCTGAACCCCGAGAACGTTCTCGCTCACGTCCGATGCGCTGCAGCAATACGATAAAGAGTTTATAAATATTTTTAACGATCCATATTGTAATAACAGTATTCGGCGAACGGTATATTTTTATTTCCAGTGCGTATATTTCGGAACGGGACAATGTTATTATCGGGTACGCAGCAGATCCGTTTTCCGTTTCCGTTGCAATTATGACATCACAGCGAACACCGTTATAAAGGGGCGTCTGAGGGATTTCTGTATCGGATCTCATCGCGACGTTGTGTTCGTCACCGTATTTGCGTCGTCGTCGTAAAGCAAAAAAAAAAAAAAATATAATGATAACAATAATTATTCGCGATCCGATTATGTTGATGACTTGCGTTTCATTTTCCCCTTAAAATCCTACTATTGATCCGGACTTGATGTATATACGACCCGTTCGTGTAAATTTTAAATCTCATTTTTCAACAATAATATTATAATTACTGTTTAGTATACGTATCGTATTTCGTCGCCGCCGCCGTCAGTTGAATGTATTGTGCATCTTTTAGATTCCGAGCGTAACGAAGGAGTTATTGGTTTTACAATGCTGTTTATTTTTTTATTTTTTCCTTCTAGTCTGTGGACACGTTTTTTCCTAGCAAATCTGATCCGATTTTTACGTGTAGCAACTTTTCTGAAAGCACAAGTTGTTTGGATGGTATTTTAAAATAGTCATTTTTTTCATTTTCAGCGTCTTTTTTAAAATAAAAGCACTTGAGTGGAAAAAAAATGTAGGAAAATGTACGATTTCACGATTTCATTATCTTATAAAAACACGGACGTCGTTTTTAAATCAAATTTCAACGAAAATCGCAAAAAAAAATTTCGGCACTTTAAATTATATATTACCGAACTGCGTTCGGAATCGTCTTCCGTCAAGCAATGGTTTATCGTTGCTTGCAGATATAAATGAAATAATCTTATGTATCCTACTTGCCCAAATTTTCACCTACAACAATGGCTGCTCCCATCCCCAGTTTTTTTTTTGTTTATTTGAAATAATTTATTTTTTTTTTTTAAACATTATTTTTCGATATCTTTTTTTTTATTATTATTTGACGATAGTTGAGATTTCTAATGACAATAATTATTGTTCGCGTTTTCAGTTTAACCAATCAAGTCGTCGCGTTAAAAGAGATAAGACTACAGGAAGAAGAGGGCGCGCCTTTCACCGCAATCCGTGAAGCTTCGTTGTTGAAAGAACTGAAGCACAACAACGTGGTCACTCTACACGACATCGTACACACGCGCGAAACGCTCACGTTCGTATTTGAATACGTGGTAAGTTTGAATGTTATTAATTATTTTATGTAATTTGTGTACCGTAAATCTATACAGGGTGTCCCTCAAAGAATTTGGTGTTAAAATGTTCGATTTCCGTCAACCCGTTGACGAGATATGTCACTTTTAAGTTTGGATGAGAGGAGCATAGTGGAGCATTATTCAAACGCCATTGCCACACAAATGGTGCTCTCTCCTACTCAAACTTAAAAGTAGAATATCCCGTCAACGTGTTGATGGAAATGAAAAATGTCAACTGCATTGTATTTAATGTAATAGTTCGTGTATTTAAAGCATTTTTAATATAGGTTGCCATTTGATAATCAAAATTATAGGTAAGTAGTCGTTTCGCCCTTGAAAATAAGGGTGGCGAAAAATAACTTTCAGAAACGATTGTTTCTTAAACCATCAAAAAAAAAAAAAGTTTATACTTCCGAAATATCACAATGGATATAACTTCGTGGGACACCCTATAATATAGCATCTATATACCGAGAATTAATGTAAACCGTTAAAATATATTGACCCTACGGGTCATTTTTTTTTCATTCTCACACCTCGCGCGATTATTCCTCCTTGGCGCGTAATATTGTTATCCTGCAGCAAACGGGAAGGGATTCCAAAACTGCACCCTTTTACGTCGGCTAAATCTATATGCAAATTTCTCAATTTAGCTACCAATTTCGTGTGTAATCCGGCCTGCAGGATAATAGAAGCAGGTATCCACCCGACAGACACCCCACTTGAAAATCGAATTGTGATGCTTAATGCAATTTATATAGTAAAATATTATCATCGCATAAAAGGTACATACTCATTTGAAAAATGAAAACGGAACCGTCTATCCGTCAATAATAATCGATATTATAATTATCGATTTACTTGCGATATTCCCGTCGAACAACGTAGATGCGTTGGTTTATTTTCAATAAACTGGTTTATATAAAAAAAAAAAAAAAAACCGTTTTCTTCTTTTAAAATTATAGTATTTTAAACAAAAAAAACCTGTAGTTTTTCTTTTATCGTTTTTGACGTTACTATATTTATTTTTAGCGACAAAAAGATGTATACCATACTGTTTTAATACGCGTACACGAAACGTTTTGCATCCTAATTCGGATAGATCGTGGGTGTCCGTTTCAAAGTAATTCTGTACTATTTATATAATTCGTGTAACAATAATTATTACCATTGTGTATTATCAAGGATGTTATAGACATATTTAACTACAGGGAGTGCTAGTACAAATATAAATGCGTATTGCCATTGACTACAGTGTACAATTTGTTTACACTTGTATTGATACCTCGGGGTGCCTATAACACTAGACAAATTTGATCGACATCAATGATCAATTCTCGACCCTCGACCTCAAAGCAAACAAATTATAGTTGATTGTACTCAAATAGCGGTATAATATTATATTGTGAAGAGCGACATCGAGTTTATATAAATCGAGACAGATATTACGTCATTTTGAATTTGTTGTATTAATATTACCACCCATTATTTTAACAGCTACCTAACCCTTTGTCCTTTTGATTACGAAAAAATAATAAACTAAAGGGGTGAATTTCTTCTTCTGTACCTTTTATACAGTTTACAGTTTACAGTCATACAGTTGTGTAGCCTTTGCTGTTTATTATTTTTTACACAATATCGTTTCCTATTTTATCTTCGTTCCTTACGCACATTTGTCAACGTTAGTCTTCCGTATATCCGTCCACCCTTGTCTGGGGTGACCTCTCGACGTTTACTACCCTTGATTTTTCCCGATAATTGCCTGTTTGCTACTGCTTTTCAAGCAAGAAAGTTGATGACAGGGTAGACACCCCTTCATTATTAATAAACTTCATGCTAATAAAGTGACTGAATAATTTGTTATTATTATTATTAATATTATGACCTTTATACAGTGTAGGAAACACTTTTTGATTAACGAACACCAAAAATAAAAAATACTTTGATTGTTAATTTTATTATTTTTTTTAGCATACTGATCTGTCGCAATACATGGAGAGACATTCGGGTGGCCTGGACTATTCGAACGTTCGGTTATTCTTGTTTCAATTATTCAGGGGACTCGCGTACATACACAAACGACGTGTACTGCACAGAGACGTCAAACCGCAAAATTTGCTCATCAGCGAGATAGGAGAACTTAAATTAGCAGATTTCGGTAAAAACATTGTGACTGAAAATAGTATCATTAAGAGCTAGGACGTGATACCGCTCTCGTTTAAGATATTAAGGGATTGAGTCAAATAATACGTAAATTTATAAACTCAAAAATGTACAAGTAGTATTTTTTCACAAGTATTTGTGTAGTTATGTTATCATGAAATATACTAAAATGTTAACAGAGTAACATATTCGCTTTGCCCGGACAAAAGCCACTTAGTCTATCTGTCTATTATAGTCTTGATTATGAAACCAAATTTTCGCCACAAAAAAAGAGAAATTACACTATGTAATAGTGCTACTGTTTTGTTGATATTATTACTAGAACCAAAGTTATACAATTTTGAAACAGTCAAAATATTATCAGATTTTAAAATAACAATAATTTGATTTATGCAAGTTTTATTTTTGATAATAATTTGCTTTATTAATTTAGTCTATGGCTCAATTTGTTTTTTTCCCATGTACAGTAGTTTTACACTTGAATTACAGATGGTATCATGTCCTCTTAATAATACTGTATACTTAATAATATTTTATTCAAAATTTGAAAAAAAAAAAAACAAATTGTAAACTATTGTTCAAGTGTAATCAATGATAAAAAAAATTATATAATTATATAAAACAAAATAAATCAATATGAACAAAAGTCTTTTCTCGTATTGGTTATATTTTATTTAGAATCCGTTTCAATTTATAATCATCATCGGCTAGTGGAATAATAAATAAAACATAATTTGTTTTAAAATTATAGGATTAGCTCGTGCTAAATCAGTACCAAGTCATACGTATTCACATGAAGTTGTTACTCTATGGTACAGACCGCCCGATGTTCTACTTGGATCAACAGATTATTCGACATCCCTGGACATGTGGGGTGTTGGATGTATATTCATAGAGATGATCACTGGTGTACCTACATTTCCTGGTGTTCGAGATACATATGATCAATTGGATAAAATATTCAAAGTCAGTATAGGATTAACTTAAGTGATATTTGTTTTAACTTTTAATGGGTGTTTTACAATTGTTCATAGGTTTTGGGTACACCCTCAGAAGATGATTGGGAAGGTTGTACACATCTAAAAGGCTACAAGGAAGGCAGAGGTAAAATATTTATGTATCCACATCAAAAGCTCGGTCATGTGTTCCCTAGACTGTATGACATAGCCGAAGGCGAGAACATGGCTACGTCCCTACTTCAGGTAATCGTTTTTACTTTATTTCACTTGTAAAATTTAAACTAACTTTTTATTGTATATGCAATTAGTAAATAGATATTAGTTTCTTATAATGTATATAAAATGTATATGTTTCTGATATTATTGTTTAAAAAATAATAATAACAACAAAAACACGAATATTGTTTTTTTTTTTTTTTAACTCTAGTAATTATGTTAAAACTAGAGTTACTAGAGTTTATAAAATACTAAACAATTTTTATTAACACATTATGTTACTAGTGAAGGGAAATTAAATGGCCATCCCTGTTCCATATAAACCCTAAATTTAGTTAGGTTGACAGCATCATCCGTTGTAATCCCAACCAATCCATCACAAATAATCTACCTTTTGGATTGATATTTATGGGGAGAAAGAAATTTTACATGAATATTGAATATATTAATCATACTTTTAAACAACAAAATTCAATTTGTATTCATTTTTAAAAAGCATTTATACATATAATATTAACACTTTATAGATTATATAATATTATAATGTAATATTATAGATTAGATAATTTTTATTTACATAATATTATTATAACAATTTTAAATTAATAATACGAGTATGACATATTTATGTGCTAAAACAATTTGCTTATTTTTATAATATTTACATACAAAATTCACATGTATAAATACATTCTAATATTTTATGTACAAAACTCATAAATATAGAAAAAAGCTATCTAATATTAAAACTACTTAAGTTACATTTAAAATGTTTTGTTTATACTATAGATAAATTAATATTATAATTTAAACACTTAATTCAAAAAATAACTAATGTTTTTATTTTTTTTATTTATTTGTATTCCAGTTAAATCCAGATTTACGTATTGACGCTCCATCAGGTCTTAAACACAAATACTTTCAATCACTTCCCAAAGCCTTGTACGATCTTCCAGACGGTGAGAAAATTATAAGAATTAAAAATTTTTAAAAACCGTGTTTTTAAACTACAATATTTAATTTAATATTTTACAGAGGTGTCAATATTCAGTTTAAAAGGCGTTCATCTGAGTCATGAATCAAGAACCACGTTCAAGTGTTGAATGTTTTATTTCTTTTTTTTTTAGTAATTATAAAGTTATTACTAATTATATTAGCTCAATAAAATTAAAAATAATAATAATATTATTATTAAGTGTAATAGTTGTTTACCAGAAACATTGAGTTGTGTTGCCCGACGGGGTTAGACGCGTCTCGGCTGTTGAGCCATTTTGCTGTGATGATGATTATTTTATATATTATTTCCTATATTCATACTTATACATTTTATGTTAGTACATAAATAAAGTGTTTTCAAGGGCTTTTAGAGTGAAAATACTTAAATAATAATAATAATTTAAAAAAAAAAAACCACAATCATAGTTATATTATGTATTAAAATAAAAAGTATAAACTTAAAAAAAAAAAATTAACTGAACAAAGGAGATAAGATATTATATTTTTAGGGCGTTAACAATTATTATTTATTCTTCTGTGTTTACTACTTATGTGCAGTTTTACACGAATAAAAGTATTTAGTATTTAAGGCAAATGGAATTGCTCAACAAAGTGGGGGTCAACTATAATAACAATCTAGTTGCATATAATACTATTATGTATGCATATTAATTATACACATGATATTATATGTACTGATAATATTATTAAATTTTAAATTAAAATATTGAACAAAATTACTTAAAATGTATTGTCCCCACATTTCGCTTTGCCGTCCCTGGAACGTCCAGTAAAAAATGAGAAAATATTGTTGTTTGAATAACATTCCTTAAATAATGCATTCAAATAGTATGAAATTCACCCCTCTATGAATGTAATTTGTTATTATAATTGTTGTTTCAAAATAGTTAATTTTATTTTGTCGCTTGCCGTCCAATTCGGGTCTATCAAAGCAAAATAATAATAATATTCCCCCTCTGTACACGTCATTAAAACTGCAACATCTTAAATTATAATTTTATGAACTCGCCATCAATTAATTTTTGTCATACTGTTGTTTAATAATAGCTACCAGAATGTACCTATATATTGTTTTAATGGTTGTGTTAACATTCACTTATCGTAATGAATTTGTGCATTTTACATAATAATAATATTTTAAATTGTGTACCTATATTAATTTATTATGTATGTTTAGAAAATTCATAAATTTAAAAAATATATGTTTATTTTGTATCTGAGTATAATTATACCTAAGGTTGAGTTGTATTTTATAACACATAGAAAATCAAAATATCCATTTAATCAAATGAATAATACATAAATATGAAATATTATATAAGATAAGTATAATAAAATGTTTATTTTAGTTTTATGATTTGTAATAGTTATTGAAAATTATATTTATTTGATTTCTTTCTTACGGTGTGTTATATTACCAAACAATAATGTTAAAAATGTCTCAATTAAAAGAAAATTGTTATGACTCAACCTTCTTGCATAGAACATTATATTCTACAAACGTAACATTGTATAATATACAATAGATATATTTTTTTTTAAAAATTGTAATTTCATTATTATAAATAATTTTTTTTTTTTTTTCAATAGATGGCAAATATATTAGCGACAAAATGTTTAAAAATTTTAACGAATTAATAGATTATTAAAAAATTTGAAATGACGTCCTAATATAGATCGTTCACCGTGTCCCGTATTTTGCACACGCTAGTGAAATAACCAATATTTTTGTCACAAATGAATAAGTCAATTAAAACTCATTGCGAATAATAGAATTCGCCTACTAATTTAGAATTCTATTTTTTTTTTTTTTTTTTTTTTTTGATAAAACTTTTTGTACACATTTTGATGTTTGTTTATTATTATTTGTATTATTTTTTTTTTTTTGTTGATGTTAATACATTTAAGTTACAAAATCAGTGGCACTCAGTCTCTGTACTTATATTGCAATTTATTCTTTTTAGTTTTGCATGGCAAACATAGCTAAGGGTATGGTTGTCTTGATCTAATATTTCTGTAATAAATCTAAAACAACAACAATAAAATAAAGAGACTGGTTTCACTGATGCAAACAGTACATTTGTTGTACAATAAAGTCAAAAGTTTGTGGATTTCAACTGTGATTTGTAAATCTTATTTTATTTTATAAAGCGTTATCTGTTAAAATGCAATTATAATAAGTATTATAACAGCGATTAGGAAAATTTGTGTATTTGTGAAGAAAAGAGAAAAAAAATATTTTTATTCTCCTTTCTGTATTTTTCTCCCGCCCCTTTGAATTCTACTCTGTTTTGTCTTTATATATATTTTAAGTTTTAACACCTTTTCACGAGACAATAATGATAACATTGTAACAATCTTGTTCTTATCATTATTGTAAACAATGAATTGACGTGACAATTATTTTTATGACTATTATTATTATTATTATTATCATTATTATTATTTTATCTTAATTTTGTCATTTATATAGTTTGTTTATATAATATTATATTTGTTTAAAGACTTTATATATATTAATATATAATATATAATATATTTGTAGTACCTATGAAACATTAAATGTAAAAAAATAAAAATTTAAAAAAAAATTATAAAACAGAACTAAAATACAACAAATTTCTTAAAACAAACATCGACATTTTTATTTATTTACCATGTAACTAAACATTTTTTTTTTTTGTTTTTGAATTTTTATTTGTTTTCCTTTTTGCCTATAACACACACACACACACATGCACACACATAAACAGTAAAACTAATTTTGGCGTCATATAATAATAATATTATAATAGTATATACAAATAATTTATGTTCATTACACCCCGAATGGAAAGTAGATCGAGTGCCGACGTCGATGGATAATTGCGCCGAGTCATATGTGTGGCCAAGACGTCAGTGTGTATGCGGACAACAGTAGGAACAAATGTTCTCCATATAGATCTGTAACAAAAGTAAAATAAACATTCTATTGTATTATTACGGTGTATATTGATATATAGCGTAAACAAGGTCAAATATTTATTACTGTACTTTTAATAGAAATTTGTATGCGTTTTCACTTTTTATTGCCGAGGGGAGGAAAAAAAAATGTCCAAGATATCACATTGTACATACCAATGTTTTTTACGATTTTTGATTATTTTAATGTCTGTTCTGTGAAGGTATTATAAAATCTGTGAATTTTGTTCATTAGTATATCTATAATGTTAAATCATCTGTTAAACCTGAGTCCAAGAAATTTAAAAAAATGTGTTGCATAAACTGAGTCCAGTAAAATATTCTATAATTTAAGTCCGTTGTACCTACTCAAATAAAAAAATTATCGTTCTCTTTTTTTTAAAAAAATGTTTGTATATTGTAAAATTCCATAATGAAAATAAATCATGAATCATGGCAATAGTTTTTAGTTTGTCTGAGTAAAAAAAAAAAAAGTTACTTATAGGATACATAGAGTTACTTTTTTAATTTATACATGATTTACATTAAAATTTTAACTTTAATAGATAACTACTAATTTTTGCTTATAAGAACATATTATGATGAAAGTTTATAATTTTCAAAAATGTCTGTTATGCCAAAATAATTTGACAGTGTTCAGAAATGCCTAACCTAAAATTTAGGTAAAAATCTCAGGTTTCTGCAATCATTTTTAATTGGATAGCAACAAAAAACCAAATATGTAAATAATGAAACGAAAACCGATTATCACTATGAGCTCTCGTTTTTTTCCAATTTTTCGATTTTTCTGACAATTATTATTAAAAAAAACTGCAAGAAAAATTAAAGAATGAAATCCCCAATGTATCAACTAGATCTAAAATAATACAAAACTGTTCTCATGTATTTTGAATGGAGCAATATTTCCGACAGAAAAGTTGTTCACAGCCACATAAAAATATCACACACATCATATAATTACCAATACATTATTCGCAGTTTGCTACATTCAGTGTATATAATGGGAAATAAAAGATATGAAATGATTAAGAATAAACACACTAATAATTGTGAATAAAATATTGCAAAAACCGCAAAATATATGTTTTCAATCACACCCATAGGGGCCATGTACTCGGGGGCCCAGTACTCGTTGAAAATTTTGGGGGGGGAGCCAGGTACCCGTTAGAAATATTAAAGATCTGTGTAATGTACTTGTAATTTAATTTTTTATACTATAAAGCATTAAAAACGATTATGTTTTGATAATTGATAAAAAATACGAATAAGATTATTGATAAGAAATTTGTTCCGATATAAAAAATCGCAGTATAATATTCTTATATTATATGACTTTTTTTTTTTCATTTTCTTAATGGTTCTTTTTCGTGTGGCTGAATTTTGGGCACCCCATAAAATTGGAAAACCAGGCGCCCATGATCGCACCTGTGAACACAAACAGTCATACTGTAATTCTACAGTTCTGTAGAAAATGTGCCCAAAAATTTGTAATAAATATTTAATATGTTTGCAAATATTTTGATGAGTTTTTTAACATTTTTCCGAGGCAGGGGGTTCCGAAGAAACGATATTATTTTTAATAGATCCATATTTTTCAGACATTTCATTAAAATTATAAATCGTTGTCTTATTTTGATTGCCGGAAATCCGCCACTGTTCGTTGGTATTCCTTTTTTTTTTTTTGATCTGGGGTGCCGTGAATAAACAACCATGTTTTCCAGGCATTCGTCGCCGCAATTATTTATCGAGAATTCGTCGTTATTGTTGACCATAAAGTAATTTATTCTCAGCACGCGTACCGCGCAATCTCGTAAGATAATATTATTCGTGAGATTGCTGGCTGCAGTATCCGTGAACCGCTTTTTCGGGAAATCAATCTGCCCGTTATTATTATTATACGACGACAACATTGTAATATTTTTTTTTATTAAAATATACTCGTAATATCGACGGAATCGTTTAATACTACGCGAGATGAAAAACCAAAATAAACGTGGTGTTTTACATAAATTTCGCTTTTAGGGTGGCGGGGGGGAGGGGTGGAGACCCTGGAAAAAAGACGAAGACGCGCGATTTGAATAATTTACGAGCTTGCAGTGCTCTACTACTTCTCTCGGCGCCAATCAATATACCTAATAGAGTTCGTTAAAACAAATAATATTATTATAATAATATATTGCATTTCCCGCAACGGTTGTTTTTATTATTTTCTTTTTTTTTTTCGTATTAAACGTATCCGTCGTTTTTATTTTGGACGTTGTATACTATAACCGTAGTATTTTTGCTAGTCAGTGGTTGCAAGAGAAAAACGGTTCATTACGTGTATTATGGGTGTCTATTTGCGATTTTTACGTACGCGCACAGTAGCTGGGAATATTCGCTGACCTCGGATATCCGTTTGAAAAATCAGTTAGTATTATCAGTGCCCTCCTATCTCTTGATTAATTTCGCCTGTATGAGAGTGAGTTTAGTTATTAATAACTATTCGGCGAGTCGCAATCAGTCTTCCAACTATCCCCCAGCTCGGTGGTGACATATTACCAAAATCGTCTGATTTGGTTCACCAAGCACCAATCTTTTCCACGTATTTTTTACTACGTCTTCCCACATCATTTGCAACCTGCCCAAAGGTTATTTTCCCTATCGGGTATGTTCCCATCGCCGCTCCTAGTAGTGGATTTCGACTTCTACGATCTATACAATATTTTTTTTCTCCGTACTTTATCCATTCGTCTCCCCTCTTTGCAGGTTAAATCGTCGTTTACCTACTGACCCAAAGATCTTCGGAAATATTTTTCTATCCGGATGGTACTTACGAACAGTTTGTTTTCGTTTGTTTTTCTCGGTGGCCAAATTTCAGCTCTGTAGCCGGGTAATCGTATATAATAGATGTTTTTTTTTTTTTTTTTTACATTTATTTCGGCCATATTAGTATTCTGTTAAAATTTTGTAAAAAAATAAAAAATACATAATTATATTATACTGCCCGTCCACTCTTGTCTGTATTAATTAAACTCTCTATAATAGATATTACGGTGTAGACGACTTCTAATAAATAATATACATACATACATACGTATACTATAAATAATATTTTCATATTCCATTATGTATATGACGTGATTTCGGTGAAAGCTATTGTTTTTGGATGACGGGGTCGTTTACCGTTTTACCGTTTACCGCGGGTCCCCGTTCCAGTGCCGCAATATATTATCGAACTTAGGGGACTATTTTTTTCACCGTCGAAATAACTTGCAGGGTACGGTACCAGTTTTTGCTCTACCACCGGTTGATTCGGTGACACGATGAGAAATCTGAAAACGGTTTTTGCCATTTTGCGTCTATACGCGTACCTATATAATTATAATAATATGTAGGTATTCGAACTAAATAATGTTTCGAATTTATAATAGATAAATTAAATTTAAAAAGCATGCGAGTGAAAGTCCACAGTACTCGTACACTAGGTACGCACAATTCAAAAACTGTAGGTACTCATAGTGAGTTATCGGATCAATTTTCAGTTAGTATAATAATTTATTAATCATTTAAAATAACCATTAATTAATTCTTAGTTTTTAATAAGTTTAATACATTATTAAAATAGATGCGCCACGACAAGGGCGCCCGCAGAAATATAAACCGTAGAGAGGAGGCCAAAGTCAAAAGTATAAGACTTTTTTTACAACTCACAAGTAATCACGGATTAAATATTCAAGCTATGTAAGTAATACAACAATCAATATTCAATATTAACTAAAATAACGGGCATTGGGAGCACGGCCACCTACCGGCACTCCTCTGCGGGCGCCTTCATACCACGATTGTCGAATAAATTTTCACGTAGAATTCAAATTTTAAATTTTTTCAAACAAATATTATTAGACGTAATAACAGCAAACTAATCGTAATAATATAATATATATATATATATATAAGTACAGACTATCAGGATAAAAAAAAAATAGCTATCTACGTCAGACTTTCTTTTTTTTTTTTTTTTTTAAACGTTTGACATAAGTCCTTAAGACCATACAAAACCTCAACCTAAAAATAAAAAACTGCTACCAGTTCTTGTTATTGGCAGTTTTTCTCCATTGGGTTTCCGGCTTAACTTCCTAAATATCCGTTTTTTTAACACGATTTCTCATCTTAACTGTGTTCTTTATAGGTGTCTTCCGTGATCACCTGCTTAATTAAAGACCCATGTTTACGCCAGACACCGTCCGTCCACATCAGTCTTTTTTTACCGATCTCTTTAACTTTATCAAACATTTTTAAATTAATATTTTTGCAATCTCGCCATTCATTAATTTAAAAACATCAAAGACTAAGATACCTTTACATCGAACAGTGTAAAATAAATAAAATCGATGTCTATATACAAGGACAAAGAGACGTGCTTAAACTCTGCACTTCTGGACAAAATGACAATAAAATGACAAAAAATTTGCAAAGTTCATTTACCGTGAGATATCGCGAACCCAGACACTTATAACACGGTAATTTTTTTAAAAAGCTCTCGGGAAGATAGGGATTCTATGTGGTTGGTTTTTAGTGATTTGGGGATGAGTTTAGCGGCTAAACCTTCACCCGAATCACAGGAGAGGTTAAACTGCAGCCTCCTTTGTGACCGAAACAGAAAAAAAGAACTTACGCAAATCGAATATTATTAATACTCGTTTCAATATCATAATATATATTATGTAAATATGAAAAAAAAAAGCCCACATATCACGACCTGTAATGATTATTAATAAATATTCTATGCTTACGTGGGCGAAATCGAATTTAGTTACGTTTGGCGATAATTTGTTCCCCCCTCCTACCCACTAAACTCTCTCTTTGTTTACTTATCGTTTAATTGTTTAATTATCACGGGCTTGGATTTTATACATAATATATTATTTCGAATTGGTTTTTAACGATTTCCTCCCCCTTCGCAATCTCAACAGTTTCCATCGTCATTAATTGGAAACGATACAAGAAC